AGAGGAAAGGAAAGAGAGAGAGAGAGAGAGAGAGAGAGAGAGAGAGAGAGAGAGAGAGAGAGAGAGAGAGCGGTTGGCGGGAAGATTCAGAAAATTTGAATCACCAGCCAAAGATTGATAACACATCATCTCCTATTTCTTGTTGCACGTCTGTGATGAGCGGTTGCATTCCTATATTGCATATAGTTCATAGTAAAACTTTTTATTTCTTCATCTTGGACTGTCCAGAATATACATGATACAAACAGATGGCCTTTTGGTATTGTTTAAGGCCACAAGCTATCTAGAGTGACTCTGTTGGATACTAGATGCGAGTTATCATTTATGCGGCAGTTTTTCCAATGAAACTACCAGCAGTCATCTGCATAAGATTTTTCACTTTTTCCTTATTAGCAAGGTCCTCGTCTTTCATATCCTTGATGAGGTTTCTGAAGAGAACGGCAGCATCGCCTTAAACAGTAATTATATGGGTGTTGCTGGGTAAAATAATTACTTTTGTGCATTTTTACAAATTCTGGGAATACTTTGTCAATCGCAGCCCATTCGCTCTCAGTAAGACTCTAAAGAATATTTTGTTGAATATTTGTTATTTTGATAGCCATACATCAATATCCTTTACGTATTCCTTAGCATGAGCAGCAAGATTTGTACACCAGGTGAGTCGGTCTGCATCTGCGGAAGCGAAAGATATCTTTTCCCATTTCTTTTGTAAATCAATGAGACGCTGGGGTAGGGTATCACGCTTAGCATAGAACGTGTCGCGGATGCTCTTGACAACATCACCTCCTTTTTGTGTAGCCTGAAAGAGAAAAATTTGATGACCATAAAAATTTTGTTTCACCTCTGTCATCATTTTGACAAGTTCATCATTGGAAGTTGGCTTCGGTAGTTTTCCGGCATGGAAATCGTTCGTGAATTTTACCAGAGCATTCTTAGTTTCATCGTCCAAGCTACAAATTGGATCAACTGCCCAAGCAGGGAAATAGCCTTAAAAGTAGAAATGACTCAGAGATTATGATAGTTGAATAACCTTTACTAACGAACATCTCTTTCATAATAGTGCAAATCTGGTTGAACTTTTCGAGTGTCATTGTTTGGTTGAGATTTGTGAGATCGCTCACGGAAGGTATAGGATTGGCATAAGTAGTTGCAACAAGCAATGCACAAGCAGCTAGTAATTTCATTTTCTGAAAGTGATTATGCTTAAAAAAACGATTTGAGAAGCTATATGAGGTTGTCGTCTGAATTTTTCATTTTATAGTCGAAGATATAATCCTTTTAAATATAAATTAAAAACATTTCAGCTCATCAAAGACTACTACACAGTAGGAAGAAGAGAGACGAAACAGTGAGATGAGAGTTAAAGAGAGAGAGAGAGGATGCAGAGAGTGAGAGGGAAATATAAAATGGAGGTAACAATATGAGGGACAGTTTTGATTCAAAGAGAGAGAGATCATCTCGTACTCATGGTGATCGTTGATTTTCTATCAAACGAAAAAATAAAATAATTAATATAGTAGGATAAAACACTTATAAAATGGTATATTGTTCATCTCATGCCATTATCCCAATTTAATTATTTTTAATTCTCTTCAGTGTGCAGCGACAGCGTTCCCACCTGCCCACAACTTTTTTCAAGGTTCGCATCTACCCAAAATCAAACCATTTGTATTATGTGAGAGTTTGCATTGAGGTTGTTTGAGGTTGCAATGAAGAGAAAACCAAACCATGTGCAGATGAAACTGGAATTCAATTTGAACTGAAAAAAAAAGCTTTTAAACTGATTTAAACAGTTTTAACCCTGCGCTCAACTCTATCTCAATACCTTCCAGCTATACTAGTTTTCAACGTACTCTATAAGTCAGCAGTAATTGGTGGCCGACCTCAACTCATATTTAAAGTCCTCAAACTTCAATTAAAATGTTCAATTGGATATTGTGCTCTCTATCTATTCATTTTTGAAATTTTTAGAAGTTCAATCATGTTTCTCCTACTTGCGGTTTGTATTCTCATCTCCTCTATTGCTGCTGCACCAGTTGCAAACACAACCCAGCTCACACCTGAGCAACTGAAGAAGAGTTTAGAGCCTCTGATAGCATTTGAGAGTAAGATATATCATAATTCTATTCATAACTTGTTTCTTTGAAGAGTATTTCGATGAAGCTTATCTCACCGCTATCAAAACAGTAAGAATATCATAGATGTTTGTTGTTTCATTAAGATTTATCATTCAAGGTATTCAGCAGCGATAGATTACTCCAACAGGCTGCTGATTTTATTAACAAAATGAATGAAAATAAGATTGCTGTAATTAATCATTCAAAATATTCATCACATCAAACTATTTCAGCGCCCTAAAACCCATGAGGAGGCTGTTCGCTTATTGGAATCAGAATACCCTGAACTCGGATCAGTGTAGGACTCATAATCACTTGAATCATGAGCTTTCATATTTTAGTATGCGAGCAGTCACTAATGATTATGAGAATAGATATCAAACTCTCTCAGCTGATGCCAAGAAGTTCCTCGATGATGTATGTAGAACAGTATATAAAATCTGAAACCATCTTATTTAGATTGAGAAGCGTGCCTATCAGATGAGCGAAGAGATGTCCAAAGCTAGCGAACAAGTCAAAACTACTGGCAATATGACTGATCCACTTGGACTCGTTCGCACCTTGAGTAAATTGTTCCTGGAAAACTTCAAGCAATATCAAGCACTCGACCAAAACGTGCTCGGAGAGTTGAAGCAGAACTGGCCAAAGTTGAATGACTTCCTTAACAGTGAGTTAATTCTCTACTTGTATGATCTGAAGAATATCCACATATTCAGGCAACGTCTTCGCCAGCTTAATCCGAATGGTTGAGAACACTCTGAGCATGAGCGACACAGATTTGAAAGAGTATATTAGTAAATTCAACGCCTTTTTATGATTGATATGTTGAAAGTTGAGAACAAATAAACTTTATAAAAGTGAGAATGCAACCGATCTGACAGTCCACAAGATAAAGGCTTTGAATATTGACTAGATAGCTTTAGCGATTCTGGAGATAATCTATCAGTTTATTCACATCTGAAGAGAAAGAATCATTACAAAACAAGAAAAGGGAAAATCCACTTCTGCATACAAAACAATCAGAAACGTTAAAACTTTAACATATTCAGCAACAGCTTAATCTCTTCTCTTTTTTCGAGAGCTACGAGAATCATTCGCACAGGATAAGCAAACGCGAGGGCGAGAAGTATGATCAAAGGGACATGACTGCTTATTACATGTCGAATCATAGCGACAGAGTCCATGAGAATATATACATCGAGATCCGGGGCAATGAGGGAAATTCCTATGAAGGAGATGAGAAAGACTTGGAAAAAACAAATCATGAATTCGTACTTGCATTTGACAGGCGCACCGTGAGGACATTTGCCAACTCCACGAAAAGCAACATTGTCGTCATACCGTGAGTTTCCTCTCGAATCATGTTCAATCGTTTTACGCTTCACCAGTTCCTGGATATATCGACGTATACACTTATCTGTTCGTGCGTGGAACCTTCTGAATATGAGCTCGAAAGTCGTGCCAGTCAGAACGACTCATATCCTCACATTTGGCATCGAAGTTTTTTTGACAATAATGACATTCAACATCTTTCGTCGGATGACGTAATAACATATGAGAAGATAATTTTGTAAGCGAATTTGTTACCTGAAAACAAGTATATCAGCTTGTTTCGATGAGCATAGACAAACTTTAGGACAAATTGCACAATACGCACGTATGTAATGAACCCGCACTTCGTGAGAAGCTAAATCTTTTGTATTATGATAACCTTTTTTACAATGTGAACATGTATAGGGATAGTTATGTTCATCTTCATCAAAGCTGCAAAAGAGCAAAAGATTAAAGTGAGATTTGCAGTAGCCTCTTACTTCAGCCCATCAAATGTTCCACGTGAAGAGCTGCTGCAACTGCGACTTCTACGAGAACGCTTATGCAATCTCTTATAAGACCGGCTGAAGATACAAAATGAAGTATGGCTAATTGGAGATAAGTTACGATGACGATCGTGAAGAGTCACTGCAGGAGGTGGATGTTCGATCTTTTCTCGGAGATCTCACAGGCTTCCGTTTACGAATCGATTCATAGTCATTGTTAATCTGCTTCTTGGCAGATAGTGTTGGAGATATAATAGCATTTCTCTGAATCGTAAGTAAACATATGAATAAGGAAGTAATAATAAAGAATTAAAATAATAAAAAAAACACAAAAAAGCAACAAAAGGAAGATTCGACTATCATAAATATGATTGATGATATTACAAACTAAGATATTTAGATTTGATGATATAATATTTCATTTCTATGAAGATCATGTATGTATAAATATGAGAATACTCACTGAAATAAACACAAAGTAGAAAATTACGATTTTTCTTCTTTTCTCCTACAAACAACGAAAAATAAAAAAAAACGAAAACAATATGAAAACCAACTACACGCAAGTGTGTGTACGCACGCCACGACATGAGGCCACACATTGACAGTTTCATATGTTTTCAGTGAAAAAAAATTTTTTTTTTTCCTTTTTTTAAAACTTTGAGAGAAAGATGGCCTTTCTTCTTTGTTATAAATCATATAAATATATATATTTATAATGAATAGAAAACGAATAACGAATTACAAACAGAACGAATATGACATACCATTTGTGTTGGATCAAAGGTTGAGCTTGTCTTTTCCTCATAACTATCCTCACTACATGGCGCATCTTCAGCTAGTTGCGCATTCGCATTATTATTATTATCGAAATTTTCGTTCAAAACAATTTCTTCGCTCATTTCTTATCTGAAATGATGTTAAATGAGTATGATGATATGACATATATGACTATAGTAATCTCATTATTAGCTTATAACCATTAAAATATAAAATTGGAAGACGAAAATGATTTGAAGAAGAACGTTCATAGAAGATGATGATGAGGAAGGGAAAATGAGATAGAGGAAGAGGGAGAGAGAGAGAGAGAGAGGAAGAGAGAGAAGAAATCAAATGAGAGCAGTAAGTAAGTGAGATTGTTATAGAAATGGAAAAATTTTCTGTTCAAAATTGCTATAATCTGAAATAATTCCGAATAACATAGCCAACGGCAAATTAGACGTTTTCAACATATGTGGGCAGAACCATTCAATTTATAGCTTGATAGAAAAATATGAAATGAAAAAAAATTGAGGTAAGAAAGAAAGAAAAACAGTTTCGGTGGATACGGAAGAAGTAGGTGAGAGAAGCAGCAAGTGAGCAAGGAAACAGATGAGTTGAGTTGGAGGTCGACATGGCTTGGCAAATTATAAAATGCATTTCTCACACAGAATCAATGAGTAATAGATGAAAAACTAAATTAGAAACTGATATTATTCATAACATTGAAAAACTCTGTGATATGCAATGCAATCTATGGCTTTGTTCGGATCAACAATCACAGGAAGTAGAGAGCGTGCGAGCTGCCCTTTCATCATAATTCAATAATAATATAAATATAAATAATAATAATAGAAATGATTATGATAAGTAGTTGACACTATCACAGGCAAGATTTTCAAAAAGGAAACATTGATAATGTCGATGTCTTCGTTGTCATAGGCAACCTATGTAAAGCAGCTGTGTACGCTTGAATATCAAGAGTTGAAAGGAATAGAAAAGACGAGAATGAGAATGGAATTGATATGCAGCAGTAGTATGAATATGCAACACTAACCATCATCTATAACAAGTTATGAAATAAAATTAATGAGTAAAATGATAGTTGGGGCTGCAGCAGTTAAACAGAGTCAAAATGAGAAATGCTGGAGACGAATGCTTGAAACAGAAGCAGACCAATCATGAAATCATGATTAATAATGTAATTTATGATGTTGACTTCGAAAAGACAATGAGAGATTGAACATATTCAAGATATATAATCCAGAGATTAGACAGAGGAAAAAACCCACATGACAGGTGCCAAATAAGCCACCCTTCCACGCAAATATATATATGTGTGTCTGTGTCTGTGGGGATGGCAGATAGAGATATATATAAACGATATATTTCTAATAGAAGGAAAGCTGTTTGAAACCATAGAAACCAACTGAATAACATCGTAAACAAAGAAACGCTTAAATTAGAGCAAACTCACATATTATTATCAAAGCAGACATTATCATTATTAAAATAACTTCAACACTGTCTAGACTGCTTCGAAAACGAATGCTGAGCTAGTGTATTGGAAGCTTCACTTCGTGCTACGTTAGCAATTACCTGAAATAATTAGGTTTTTTTTGCTCAATTATGACTGAAACTGCTTATTTGTGCAGAATCGCTGACTCACTTGACGAACGGGACAGTGAAAGTTTGTGCATGATTCTATTTTCCATTTGTGACCGGGGCCTAGTTGATTACAGCTTTTGCATGCGACCTGCGCAATGGAAAGCAACCGTTCGTTGCGACCTACAGACAATTGAGCATAGACATAAGGATAAGCTTGATTAGAACAAGATGTACACCATGGACGTCTTCCAATTGTCCAACATTCCGGTCTGTAATCAAGAATTGTTCGAATATACTCAAAGTACCAACGTGTAACAATGACGAGGTTTATTCTGATGCCAGATGATTTGAAGAGGTATCAAATCGGTTACTCGACGAAGAGCTGCTAAGATATGTGCTCTTACATAATATGACACGTGTATCTGTAAAAATAGATTAGATACAATCAATCTACTGTTATTCACTTTGAGCTGAGGATTATCCAAGAATTCTGTCAAAGACCTGACACAGGATATAACAGTCGCGTCAGGATGTCCTTCAACGATCACATAAGAGACGCGTTCTCCGGGTAATGTAACATGAACTGGATTCTTTTCCAACAAAGCTCTGAAAAATATGAACAATGGGGTTTTTTCTCAGAGAGACAGAGCTCACTCTGCAATTTTCTTCTGAGGAACAGGTGCACCAAGCGAATACTGTCCTCTGTACTCTTTACTGAATGTGAAGTTGTGAAATGATAAATCATCGAGACGTGAAAGCTTGGAATCTAAATAGATATTCAAAGAGTTCCATCGTTTTTGGAAAATAAGTTCCAATGATTTACTCAGAATCTTAAACGAATGAGTAGAGTTGAAACGTCTAGCAGGAGTGCTTCACCTTAGACACAATAGGACAGGTATCTCTTCTGATAGTTTCTATTCCTTTAGAGTCAAGCCGACCAGTATCAGTTTCTGACTCAAACATCCAACCAGCATAACGTTTTTTGGTTTCTAACACACAACCCATGTATACCTAGGCTCACAGATATTGACTGCAAACTGTTTTCAAAGAAACCTTCTCCAGTTTCAGAGTCACAGGACATGGATTCGCATTCGTGACATCCGCAGCAATTCTTCTGCCTATCTCGAAGGCTTCTTCTAACGTACCACCTCCAAACTATACTCTTCTTAGCCAGGAGATGTTATAATACCTGGTACCAGCACAAACATACTGTCAGTATCTCCATAGATAACTTGAGATGTTCCATAGTTCCCTTTAGCCACTTGAGCAATAGCTCTTTCTAATGTCTCTCTTCCCTTCAAATATATTCATTTTATATAATCAGCTATCATCATATACCTTTCCTAAAATAGCGTCAGCAAGTTCCGGACAAGGCATTCTTCCACTCCAATTAGCTGCCGTATATCCATAGGTGACGTTGGCTACTAGCTTCAAGGCTAATTGACGAGCATCCAAAATCCTCCGTAGCCTCTAAAATGTAAATTGAAGTATTGAATAGTCAAAAAAAGTAAGGTTAATTACACGGCTTTTTGCAAGTTTCATTGAGTTCTTGATCATGATTCTAGCACCCAGTACTTCTCGCAGCATGATGGGGATCAAGCCATCTCGAGCTTCTTTCGTTACAAAAGAAGCAGAGAGAGGAGAACATCGAAATTGTCTGGAAGCCACCGTTTCCACAATTGTCAAAGGCTGAAATGCGTGGAAATAATGAGATGATATTCAAAAATAACAAGCATTGGAATGCGTGTATTATATGCTAATTAGTCAACGTGAATATGCTAATTGCAAAACGTAAACAACATTTTGCTCATTATGTTCGCGTCGAATGGTTGCACCTCAAAACATATCGAAGAGCTTGTTGATTATGATAACTATGTTTTACTTACGTTTACGTCGTACTTCATAGCTCCTAACTCGAGAGTTTTCTCCGATGTGCTTGTAGAAAGCTCCAGATGATCTACTTTTCCCATTATGGTGGAAAAACAATAGTTGTACGCAATGATCATGGAAGGATAGAGAGACTGAGTAAATGAGTTATGATTAACATAGTGAGCGTTCATACTTGAAAATCAAGAACGATCACTGGATCATGATAGACTTTCGACACTGGCTCCAAAATAAGTTGCAACTGCTCTGGCGCACTCATTCTGACAAGTGAATTCGTTTATATCTAGACGTCTAAACCGTACTGAGTTCTTTGAGCTGGGCTTATAGCAGGAGCTACGTAACCTAATGTGTGAGCCAAACGAAGTAGCATGGATTCGACTCGAAACTGTGATCCCCTGTTCCATACCTGTCAGTTGAACTTTCCTCCATACGAATTACGGTAAGTCCCAACCTCACTTAACTGGATTCCATAAACACGAGCCATTTCCGCATTTCTCAAAAACCAATCCATCTCGGATAGAATATGAATATCAACGAAAGAAATCCGCAGCAAGTAACCAACAACAAATTTTCTGAAAACAGAGAAGCCGAGCTGAAGAATTGTAAACTGAGACTAAACGTTAGTCGTTTATCAAACTGTTCAACCATCTCACACAAGATGTTATTCGCAAAGTTTGGAACTTTCGTCTTCAAAACTTCAAGAGCTGCGGCACACCGATCATAAGTTCTGGACAGAAAAAAAAACATTTTCTACTGTAAAGCGCAGAACTACCTCAACGCTAAATCCCAACGAACAACTTTCCAGACAGTGGTGAGTATTCGCCCGTCGGGAGACGTTACATCAGATTCATTAACTTTCCAAGAGGTGCTCTCTGGAATTCACTCTAGCCTTATTTCAATTCTTCAGAAATCAGTAAAACCATTAAAATAGCGAGCAAGCTTTTTGATAAATCCCGGAATGCCGATAACTTCTCCTCGTCGAAGAAGATATCCCCATGATAGACGGTCAGTATCATATCCCAACAACATCTCGGGATCACATCTGATTTCTACCATCAGCAAAAAACATTTGCGTTGAACTAACTTGTGAATTATTTCGATAACTTTTTCGAAAATCTGTTTTTCGTCCTCCACCCAAAAACAGCGATCATCGGGCAGTAAATCAGGTGAGATAGTGGTTATGAAAACGTGTTCAGACGATTTGAGTGAACGACAAACATCGGGGATAACGCAGATTGAGACTCCTATTATGGGGTCAGACTAAAAAAAGTTATTTCCTTTTTTAAAAAAAAACAAATCAAAATTACAAAGGGATTCGGATATTCATGTGATGATTGAGCTATTATCTCTAGACTGGCCACTGAGAAATGAGCAACTTCAGCGATATCACCATCGGAAACCACTTTGACATCTTCAAAGAGTAATTGAAATGTCAACTGAGACAATTCATACCTGGAGCTTGTGTAGTTTCAAGAGACGTTCTATCAAGAAAGGATTCAGAGAAAAGCATTTTCTGAAGATTTAAACACAGATTTCAACAAGGAAAATCTCTGAAATTCTTACATTATGAATGCTTTTGTTTGTCATTGTCTTCGATATAGTATCCGACGATTGACTCTTCTGAGACGGAACCTCACTTTTAACTTTGAGTGGCAAGTCCTCATCTACGGTAAGCCATTCTCTAGAAGGAAGTTAATTAGGCTATTTAAAATTGGATCGAACCTCTGAACATTTTCATTCTCTTCTGGTAGTATTGATCTCACACTTCGTTGGCTTAGGTAGTTGGCCGTCTGAAACGCGTTCAACCATCAAAAATCAGTAAGAAGAAAGTACCTCTTTGTCTTCTAATGCCGCTAACATTGTCATGTCACTGATTTCCTCCTCTGCCTGTTCCTCTGTGATTTCGTCTTCTTTCGGAAGAATATCGTCTTCATCTTCTTCTCCAATTGGAAGATTCGGTGAATCCTGAGTTGACCATAGTGTTTCTGCTCGCATGTCTTCAGAGAAAGTCATATCCATATTAGGAGCGACAGTATCTGAATCAAAACACTAGCGGATTGATTAAAGTCAATATACCATTTAACATTTGAGTGTAAGTTCCACTAGAGGTTGTCGATTGTGAGGCTGAATCAGCAAGATTCTTTTTCAATCCTCTAGCGACATCTTTCATTCTTTTCTTCAATTCCCTCTCCTGGCGAGTAGTGAAGTATGGTCGAGGAGTATCTTACAAAAATTATTTTACTTAATGCATTCTACAAAGCAAGCTCACAAGTATTGAATGTGTCTTTGAGCTCTCGGTTCTGCAATCTACATCGAACAGCCTCTTCGCTCCAAAGATATTCCAAACCCGGATTAGTAGAATATTCTGATTGTTCAAAATGTTCGTTGAATAAGAATTTAGAGTTAACTGTTAGTTTTGTACATTTGAGAATTCATTATATCCGAAGCATACGCATCGCATTCAATCCAACACGAAGTTATAGGTGCTAAAGGAGACAAAGCTTCTCTATAAACATTCAACTTTATAAGTTTTGTAATCAGAGTTTGCTTACGAGTTTCGAATTTCCACTGCAGTTAAGTTTTCATGAATAACTTCTTAAGAAAAGAAGAAGCAAATAATAAGGAGAGATTTGTGTGCTGATATACCTGAACCAAGTCTGTGCGGTGAGATTCGGTAAAGAACTTTGTCGAAATGGATAACGTCCATTCCAAATAATGAGTAATCAATGAAGAACTGGAATAGAAACTATTTCTTTCGTCAGAGTACCAAAGGCACCTGGAGAGTATAAGGAATATGGGATTCGTAAGGTTGTAAGCCAGGAACTGCTTGAAGCTCCTTTCCTAGAGCTTTTGAGAGTCTGAAGGTTTCAGAATGAGAACCAGGGAGAAAAAAAGTTAACAAACTTGATTACATAATAAGGGTTTGTGAAATAAACTTTAGCATAAGATTCAGGCTCTTTGTAATATCCATATAGGGATCTGAGAGTACAACACTATATCTCGGGTGAACAGAAGGAGTGAGAGACTTCCTTTCAACTTCTTCCATTTTGAAAACAAAGTTTTGGTTGTAACTTCTGCCTGGTTTTTTATTCTTCTCTGATAACTCTCGTTGAAGGAGACGATTCAGTTTGGTTTTCATCAACGTTTCTATATAAGGAGTGAATGTACCTCCAACTCGAAGAAAGAGGTACGGAAGGACACCATGTACATGAACACAGGCTTTTCTTCCTTCAAACGCAATCGAATAAACCAATTACAATTCTCCAAACCTTCTTCAGTGATTCCAAAAATATGTAGAGTAGGTACAGTGCAATTTGATTCATAGACTTTCATATTTACTTGGTTTGGTGGCCCCAAGGAATAATCGCAAATGACATTCCGCATTTGGAACGCCATACTTCTGTTAGAGCCTGTATGGAATCAATCTCATAACACAGAAAATATATAATCGATTAGACTATTTAAGAGAACGAAGAAAATTAATGTTTTATAGATGTTTATGAGAGACTTCCCCAGTCGGGACCGGAGATGACTTTGACCCGTAAAGGAACTCGTAAAGGAAAAACATTTTGCATGGAACTTTTGATTTTCTCTTTTACAGCGTCCAGAATGGAGTTATGACACTCCACCAAAACTTCGTCATGGACCGTCATCACGAGATGGCAATCCATTCCTGAATCATAAGGGTCGTTCAGAGTATATACGAAAAGTTAAAAGAAACCTATTATGCTTTTGTTAATATTGAGTAGAGCTTGTTTGAAAATTTCACTAGCGGTTCCCTGTATGGTAAAGTTCATAGACTGCCGATCATCCTGAGCTTTCTCATCTTGCTTTCCTCTGCTCTTTGTGAGTCTCCGACGACCTAGCACAGTGGTAACAAATCCAGCTTTCGAAGACATTTCCTTGGTGTTATTAATATATGACTGGACGGCTAAAGGAGGAAACTAATGGTTGATAAGACACTCGACTCACCGGGAAAAGTTTTGAAGAAGGAATCAATCAATTTCTGAGCATTTTCCACAGTGGAAGAAGTAGTATCAGCCAAGCTACGAACACCCATTCCATAGATAATACCGTAGCACAACTGCTTAACACAGTCTCGACTAAATCCCCATTCTCTTGATAGGTCTTTGAAGAAATCTCTTTCTGCAATACCTATTGCTGTTTCTATAAAAGTATGAATATACCTTCATTCCCTAAACGAGAACAGAGCAGTTTATCTCCACTGAGATGAGCCAGTACACGAAGTTCTAACTGACAGTAATCAGCAGCAATCAAAGAATACTCTGAAGCATTATAATTCATATGTGTTAATTGGAACCAAACTCACGAGAAGAGGTTGCAAAGAGTGATCTCCCAGAGAAAGAAAACTCATCTTTCCCTTTCGGAACTGTTTGTATGTTAGGTCGATTACTCAGAATTCGGCCTGTTGCTGTACAGATTAACATGCTGGTCCTTATTCTTCCATCTACATCCACGCATTTGGATAACGGCAAAAGACATTGCTAAGTTAATGCATGAGAAACAAAGAAAATGAAAACGAATCTTACAGTCACCGTATGTTTCAAACTTCGGAAAGTGAGAATCTTCTCCACAATTGGATACTCAGGCTTTAGGGACTCTAGAACCGCTTTGTTCGTTGGTAGATGACGAGTGTTGCCTCTGCCACCCGGGTGTGGAATTTTCAAGTTAGAGAACAGCACCTAAAAGCTTAATCAAATAGGAATTTTCCATATGTAGAGAACAACCTCCGATACTTGAGAGGGACTGTCCAAGTTGAAAGCTCGATGAGCAATACTTTGACACTCAGCTTCCAGTATGTTCATCTTATCCCGAATGTTATCCAACTCTTTAGAGCACCTCGCACCAGAGAAAGCTATACCCGTGCAAATCATTCTTAAGAAAACCTTCAAAGCTCTTTTCAATAAGTATTTTCCAAGAAAAACTGACCGAGACCGAACTTGTTTCCAGAGATATACTTTGTTCGCTTGACAACTTCACAGCAATGGGTTTGATCTTATCAAACAACCTGTAGTTAGCTAACATGTGCTCAATCAGATAGTCATCAACTTACTGGCTAAGAACAAACGCTTCTGTAGTACATTTGATCCGAGGCCCACGATTGAAATGCGAACTAACATCAAAAGTCCAATCAAACTTAGAAACCAGCTGATTTAATGGTATTGGATTCTCACCGTTACGATATAGAGCTAGAAAACTCAAAAACTCAATGCAGTGAATTTTTTCGATCTAAAGAAGGACGTATCAGATGAAAACAAAAATGTTTTGATAAAACCAGAATGCTTAGAGACTTGTATATCTTCATTCCAACTTCTAGAGCATCGAAAGCGTGAACTGTGCACGATGTAAGAATTATTGAGAGTTGATTTTTCTTCATCTCATTCGTTATGTTCTCATCAGGAGTTGCAGAAGGCGCAATGGCTTCATCCGTCGAGTTACCTAGAACAGGTAGTAGTGAGGTGAGATGCTTTATAACTACCTGGGTAATAATCATCAGCCAGCGGAAGAAAATCAACAGAATCATCTCCACATAAAGCAATTGCGGTAATTTCTTCCGTTCTCTTATCAGTAATGATAGATACTCCAAGACTGGTCCAATTCAAACTACGCGAAACAAACTGTCTCCACATGGACGAGGAGGAGCAAACGTCGTTCACAACAAGAGATCTTGCTGGAAATACCGGTACCCTTCTACTGAATTTGCTTATGGGACTAGCCACAGAGGGTGACCACTGAAATATCAAAACCTCCAAATTATTCTTCAGTGTAGAGAACGTACTATGGACCGACTGAGTCTTTTCTTCAGCTTATTGGCAAGAGGTGAATCATCGAATAAATCGACACTTGTATTCTTCTCTTCCATGGATGTCTCAGCTACAGTGTTAAGCGATGAAGCATTTGATAATCCTTAATAAAATCAGATCAGAACTTGTTTTTTGAAACCTAAGAACTTCGACTGTTGCCTTGTGACCAGGATGGTAAGCAAGGTGACTTGAACTGTAATTGAAAGAGATAAATGTTGAAAATTCTGAGGAGGCTCACTTGCAGCGGGATATCAAAAGAATCTTCGAACACCGCATTTTCTTTGTTGTCTCCACTCTCATTAGTACTTCTCAAGATGGAATGAGAGAGCATGAGGCTTGTTTCCAAATCATCTACTTCACCATCTAAATGAAGATACATGTTGAAATAATAAATGCAAAAGCAACTTTGAATTCCCAGACTTGTGGCTCCTTGCGAACTCTCCAGTTGCACAGAATCGTTAAGCGAAAGCTGAAGAAAACATTCAGCAAATTGAGGTTATTATGAGCGAAAACCTCGAGCAAAGTGTTACTGAAAAGGTCAATACTTGCATCCTCAAAACTGTCACTGTTATCGTTGAAAGAGCTTTGATTGTTCTCTTCCATTGGCGAACTACGACCCTGATCACTAAATGAATTCAGTTACATACGGTGATGGAGATGATAACAACACCTTTCTTGAGAAGCTTGAGAGTCTTTTATGAACGAAGCAGAAAGATCTGAATTATCGTCACTGGTTGTATTATCATAAGAAGAAAGATCTTCTTGTGAGGACACCGTTTTCGAGGCTTCCTGCTGTGATGGGGCAATGCTCTTTTGACTTCTAATATCGTCTTTGACACGATCCTTTCGTTTAATTACAATGGCAGACATATTGAAACCTAATGATCTGAAAACCATTCGCATTAGTATTAAGAGCATAACTTAGAGACATACTTTAACTGTTCTTGAACAAGCTGTTCAGCTCTTGATATGAGAATCTCAGCAGCTTCAATCAAGGTAGTTCGTTCTTCCCCCAACAACCATTCATTCTTGCCATCATTAACATTTGAACTGAAATTATGTGAGGAAATACGACGAGAATAGATGAACGTCATGAAAATTAGCTGTGAATTTGAAGAATGAATGGCAAAATTTGTGGGCATCTGCTTAAACGACAACTTGCGCAATCTGGATGAATCACCTCATGTTCTACAAGTTGTGTGTCACTTCGACTCATCTCCAATTATGGTAATAGGCTTAACTGTCTAGTAGAAGTCATCTTCTTGTTTTTGTTACGTAATGTTTAAATGAAACAATACTGTTATTGTGAGACGACTGACCAATGTGATATGGTCATCTTGGAAATTCGTTATTTATGCTAATTAGATTGCTATTACAACAAGTTAAGGTCAATTAATGTTGTCTATTATGAAGTTTTACAATGAAATTGTGTTGAAAACAGTTAGTTGTCTCAAAGTTCTATAGGTCATTGGAATTTTGAGGCATTGCCAGGACAGCCATTGCTGAACATTCATCATCTTCTCATCATGAAAAAAAGAAGAAGAAAGAGAGAAAGGACACTCACTCACTCTCGAGCATTGTATGCAAATTGTCTCGTGTAACAAGTACAAAACATCATCAAGTTTCTAAATAAGGAATAGATCCATAATCGTTGTAATTGCTCAAGGAAACACAAGACCATTCGTGTCTTTTGCACAACACGAGGACAATCCATCCAAGAATGTGTGAGAGAGAGAAAGAGAGAATGAGAGAGCGCGCGTAAAACCAATGGCAAATGATAATAGACTTAATAATGCCATGAATGTATTGTTCTCAATTAGAAAATGAAAAAAAAAGAGAAAGATGTAAACTCACTCATCGTATGGAACAGCCAATGAGAGAACATTCGTCACTTCTTCCAACGTTGAATTCGATAACTGCGCCAATGAGGATATGTTCTTCTCATGAAATATGCGAGCTCTGAAATTCCATTTGAATGAAAGGTTAGATGGCGAAAACTGTTTATCCATACCTGCTACCATCGATTCCCTCAATACGGACTAACTCTGTTAACTCAGCTCTAACTCCAAATGCTAAACGTAAAGCGAAGTTATCCAACAATGAACGAAAATACTGCCAGCCAAGACGTGAGCAAAACGCAACAACCATTGCTGAAAATCATCTAATTTGCATAATAGTTGGCGGGATTTGAGTTTCAACTTCATTTTGATTTTTGCAAGCGTGCAGTCTGGTTGCTTCTCGGCTCAAATTTCATTCAGGCAAAATTACCATGAAGCAGACACCAAAATGGTTTTATGAAATTTTCAACTTTGATATAGTTTGAATCATCATCCCCTTAATAAAACTGAGTGGCAATTTTCAGACTCGAGACGGTTATAGCAGAGGCCGCATGAGGGTGAAGGAAAGACAAGAGACAAACGAAGGCACTTTTCGAGACAAATTAAGGCAATCATAGAATGGTAGCTCCTTGACGGCCAACTAATCAGACGAAAACACGCCTCTAACAATACTAATCATAAATCCGAATAGTCTGTTTCGTTTCTAGACCATGATAGTATGCTTTAGTCGTCATGTTTTCATTCTGTGCAAGCTCATTATTACCCACACACAGTAAAGAAGAAAAAACTTTCGTAAAAGAACAACGAAGACGGTAACAAGTGCTGACGTTTGTTACGAAATGTTCTTCGTTTTTTCTTTTTATTCATGTTTGATCAACCCTTTTCACACATAACACTCCTGTCAAGTTGAATACAGTAATTACCGGCATAGGTGGCACTCTGTTGCTGAAGAGTCTGGAGAGAACCACGAGGAATTTGAAAACGATTTGCAACTTCCGCCAATGATTTTTCATTCACTAGATCAAATAGAGCAAGTGACGAAAAAAATCGTAGATGTAACTGTAATTCCGATATAAAAATAGTAACAGTGAAGTTGCAGTGTCTCACCTGAAGATCTCGATCAGTTGACTGTATAGCACGCTGTTGAACACGGCCAATTATGAACTGCTCATTAGCTCCAACCTGAAATATGATAGAAGGGCAAGTCAGCCAAGTGATAGTCAAGTACCATTTTAGCGATTCGCTTACTATCAGCTTCTAACGTCACAAATATTTTATGAAGATTATGCCAATCGCATCCTTGCCAAATTGAACAATTTGCTGGTGTGACCTGTTCGAGAAAAGAAAACATAAACAACTTTCATCTGTCAGAATAATCAAACCAAATAAAGCATATGAAGTTCTGTATCAATGGCTAAAGCTTTTGCTGCTCTTTGTAAATCAGAGAAAACGAACAAAGCTGCATCAGGAGGTAAAGAAGATGCTAACACAGCTTGTCCGAGTTGAGTAGGTGTAAGTTTGGAAACTGGATTTCAATTTAGTCAAGAAACATGGATTAGACAAACCTATTTCATCTCCATCATCTGTGGTGTTTCCGCTTATTAAAGAATTTCGTATTAAATCTGATACTACTATGTCTCCAGTTTTGTAAGTAGGGTAAAGCAAGGATTGAGAAAGTGAAAAAACAGATTGTAAAGAAGGTGTTAAGCCAGTACAAACTCCCTGAAAAAAAAAAAGATTTCTGATTGAGCGGATGGTTTGGATACGAACCTCCATGAGAACTTTAGAAGAATCACGTTTTATGGTTTTTGAGATCAGTTGAGGTTGAATCAATCGTAGTACTGTGTCTCGTTCATGAGCTCGCATGACGAGAATGCTTTCACCTGAAATAAACATTTTTTTAAATTTTGAAAAAATGCCTGATTTTTGCTTTTTCATGCATAAGGAGTGAAAGAGGTAAAAGAAAAAAAAGCAGCAGCAAAGAATCCTCTCCCTACCCATCTTATTAGATTTTCTCAAATTTCAAAACTCAAAATCCAAAAGTACACATGAAGTTTGGAAAGGCGAGACGATAAAGCGCGAAGAACTAAGAGAACTTTGTTTAATGTGTCATTCGATGGTAAAGCCAATTTTAATTTGCAGCAATTGGGCAATTTGAGCATTTTGTGAGTTCTCCTTTATTTCTTTTTATTTGTTTCTAACTTTTGAATATTTCGTTATAAGATTTTGATGCTGCTGCTGCAAATTTGTTCATATTCCTAATACAAAATATTTATAAGCTCAATTATAATATTCTTGAGTTAAATGCTACCCTTCATCTTTCCTTCTCCGTTCTTCAAGATGTTTTTCCTTTGTTCGTCTCTCTCTCTCTTCAATTTTATCTTTCTCTCCGCGTTCCGAAGACCCTCCTTTTCCTCCATTAGTGGCTGGAAATTAGGTGGTCCCCCCTCCTCTTCCGTAAGCTCCGCCTTCATACAGTAGCATATCAAAATGCTGTCCATGTTAGGTGGTCGTCAGTTGAACATCAGAAGGCTACTTTAGACAGCTGATATAGCTTTCTTCAATTCTATATTCATATATGAACATTCTCTTTCTTTTTAATTTGCACACTGAACTTATTGAACTTGTGCACCTCTCTCATATTACTCCCGCCTCATAGTACTTGTTTTAGTTTTTTGCCTTCGCAACACAATGGCTGTAGATGATATGCAATTAGCCGGGATGAATCAGATGACTGGCAATCCTCTTGGCCCTCAACGAATGAGTTTTGCTATTCATGAAATACTGGGCTTACAAGGAAATCCATATCTTGGACATGGATATTGTCCTCAGGGCTTTTTCCCTCAGCAGGTACTGAATGCCTAGTTAGAAGAATAGATGTATGTTATCATAGGGATTCTCTATGGACATCGGTGCTTGTGTACCGTTTGATCGCTCCATATGCAGCGCATCATCAGACACAGCTGGAATATCAGCTCAAAGTAGCCAGAACTTTGAAAATATATCTGAATCACCGAGTTCAGGTTCAAATGGCTCTGTGGGCTATAGTTTAAACCAAAATCATTCGGCGAGTCCATTGGATGATACAGCTCAACCAGCTACCTCCGGAGGGAAGAATAAAAGAAAAAAACGACGACATAGGTATGGTTATGAATGGATACACCCTAAACCATTTGCTGCAAAGCTTTAGAACAATTTTTACGCAATACCAAATAGATGAGCTCGAGAAGGCATTTCAAGAAGCTCATTATCCTGATGTTTATGCCAGAGAAATGTTGGCCAACAAGACGGAATTACAAGAAGATCGAATTCAGGTTAATAATCCATCATATACTATACTTTATCTCGTATATATATATATATGCTTCACGTTGAAAATTAGCATAAAACAAACATTTTCACGTAAACAGCACATAGTTCACTTCCACTCATTCATTTTTGACGTCACCATCGTACTAAGCGGTTGCAATTTGAAATTCAAGAGAATTACATAATGTTTTGATTCAAAAACAAAACTCTTTTTGTTCTGATATTATGAAGGAAGAGTAAGTAGAGACAAGATATTCTTCATGGTCATGTCATGAACTCTATTCATTTCCGTTTTTGAGAGAGAGGCGAAAATCTGATTTACACCCTGGCCCATGTAATTTCCAAGGGTGATATTCAACTTCTCGTCGGGCTTTTCAACATCTCTATCACTTTCTTCCATAGAAAGGGATATTCATATTTTGAAGCTCAATCTAGTTGTATAATTCGCAGAAGAAGAAAAAAATAAATGAATGAGAGTAGAAGATAGCTGAACCATTCGTATACGAAGACATCAGAGACACCCGACCCTAAGTTGTCATAACTGTTTAGGAACGACACTTCCAATTAGCTGAAAAGCATATTTGAGTAAAAATAACTGGCAAGAACTAGAGCCAAGAAGAAGAAATTAGTGTTATGGTCTCATGAGCACACCCATTGAACAACGTCACACATTCTCATATGATTCTTACAAACTTAACTGAAGCTTGAGAGAAACCAAAGAAAAAATCTTTTTCCTTCAATTTCAAAAATACAACTGATGTTGCTTGTAGGTTTGGTTTCAAAACAGAAGAGCGAAATGGAGGAAGACTGAGAAAACGTGGGGCAAGAGTACCATTATGGCAGGTAATCCTTTAGAAGAAGAAAAGACATTCTAAACCATAAACATCATCAGAATATGGTCTCTACGGTGCTATGGTTCGTCATTCTCTTCCTCTCCCTGATACAATCACGAAATCCGCCGAATCCACAGATCCTCAACAGAGTGCAGCACCATGGCTGTTGGGTAAGTGAAAAACAACACAACATCATCTCTCTTTAGCATAATAATATTTTGAAAAAAGAAAGTTCCTTGATTGAATGCATTAACAGTCGATATCATCAGTCAAAGGCTATCTCCCACATGAGGCAAACATGTTTCATTTCTTTTATGTTAATTTTTGGCTTGTAACGATCATCTTTTTATAAATGGTCCATCTCTCAAAGCTATGAGAGATATGACCTGAGCATTCGGGACGATTCCCATGCGTCTCCAATGTTTCCAATTAGTCGGCAATTAGATCAAGAATGGAGCTATCTGCCACTATCGTCATTTCTCTTCTTTATTTGTCTTTACATTGCGCCATTATTGCACTTATTTAATTACATCAGGTTTTTACAGCTTTACAACCAAATAAGCTGTTTAAGAATGGAGATAGTCTTTGAAAAGATATTCATTGAACTTAGAACTTGCTCATTCGTCATCGTTTCAGGAATGCACAAAAAAAGCTTGGAAGCAGCAGCCCACATGGATCAAGTAGATAAGGCATGTGCTGGCAGTGATGAGGACTCAGATGATGAGACACACATGAAGAGTTATATTCAAAAACAGGTCAGAAATTTTTCACAAAATTTTGCTTCAAATCGTTCATGTTACTTCAGATTGCTAACCAAGTGCACATCGAAGCCGATGTCTGTAGACAATTAGGTCGTAATTCACAAATTACAAACGGTCAGGCTCAACCACATCAGCAATTTTGTCTGCCAAGTAATCCAAAACATTACCAATGAAATTGTAAATTAAAAAACCATATACTCTTTAATAAATGACTAATGTTTAAAACTGTTAGAAATGACGTCCTGCTGAGCTAACAGCAGTTCAGAAGGTAACCCGACATGCCCCCCATCATAACTACTGTATTAGCAATTATCTGTCTCGAAGTGGCGAGTGAAGTGTGTCAAGTATAGACAACCATCAAACAAGGAAGAGCAACGGATAACATCTTACTTCTTCCGAGAAATCATCAAAAGCTGACTTCCTAATTGCATCCACTTCAGAGGTTTTTAACAAAAACCGCCTTTCACACACATTCAGAAACCAGACCAAAAAACTCAGCGTACCGTTTTCGCTTTGACCTAAACGACCAGCACGTCCAGCCATTTGTTGGTAAGTCGTCGATGAAATTGCAGCCGGACCACGAGTTTGTGACTTGATGATCACTCGGTATGCAGGCATGTTAACACCTTGAAAAACTTTTGATTACACACAAAAATACTTACAAGAAAACACCTGATGATAAGGTACTCGTTGCTACTAATACTAGAACAACTCCTTCTCGGAAAGCTTTCTCTATGCACTCGCGTTCTTCAGATGTCAGACCTGCAACTTGCAACTTTAAGTGATCCATGTTTCTGGACTAACCAGCATGATGGTAAGCTACAGCTCTTGGTAGAGTTTTCATCAAAATCGGATCGATCTCTCTACAAAACTGTTCCAAGTCTGCCTTCATAGCTAGCAGAGCTTTCTTATTAACACGTGACTCCATTTCAGAACTTTTTCGGTAACATCCATCCAACTGCTTGGCGATTTCTAACGCTGTCTAAAGCCCAAAACACTCAGAGGTACACGAACGATAAACTCACATTTTCAACCTCGTTTTTGGAAGAACAAAACACGAGTGTTTGCTTCTTCTGATAAACAGCTTCCACAGAAAAACTGAAACTAAGATTCGAAACCAATTACTTAATCTGATCGGTACCCGACGGAGCAATCGACGTCCCCAGGATACCGATGAGAAACATCCAACTTTCTAACTTCTTTCTTGTTTCTCATATCGTAAACAAATCCATCATAACTCATGAACTCATTGAGTTCGATGGGGCGAAAGTCCGTAACCTTTACCTGAGGAAAACATTCAGAGGAGAGGAAAACAACGAACGAACCTCAGCACTCATCCACGTCTTTATTTTTTCCAAATTAGGCAAAGTAGCACTCATTCCTAACAATCTAACATGTGTATTCTCAACACTGCAATCAGAACAGTCAAATATCCTGCCAAATGAAAACTGAATACTTTTTATTGCAAAATAAAATTTTTGTAGCCAAATTTTCCAAAGTGCCTCCGCGAGATGGATCATCCAGCATATGGATTTCATCTAACACGATCATCCCTGCAAACCTATTTTACATTCATGTTCATCAAGGAACCGCACCATATTCATGAAACGTTCCATCTTGAAGAGCATGATTCAGCAGACTATTAGCCTTCTCCATCGTACAGACCGCAGCAATCCATTCTCTGCATTAGCATTATTTAACGTTGCTATGGTATTTTTACCTAGAAGGCGCAGAAGTGGCACCTATGAATCCAGCCACTTGTAAGTCTACAGATCTCCAAATCTTTTGTATCAAATTCAATTTTTCTTTGGCTACACTGATGTATGGCAAAACAAATAAAACTCGCTTTCCTTTTAAAGCAATTTTTAATGCTGATAATGGGGATTATTAAGAAAACTATTTTGAATGCTCAAGTTACCAAGTAGCTCAGCAACAATACTCTTGCCTGCACTAGTTGGGGCAGATATGAGAAGGTTGTCGATTCCATTGTCAGTACTCAAAACCTCGTGCTGCCATTGGAAAAGACCTTTTATGCCCTGAAGGAAGGTACATTTCCTTAAGAAGGTGTTTTGACTAAACCTTATCATGGTAATGTTGAGTAACACAAGATGGTATCCAAGATGGAAAACTCAATAACTCGTACATTTCCCTTACATAACTAAAATAGAAAATAAAGTTTAATTGGATGCAATAGATAAAAATTTACAAAGAAAGGAAAGAAATATTTGGATGAACTGTCTGTCCACACACAGATAAGCTTTACAAGGCACATTAACCGAAATGTTACACAAAAAAATATACAAACAGATATAGTTTATCACTGGCATAGATATATATAAACACAATACAGCCTAAAACTGACTATTCTATCAAATTTTAAAACATACTTCAGCCTTTCATGCGAGATCGTTAATTAGTTATTATAATCTTCTTCTTCAGCTAATATAATCTATATTGGCCTCTGACCCAAACTTGGAGAGCTAAATTTTTTAACGCGTAAAGGTCGCATCAAGCTTATCTGTTCTTGCTCCTGAAACTAACTGTCAAGAGATAACGGATAAGTATTCAAAATGTTACAGAATTCAGTGGTGAAGACTTTTCTACAGAAGAAGATTTCACAAATGTTGTATTGACGCCAGCCATCGGCATTTCTTCGACTATGTTCTGTTTAAGAAAGATTTGAAACTGTAAACATTGCTCTACTGTACCTCCATGTCTTCAATATGTAGCTTCGCTGGCTCAGTTTTATCTACGAATCGCGAACGTCTCCGCGCATTCTCAGTTTCGTCTGCTTTAATTGGAGAAATATCGGTGGCTCTTAAGAAGAAACGAAGTTACGACCAACTTAGCTATTTAAACAACCTTGGTTTTCTTTTTCGCGCAGCTGCTGGATGCCAAGAGTTATCTAGAGTTTTATCCCCATTTGGGTTTGGATCATTCTCATCGCAAACAGCTTCTAACGTATCTCGGACCTAGGAGTCATCGTCTTTCGATATATTCAAAATAATTACTCACATCTCCAAACCATTCTTTGCGCGAGACTTGTTTCTGTCGTTTGGATAGTGGAGGATCATCAAGAGGTGCCAACTCTGCTTGAATGGAAGATTTTTTCTTGCTCTTAGTAGTTTTCTAGATATTTAAAAGTTTATCAACAATTTACACATAAACAGAAAAACCTGAGTCTTGTTTTCAGCGAAATAGTTCATAGCTTCGTTGATAATTGTACCAAGCTCTTCAGTTACTTTTTCATCTCTAACTGGATTGCTTACAACAGAGAGGAGGGAGGAGTACTGAAATGAGATAATAAGACTTTCTACTTTTGAAAAAAAAAAACCTTTTCTTCGAGAGCATTGAATTTCTGATTGGAGTTCTCTTGAATTTCTTTCTCTTTAGCTTTGAATTCAGCTGCTTGCTTCCTCATACTCAGCTGAAAGTTTGAAGTTGATGAAGTTCAAGACGAAATGGTATACCTTAAGATCTTTTATTTCTCTTTCAGATTCTGTACACTTTTGTTTATAAGATTTGATTTCCAACTGGAGTTCTACACAATTCTTTTTCTCTTGGACTAGCTGAAAACTCAAGTTAATTAGGTTGAAACAGTTTTTTTCAAATTACAGCTTCAATGACTATTTTCAAGAACTTTGTAGCCGAAGCAACAGTATGGATGTTCTTTTCTTTGATCATCTCAAAGATACGATCAGGATCTACTTTGGTACATCCTTCTTGTAAAGATTTCAGTTCTGCTGAGCTGGAATTGAATGAAAATTCATCGAACGGCAACTATTCCAACTAACCAAAACTCTTGTTGCGATTCAAGAGATTCTATTTCTTTGAGTGAATCAGAATGTTTCTTGTAATCATCCTCGTTCAGATTCAGTTCACCATCGTCAGTAGTGTTCTGAAACTTTTCATTGAAAGAGATCATGATAGCTCAGCTCACCTTTCGCACTAGATCATCCACAATAGTTTTCAATCTACTAATTCTGCTGACAATTTTCTTTCGCTGATCTTTCAATGTCGTACACATCAACTCAGCTTCAAATCCACTAGCCAATAAAATCAATTCTTCCATTAGAGTAGCCTGAAAACAATCAAAATGCGTACTTGATCGAGAATTTTCTGTTACCTTGATTACTTTCAGTGACTTCTCATCACTAATCATCATATCATTGAAATTGGCTTGAACACGACTTCTCTGATTTTCCAACCGTTTCGTCAACTTCTTCGACTCTTCAAGCTTTTGCTTGAGGATAGCCACCTTCATTACATTAGCTCTGGTTTCACGAGCAAACTCTCCTTCTCTCTTTCTTTCCTAATAAGTTTCCTATGAGCAAGTGAAGAAAAGCTATAGTTACCTTAGCTTTGAGTTGAGCCACCTCTTTCTCCATTTTAGCCTTCATACGAAGATGCTTATTTATCTCTTCCTTTGCTTGCTTCATCATCCTAACACGAGTTTGTTTCAAGTCAGTGATCTCTTTGTTCATTTTCTTCATGTTCTCTTCACATTGTATTTTCTCAGCTTCAACTCGCTTCATATCAGCCATTTGTTTTTTATACATTTGGAGCTGCTTATCCATATCTTGAAGCTTCTTTCTGCGATCCTCAGCAATCCTAAACACAACATTATATGACGTCATAACTTATAGAACAACTTGTTTCCACTATTCTGCTTTCTCAATTCATGCTCTTTTTCACCCATTTGGGAAGTGAGATTATCAATTTTTTGTTGAAGAGCCGTCATCTCAGCCTGAAGTTTCGAAAATAACTACTGTGATGAACAGGAATTACTCACCTCGTTCGACTTGAGAAGTTTAACATAGTTCTCGTTATCTTCAGTAGCCCTCTTCAAATTCATCTCCCTTTCCTGAATTTGCTTGTAAATATCTTGTAAATCCCTGTCCAACTCGTTAGCACGACTAAAAACATTTCACTTATTGAAGCATTCATCAGAATCTTACTTTTTATTTTTTTCAGCAGTATCTTCATCTAATTCTCCATCTTCACTGTCTTCACTGCTCATCGGAGCAGTTTCATACTCAGATGAATCCTGTTGGACATCCTGAAAAAACAAGCTTTATTCTCAAAAATGAGTTCTGCAGTTACATCTCCTGTTACATCTAATATGTCTTGAATCTGCTTCAGTATGCTAGCTGCCTCTGATTCTATCGTAGCCCTTCAAAACAAAATTAAACATTTGAAAGGGTTGTAAACGTACTCTTTGAGGAGCACAACTAGTTTTTCCCTATCTTCTTCTAACTTGATGAGTTTTCGCATAACGCTCAGCTAAAAAGCAAATCAGTCAAATAAATTGAGAATTGAAACCTTCTGAATCATAGCTTCCGCAGCTTTGCTACCTTCTTGAGACAGGAGGCGCTCTTTTTCAGCTAAGGCTTCTCGCAAATGATTCAACTCAGTGCTGTCACTAGAAATGAGGTATCGTATAAGTATTCAAATGATCACCTACATTGTAGTATTTGCATTAGATGCAATTATAGTTCCACCTCCACGTATTTCAGCAATCTCTCGTTGCAATAATACCAACTGAAACTCATTTTCAAAAAACGAACGAACAAGAAGTTAACCTGTTCTTTCAATTGCTTAATAATGTTCTTGTCTTGGTCAACAATAACAACAGGCTTATTCTTAATTTTCTTGGCTCGGTCAGCATATCTCAAAGTTGATAACGTTTCCTCAGCGTTTGTATCAGCAGGTGATATACAAGCAATCATAACTGTGTAAGAGTTTCCACCCAACGAATCTTCAATCGAGAAACTGAGAAACAATTTCATTCACAATAGTTACCTTGTAACAGTCTTGTAATTTTTGAGTCACGGTAAGGGATGTGTCTATTATTGCCACCAGGTTCTGAGAGAGCACTGATAACGTTTCCAAGAGCCAGTAAACCTGCATACTACAGTGGTGGAACATAGAAGAAAGAAATCTAACCTTCATTAATTCTAATACCCTCCTTGAGTCTGGTTCCTTCAGCTTGCGTTTTCTTGATTCTTTCTGAACCAGCCAAATCAACAAGGTGCAATTTGGCTTTGAACGATGGTCCAGCTCTGAGGAGTAAAATGAAAAATGTATAAACTTTGGTAAAACTGACTCATCGGAGAGAGATGTTTTTTCCAGATCGATTCTGAATATTGCATGACTTCTGCTACTAACAGCATTCATAGCAGTTTCTCCCATACTTCTCTGTTGGCATCCTTCCTCTAGGGCAGCCATTGTTTGCCTCAAGTTATCAACTTCGCGAACGGATAGACCAGGCACCTTGGGTCATAACATAATAGGCGTGAATAGGATAAAAACATACAGAAACAATTCCGTTAATTTCACGAGCTTGAAGACCTTCTCGATCTCTAGGGGCAGTAGTAAGTAAATCACGAATTTTTTCATCATATATTTCAAGCATTGATACAGTTACCTATTACACAAAGATTGAACAGAGATAAAAAAAAATAGTCTTACCTTATAAGTTTCATGTTCAGAGGTTAGTGCATTAATTCTATTGAAAAGGTCTTCCACGAAACGAGGAACGATTCCTCTACTATTGGAGGTAATGCTTTCCGTAGTCTCGGCAGTACCCATTGTATAAGTTTTTCCACTGCCAGTTTGGCCATATGCTAATATCGTGCAATTAAATCCTATAAGAACATATGAGCGTGCTACTAAAACTCATGAAACCTTTCAAAAAACTATCTAAGAGAGAAAGGACTGTAAGTTCATAAGCAGACTGTTGGTCAGTACCGGGGTCCATTACAGAATCAAAAGTGAACATTTTCCCATTACATGATAACTGCAAGAAAAACTAACAAAAAAATGCAAATGAAACATACCTGATTCGCTTCTATGAAAAACTGTAGACATTCCGTAGCTTTTTCATTATTCTCTCTTTGGTTGAAGGGTCTGCACCTTACGCATACCCGAACTGGTATAACATCGGGCGCACCAGACATCTGAAGAACAAAATTGAAACGAAAACTCAAAAAGACGGAAAAACATTAGAAAATGCGGAAGAATGTTGAATTAATTTTTATTTCTGATGAGTACGACCCGTTTCTTTCAGAAAAAATCTGAGCACAACCGTCTCATAATTTAAATCTTTCAAAAATGATCTCAAATTTTGGAATTCAATATAATCAAAACTAGCTTGGAAACAAGTTTGTTATTCATTTAGCTGTTTAAGAAAGCTCGAATACAAATTAGAAGCAATTATGTTAAATACATTGATTTATAAACGGTAAGAAGCTGTTTCAAAAATATTTTATTCCCGCTTCTCTTCTAAATATTGGTCCCGCAGCGCTTTCTATTAATGAGTTGACATCTCCACGGTTGAATATATAGAAAGCCATTTATGATTTTTACGTAAATTTGCGTACTTTTTAGAAAAAAAATCATAATTAACAACGGTTTATTCCATTAAATACATTCTATTTTTGTTTTTAGTTGCATGATGAAAATCTATAACTTATGCTTATTTGCAAGAAACCTTTTAACATCCTCAGTTCGTTCGAACATCCTAGCTGTACTTCAGCAAACATTCAACAAGCGTTTTCAATGCCTTAGTGTTCTGTTGTACCGTTTCACTCTCTTACAAAATATACATCTTAACAGTTTGCTTCATCAAAATCAGTAGTATTGTTACAGCTATGACTTATTTCACAAATTGGGATGAGTTTGCTAAATCTGCAGAGAGACTCCAAGCTTCAAACCCCGAGAAGTGCAGGTTCGATTTATATGTAAATGATTTCTCATTACTTATTTCATTCAGATTAGTTTCCAAATACAATCATCGTGATGGAAAGATGATAATTAAAGTTACGGATGATGTTGTTTGTCTTCAATTTAGCACAAATCAGATGCAAGATGTGAAACGATTTGAAAAGTTATCAGCCACTATGATGAGGAATGCGATTGCTCAATAACTTTAATATTTATTACTTTCATTGTTATTTATGAATTTCCAAATGAATATAAGCATAAGAGGGAGCTCTCGAGCTGTTATACAGTGAAATCGTTAACGTCTTTGCAAGAGCAGAGTTTGTGTAATCTCGGATAACGCTAGCTATAGAGGGAGCAGTTCACGAAGACTACAAAAAAGTTCCGTGAATAGATGAATAGTTCTGATGTAACCGGTTCCGCTATGTCAATCTCTCCAAGAATTAAAGAAGTTTATTAATTCCGAGCACAGTATCGTTCTGATTCATTGTGAAGTGGCTAGGTGTGGGCAGGGAGGAAGGCAGATATGACGAAGAGACGGTGTTTGTGTTCTTCGGAAGGTCAGGCTGAATCAAACAGATTGAGGGATAGAGAGAAGCAGAGAAAATAAGTGTAAGGAGGACCGGAGGGGGAGGGAAGATGAAGAAAGGGTGGAGAATGAGAGATCGACTAATAGACAACAACGAGGATAAGCTGCACAACCACAGTGCAATGGATTCCCGTGATGAAGCTGAGGCTCGACAAAAGGTTAGTCAGATTTTTTCACACTATACTAGGAATAAGACGATTATGACTTTATCCTCTATTTTTTTCATTTTTTTTATCTCTTATTAGGTTCGAGAAATGATGGCACAACCTCCTCAGCAAAGGCCTCCAGATTTTACGAACCCATTGGAGAAAATAGAACAATTGTTGACTTGCCCGATCTGCTTAGATCGTTATAAGTAAGTTTTTCCAAACCTTCCTCTATACGATTTTGAGGAAGTTTCGTGAACAGAGTCATGTGCTAATAGACTGCTCGGTGATCTCAAATCTTTGAGCAAGGGCAAACTGAAACGGAAATACTCTGTCTTCTCTAGTTACCAGTGATAATTCTCCTATTTAGAATATTATATTAGTTCAAAGAAAAACATCTTAGAGCTTTTGTGTGAAGAAGCAAAGTACTTCAGCTAGTGATAATCCATAGGGTTAACAAACATGTTACTCCAGCGTGACAAAACCAGCTGACTTCCTCGATCTTTGGAAATGATGATGTGCATGAAAAATCATATGACCAACGGCGGTTTGAACTCATTTTTCGTGATTCGAACCTTGACTAGTACTTGTTGTCTCGCTTTTATTACGCTGTGAACGAGAAACGAACCTCTTGTTCTCATCGCTGAGCTTGAAAAATGTTATTTCAAATGAAATAATCACCTGGCTGATGAGACAGTCTTTGTTGCAATGCCATGAAAGATTCAGTGCAATGAGCACATTTCCTAAGATGATTGAAGAAGGAAAATATATAAGACGACCAACTGACATCACAGAAGGTAGAAACTATATGTGCTAGCTAATTCTCTATCTCTCATCCCTATCCTTCATCTTTTCTATTGTGTTAATCATCAATACCTTCTGTGAGCTTCTTTGTTTTGCAAAAATGTATTACATTTTACCTTTAGTACGAAGGTATCCACGAGCGGTTAATCTTGAAAATCCGTAGTATAACTGGCCTTTCGATTCTCTGACTGAGAATTTGATATAAAAAAAAACATTTGTTAACTATCATCGAACTTCTAAGTATCACGACAGCTGAAGTACGGAAGCGTGTAAAGTTTATATTTTTATCCAAAGTTCCTTCCAAACGCTATGTTTAATTTGTTGAGAACTGTCCAATTTTGCTATCTTTCGGTTTCAAGTGCAACTGTACGGAATCTGTACGTGCTGTGTGAGAGTTGAAAGAGCTCAAGAACAACGTTCCTTTTAACTAAGACGTTCCCAAACTATGATTTATTCTTTGAATTCTTACTTATGTGATATCATTATAGACAACCTAAACTATTGCCATGTCAACACACCTTCTGTTATCCTTGTTTGGAAAGTTGTGCAGATTCATTATTACGATCATTGAAGTGTCCGGAATGTCGGGCAGAACACAATATTCCCTATGAAGGTGTGAAAGCTTTCCAGGTATTTCATTAACTCTCTTAATTGCTAATTTATGTCATTTTTTAAAGACAAATTACACATTAACGGGTTTTCTTGATATACATCTTCAAGCAACTCCAGATACTGCAGCTGAAATTGAAGAATATGTTCATAGGTATGTTATAACCATTCTTTGTGTGCAACAAGTATTTTATAGTTTTTGTGTGATAGCTTATGAAATTCATTACCCACAGCAATATCCTTTCATCTTTTCCGAAACTCTTTTTCATAAAACAGATTCATATTGAATGGTACAACGAGTGAGAAGCTGGAAGAATAGAGAGTAAGGGAGAGAGAAAGACAGAGAGAGAGAGAGAGATGTTCATGTCTCAGTTGAGGGAATCCGTATGATTTCAATTCAATTCTTTTCATCTCTCTTACTATCTCTCTTCCTCTATCTTCATACGTTTCTCTCCATTTTATTCTTCAAAGTCTCCATCATCTCTTTTTACTTCATTTTCTACGTTACCCACCTTCAGAGATATTTCGCTTCTCGCATCTATTGACTGGAGTTGAAGCTGTGTAAAGCTATCGATTTCGATTGCCAAAGCTAGGGTGACGTCCGAAAGACGAGCGATCTTGATTTTTAAATGACAAAATAATGACATTCTCTCATATACTAGATCCAAAAAAAGGTTCAATAAAAAGGCTGATTGTTTGTTCATCGGTCTATGCAACCTTCTCTAATCACATGTGGGCTATCACACCTGAAATTTGAAAAAAAAATAAGATGAGAATGATGAGAGAGGGAAAATTATTGCAACCGTTCACCATGCTCGCATCAATCAAATTGAATTGCGAGGGCGTTGTACACGTGAAGCTTCACGTCACAATCTAGCGTCTTCTAGACAGATTCTGTTTCGAGAACAATATGTGAAAAAAAAAGTTTTAACTGTCTTCTTGAAGATAGAGAAAAGAATTGAGTAGGAGTAGTTGGGAGAAATTTCATTCTTTCGCTTGTCTACATAGTCTATTCTATACCACACTTCACCTCAAGCAGACTATTCAATCAATAATGCATTTGTATGATGGTGATTAGAGCATTATTTCATCATCGTTGACGATTTTTGAAAACCCGAGAAGGATTGAGGAAGGAGAAACGGAGGGGGGGGAGAGATAGGTAATACCTTTTCACAAAAAAACTTTATATATTTTCAATCGTTTAAGTGGGGTTATTATTCAAAACAAATATCACGTAATGTCACGAAATAATGAGGAGATCCACTAGACAATGCTGATTGTTTATTATCTTAATCAGTCAACAATCAACAAGCACAGCTTCAAAGGATATTTCATTATTTTTCCTTAATTATACTCATTATAGATATAATTTGGAACGATGTAAAGTTTGTGATGAGAAAGCTGATTGTGAAGTATGTGCTCACTGTGATCGAAAGGTTGGCACAACCTTCTTCTATAATTAAAATATAATTATTTTTAATTAAAGGCATGCAAAGAATGCCGTCAAACACATATGGAAATGCTGAAGCGGGATATGTCTCGTCTTCTGAATCAGGTAAATGATAAATATAGAATATGTTATGAAATGATTTCTCAACATTCCACTTACTTCTCTTGTTTTTCATTCATTGACTATGCTCCTCGAGAGCTTTTTCAATATAGCTCAACTTGTTAACACAACGGTGCTGTTTGAGTTTTGAAAAATGGCTATTACGTAATTGAACAGAAAAATTAATTTTATTTGTCATGAATGCTATGAACCATCCAGCTGTTTCTTAGGTTCGACGTCTTTCAAATAGAATCAATGAGGCTTCTGATGGCTTACAAAAGAGCTTAGAACTGTTAACATTGAACTGTGAAACTACAAAAGATGAAGTAAAAGAATATTTCCATCGGTCTGTTTATATACAACCGGAATTCTCATAACCAACCATATTTCAGATACTATCGAGATCTTAAGAAACGAGAGGAAGCTTTCATTTATGAAGTGGAGATGTTTCATTCAAATGAGAGCCGATTAATGAGCAACCTCAAGTATCTATATCCGTAACGAACATCGGTTTTGAGACTTTTTTTCAGGGATGTTCTAGAGATTGAATCAACAAACATGGGAGATGCAGTTAATCGATTAGATTCAGCTATCAAGGTTTGCTCAATACTTTCAAAACTTTCAAATCTTGTCAATCTCAGGGGGAATGTCAAATCGATGATACTGAATTAGTTCGACTGAAAAACATATTCAGTGAAGGCATTGAGTATTTACGCAACTTCCAGGTTGATTTTTGTTTTCATTTATCCTATTTAATGTTCAAATCATTGTTTAGCCTGATGCTGACGAGCTGTTCAGTAGAAAAGTTCGATTTTCACCCGGTGATGACGCAGCTAAGCTTCCTCAAGCTATTTCGACAGCTGGAGAGTTATGTGTTTTGACTCCTCAATTCTCTGGAAGGTAATTATAATTAAAATAATATAGATATTTTATTCCTTCAAATAGATATTTGCCACTTGAACAGTCATATTTACCAAGACCATTCCGTTTACCGTTGGAAAGTGATCACCATCGAGGACGTGACGAGAGATCATCCGATAGACCATCTTCAAGATTAAGGTAAAAATTAAAATTCTTTACTTAATACTTGCTTTTTATATTAACTTCGTAGTAGTAGTAGTATGATACAAATTTAATTTTAGTCACCGAGACACCGATGAGAGTTCCATACGGTATCGGCGACGCCAGCAGCTTGAAGATGAAGCTTGGAATCGCTTGCGACCACCAAGTATGACAGAGCAGCGTGAAGAACGTCCTGTCAGAAGTCCATGGTTTAGACCTCCTGAAACGTCATCTTTGAACGCTGCTCCAGAATCTATGGTTTCCAGTGCTCCAGCTAGTTCTTCTCAATCCAGTAGCAGTTCTAATAACACACCATCATCTTTATCCCCTCCGAAGCCAAAGGAGACGCTTCATAACCTACCACCACGTCCCGAAAAGTCTCCTATTCCTAAAACAAATGGAAATAACGAGCATAAATCGAATTCAACACTGTCAACAGCGAAGGCTTCAACAGCTTCTGCTAATAAGGAAGAAGATAAAGACGAAATAAGAAATAAGAATCTCCGAAAACCACCTCTACTTCCCCGTCAGCAGTCGAGCAACGATGATTCACTGAACGAAAAAGTTGAAATTATAAAACGTGCTCATGCCGAACGGCAAGCTGTAGCAGCCGCTGTAGGTGGCTCACGTGCCCCTTCCAGAGCTGCCTCTTCTGATGAATCAGAAGGTGAAGAAGCTCCAATGAGATTAATGAGTGCCGGCGGACGGCAAAGACTACGCATAGTATGTAGAGCAGCTAGTCAGACACGCGACGAAGACGAAGGCACGCCTATTCCTGTCACACATTTCATAGGTGAGCATGAGCTAGCAGCTACATCGGCTACTGGCACAGGCGCTGGTAGTTTCGTGAACGATCCAGATGCGCTGCCGATAGTCCCAGCTTGGTTAGCTCGGCGTCGCCAGCGTTTCCAACGTTCACGAACTAATCCTGACCTGGCTAACCAGTTCTGCTCTCAGAGAGTTCAACAACTACTCCAGGAACGTAGTTCCCGTTTAGATAGTTCGACAACCAGTGAGGAGGAACGACAACGCTTACGTCGCCGGAGTGCATCCCGTGATTTAGGAGAATGGAGATCACGTGGTCGTCCTCGTCAAATCTTTGGAAGAAAAGGTGCCAAAGAGGGTGAGTTGAATTGGCCTCGCGGACTGTGTAGTCTAGCAGCTGGACAAATCGCTGTTTGTGATTCAAGCAATCACCGTGTCTCAATATATGAGCGCGATGGTCGTCATGTCCGATCTTTCGGAGGCTACGGTGCCGGCGAAGGCCAACTCGACTCAGCCGCTGGCATTGCTTTTGGAAAGCAACGGTTAATTGTCTCTGACCGGTACAATCATCGGGTTTGCTTTTTTGATTTGGATGGCAACTTCCTCAGCTCTTTCGGAGCTCACGGACAAGGCAACGGAAAGTTCAATAACCCATGGGGTGTAGCCATTGATGATCTTGGTACCGTCTATGTTGTTGATAAGGTCCATAGTTTTTCAGTTTTTTATCAAACTTAACTATTCTTTTGTACGAATTAAAACAAAACTAAAACCTAAACAGATTTGCTTTTAACTTTTGAAATAAACAACTACTGATCTATGGATTTTACGTTCCATCGTCGCTTTTGCTAAGTTTTCGTTTACGCTGAAACTGAAACCTAAACATCTCGCTTAGCTTATGCTTGCTTTTAAGTTTTGCCAAACGTCTTGACTTTGTAGGATAACCATCGAGTGCAAATGTTCGATAAGAATGGTCAATTTGTTGGTAAATTCGGTTCCCATGGCCATGCAAATGGTCAACTAAATAATCCATTGTTTGTTGCTGTTAGCAAATTGAATCATCAGGTATATAATCCAGCAGATGAAACCACTGAAGCTATATCTTAGGTGTATGTTTCCGATTCCAATAATCACCGTGTTTGTATATTCGATAGCCAAGGGCAATATTTAGCGGAATTCGGTACAGAAGGCTTTCACGGTGGTCAATTTAAGTTCCCACGTGGTATAGCAATCGATACTCAAGGAAACGTACTTGTAGCCGATTCTGGCAATAACAGAATACAGGTAACTATCGTTTGCACAATTGTACTTACAAATTGCGCCTCAGGTTTTCTCCTCAGATGGAGAATTTATTGCGACATTCGGGTCGTGGGGAAGCGGAGCTGGTCAACTTAAGGTAAGAACTTGTACCCTATTGTCTCCTTTGTTAACAACCGTTCTGTCCGTCTTTTACGATAGAATCTTGAACAACGAAAATAATCATCTGTTTTCAGGGAGTAGAAGCTCTATGTGTCTCCGATGGTGCCATTATAGCGAGCGATCGCGAAAATCACCGAATTCAAATTTTCTAATTTAATTTTAAATTTGTTATTTTGTTCTTTGTCTTTTTATATTTCCTTCAATTTTTGTGATATTTTCTGAAAAAAACATAAACATGCACAAATCATATCCAAATGTGATAGAGAATGATGTTTCACGTCTCTAAGCTGCACACGCTTCGCCCTTTATCTCTAATTTCGCGGAGAGCATACTATGTTAACTATATGAATGGTTTGCGATGAAAAAGAAATATTGCGAAAGAGAAGAAGCAATTGTGATTAGAATGACAGAAAAAGCACAGATTTTTCTCTTTTCAATGAGAAAATGTGCATAACGACTTCGTTTTGTTACACAAGCTGAAGGACAAAACAAAAAAAAAAGAGAAGTAAGCGAGCAGAGCTTCAGAGCTGAGGATAGGAACTGAATACACGAGTTTTTGTTGGATATGAATAGGTCATATCGAATCTTTCGTCTAAAAGAGGGATATTCGACTTCGGTGAAAGAAAAAATAACAAGAGCATTCGAACGTATACTAAACTGTAAGAGAATACGAGACGGAATGTTTGATTTGAGATAATAGCGAATGTCCGAATCGAAGATGTACAACTGATGATGATCAAGAGCACTTTCAAGATTTACAAATAAAACGTTGTTACATCAAAGGAATGTGAACGGACAACTCTTTTTCTTTTCTAAGCTTTTTACTTCACGTTTTTGTGCTTCGTCTCGCGGTTTAACATCATGCTTCTCAATACCATTAGATTGATAAGACAGAAAAATTAAGCTGAAGGCACCCATTCGATAGCTTTGTTAGCTTAAAATATTAAACTCATCTGAATTCGCTCATGATAATACTCGCACAAAGACGTGCCTCATAAAGGCCAAGCGAATTATGTAGAGGATCAGTTCAAGCGAAGAAGCTTAAAGTAGAAGAAGGAGGTGAGACAGTCTAATCATTAGAAACTACAGCAATTCAAACAGAAGTTTGTCTATTCAACCGTGAGACGATCAGATGACCTAGCACGACGGACACTCGTTTTCTCTGACTTCCTTTTCAAGAATAAAAATAAATACCTGCTCATTTCATTTTGACCGAAAGCACTCAGAGCCTTCGTCTTTCTACTCTCCTTTTTTTTGGGTTCGCTGATTATTCAAGTTTGTTTTCTTTTCCATCTTACTATTTTTGTGGTCATTGAATTTGTTTCATTTCGTTCAGCCAGCAACCTCCAAATATCTTGTTTTCAAAATTTTCTAATTTTCTTCAACTTATATGTGTGATAATCTCATGACAGTGATATCCTATCGATCTGTTCAGATACATCATCATCTCAACCATCTGAAAGAATGTTAGGCTTATTAATATTGTTACTCTATCCAACCGTTGCAATGACAGTTATCATAGATAAAGCATGTACTACAGGTGGAAAGGTTTGTTCGCCCACTTTTTTTTTATTTGAAACATTCTTCGGACTGTGAGTAAGACTTGTCTCTCAGCTCTAGATGGGTTTCATAGGGTTTAGTTCAATTCAAAGACATTCTTCGCCACCTCGAACTTTTCCATTTTTGTTTTCTCACTTCTTTGTTCCATTATGGGTTTTTCTATAATATGGGTTCAAATGATTCGAGCAAATCAAAATGAAAAGTGTTTGCATTACGGCCTAAGAAAGATGAGATGACTACTGTTAGCAAGTCTGTTACTAATTATCTCACGAAATTGTGCAAAAGAAAAAAAAAACCTCAAATAAATTGTTTAGTTTAACATAAGAGCTGTAATGTGCTCTAATCTGTATCCTGACGCTTCCTGCCAAGCTCTGTACGGCTCTCCTCCAGTAATTGGCTCTGACGTTGATCGTAATCCTGCCTGCTTTACTGTAAAGAGAAATATTCTTCAATTGAATCATGATGTTGTTATAGACAAACGTCACATCCATAGATCATGAACTTAAGAGTTTATCATCAGAAATTTGTCCACGTCAATGTGGCTATTGCTGCCAATCACCTGAATATAATTGTCAAAACAGTGCAAGTATGCTATTCCAACATTATCTTTTACTTATACTAACACTATCTAAGGACCTAGAGTTTCTTGTGACCAAGTAACTCATCGAATGTGTAGGAATCCAGTATGGGAGCAAATATTAATAGAAGATTGTCCAAATATGTGTGGTTTTTGTCTGAGAGGTAAAGACTTGAAAAAAAAGAATAAACAATCAAAATCAGCGATGTAACTTCTAACCTCTTCTCGTATAGGCTGTGTGGATAATGTCCCAGACTGTGCTATTGATAAAACCATTTGTCGGCGAATGGGAATGGAAGAATTTGTTGAGGTTACCTTAAAGTTTCATATTAATATTCAAACAAGGCGATGATTAGCAATGAACAACCGCTTCTCACATTTGAACGAACTAAAAATGCAAAAAATCCGTGAAACTGCGTGATTTTCAAATTAGCATAATGCAATGATATACGTAATCGACAAGATATATTGAAAAATGATTTTGTTGCAGATAAACTGTCGAAGAACATGCGGATACTGCCAATCAAGTAATTCGAATGGTTAGTCTTTAATATAACATAGTCACATAGTATTAATATAGTATGATGGCCATTATTTATTGTTAGTAATTACCTAATAAAGATGGAAAATTGATATGTTATCCATCTTCCTTCTTCATGAAACAAAACAAAAAACGTTAACACATGCTTCAGGTTCAACAACGCTCAAAAGTAAATGTAGTCATTTCCGACCTGACAACAATCCCAAGTATGCTTAAATATTTTCTTTTAATTAACATAATTATTTATGTTTGCAGTTGTGCTAAATGGGCTGCCAATGGCTTTTGTCAAGATGAATATTTCACTCTCAAATTTCGACGACAACACTGTGCAACAACTTGTGAGATATGTTGAGAGGACGTTACTATAGCCTTTATAACAACAGGCATCTAAACAATTCTAATAATAATTATTATTTTAATACAACAACAAAAATTGAACGGGTTGACGTTAATGAGAATACTTCTGAAGAAAAGAAACCATGTCATTGATAGAATAAATATATTTCAATTGATTACAATTATTATACAAACATTCTAAGAATTTCCGCTCTGACGCCTATTTCAATTGCTGAGCAATAGCAGCCATTATGACAACAATATTTTCCTTATCAACTGATATGAAACAAAGGTTTTGACTGCAAAAACATAGTTGAAATTCAAATTTCGTTTTCTATATGCTCTTTCCGATCATTCATGATCATCTTAACATGTTACTTACCTGGTTGTACCACCAGGTAGCAAGTCTCCTGTCACACGACTGAAGTTCACGACAGTCACTGACCACATTTGGTTATTGTACCTATAGCACATGATGTAACAATGCAACAGGAAGTGGAAGCATACCCATCTACTTTCTGGGCAATATAATTATTAATTTCTTCTGTTGTGGAATACATAGTCACACCATCAACAGCTATTTGCTTTAGATTTGGATCAGGACAAATGTATTCTGAAAAGTGAACAAAACAGTTCAAAAGGCATTGAAAGTGAGCTTTACCGATGATATTCAAATGAGCTCCATCTGACCTACCGAGGTAAAAGGAACGGGAAGGTAGAACACAAAGTAAGAATAAGAAAATAACTGGTAGACTGCAAGACATTTTCTGCTTCAATATTCGATTGGCAACGCAAAGGAAAAATAAATAACTTACTTGGAGAAAATGAAAACTAAACTTCAAAATTTAAGGTGATTCGACAGTTTTATCACTTTGCTATTGCTCTGATAAGGAAACAGAGTATTGGGTATACTGTGAGGGAGACAGAGTGAGAGAGAAACTAATCGAAACATCATACTCAAACTTTTTCTAGTAATTTTGATTTCCGCTTTTTTGATATTTGCATAAGGTCACAGAAGTTTGCTCATGTGTACCAGGAAAGAGGGTAACAGAAGTTTCGTTTCCTTCAAAAAATATCCAGAAAGCAGCATTCTGTGACCTGAGGGCGATTATCTTGTCAAACCCCATGATTTCTGAAGTGGCTTAGTTGTAACGACTTTACGGTTCATCCGTTATTGTTTAGAACGTGATGAGAAACGGATCTTCATATGACTGTCAAAACATACAGAAAAATCCCTTTCACTACGATGATCCCTCAGGCGTTTTCTCATTATTCTCTATTTGGTCGTTGTTGTTATTGTCCTCGATAATACCTCATTTTCATCCGGTTTTTTGTCTCATATGGCTAAAAGTTTTCATTGAATCTGATCATGATGTCCACTCGGATACTCAGAATGAAGAAAACAAAAGGAACAGAAGAACAGCTCACGTGAACCGACGACAACAGGTTCAAGGAGAAGGAGAAAGGAAAAATGAGGTGGCGGACAGATAAACAGTTTCTTTTTCTGCTTTTGCTAGTCAGCCCTCATCGTTTGGTGTAGTGTCTCGAGATAATCGGGGCCAGGCCATTTGTGGGAAATGAAAGTGAAGCAACCCATCTCTTCATAAAAGGATAAATTGTTGGAAGCAACGCCCCTTTCTAATCCCATGTCATGAACTTTTAGATGGTCACTGACCACTTGAACAGACAGTCGGCCATCTTTTTTCCAGAGAGTATTAGTTATTCTCGTATTTCCAAATCACATTTTCCATTTGTTCGTTTAAATGAGGAATTCCTCTTACGTTTCTTACAATTGTCGAAACTATGAATTCGAAATTGTCAGGACGACCAACCTGATTTGATCACTTACAAGTTCTTGTGTGTGTGGTGTTCTTCAACTCAGAATTAGACATGTTCTATTAGCAACGTCTACACCGTAATTGGTATTAAGTTGAAGTTGAAAGAACGTTGAAAAATACTTGAAAGGTCTCTGAAAACAAAATTGAAAGTCAAGAGAAAAATGTTTTTCCTCTTTCATATTACTTACCAACATGGGTGAAGTCGAAACTCTGCATAGGATCCTTCATTCCATCTATCCTTTACTGCTTTTGTTAACTTGTTAGATTATGCCTTTCTGTGATCTCAAACTGGTTACAACACAAGCTATAATCTAGAAATATACTTTAACATCAAGATGTTTACATACGCTTTATTCTTTCTTTTTTTTTCTTACATACATCCATATTTGGTATCAGTATAGGCAAATATACTAAAACTCTCCTTTACAATGGACTTTCAAATTACTCAATCGTTCTCTCTTCTATTTTCGTCCTCCTCTTTCTCACCTCACTGTTTTGTTGGCAACGAATCTTTACCTATAAAAGCTCAGATGAAAGCAAGTAATACCATCCCACTACTCTTTCGTTCATTTCTGTTTTTCCTGTGAAGTCCTAACTTTCTAATCTTTGTCTTTCAGAGCTCTGCAAATTTCTTACCAAAAAATGTTCAAAGCCGTAAGATTTTCTTGGAAAAAAAACAAATTACGAGACCTTTTTTAGCTTGTCTTCTGTGCAATTATTGTCTTTGCTTTTGCTCAGCTCAACAACGAGATTGACAACAGCTTGCTGGAAGAGAACGTAGTTCCCGGAGAGGATTTCCCAGAAGAAGAGACCAAAATTCTCCCAACTAGCATTGATATTGACAAATTCAGGTATTAATCAAAGACTCATCCTCTATTATCTACAATCCTTTCAGAGAATCCTTCGCAACCAAGAACGTGCGTGAACGATTCTTGCCATCCAAGTAAAATGGAAAGATTGAGATTTTGATGACAATTAATAAACTAAACCTTTAATAATCTGAAATGTTTGCTGTAGTAAAGATAAACATGATTTTCTCATTCTTTATTCGTGTTTTCCGGAAGAAATAGGGTTATTACGACAACATTTGAGGGTTATATTGCATTCGCTCAAGGTAGCCTTGGTATTGGAGCCAACCAACCAGCACAGATTTGCGACTTCTAATATCATGTGTGCGAACAGTATTAAACATTCGAGAAAATAACACGGAACTTAATTATGCAGACTAATATAGTTAAGTGAAACTTGAGGTTATTTTTCTGCTGCAAGGATGTGCGCTCTAATGCTAACCATGGCGGGGAAAATTAATTTTTGAACTAGCCGCGCCTGAAAGAAGACAAAAGCTATTTTCATTTCTAGCTGCGATCAGGTGGGTTTTTTTTAACAGAGGAAGCTATGGTAGAATCAAATTTGGACATAACATTAAGGTCCGCTCTCAGGTTTGTTCATTTAAAAAGTTATTGCTCTGAAAGTTCTTTATATTGTAGTGAGGTTCAAAAGGAGAAAAATGTAGAGAGTTTAAAGTTTTTCTGCGGGTTTGTTAATCTGAATACTATAATTAGCTGGGTTTCTAAATGATTTAGGCAGTTGGAGTCTTTTGATATGTTTTTCGAGTCAAAAGGTCTCCAAGAAAAGAAGTCCTTGAAAGCATGGTGCATTAAAGCCGGCCAAGTTTTGAATAATATAAAAGGTCTGAAAAGAGATCCAAACATGCTTAGAATCTATCAAATTGTGGTTGGTTCACTATGATAATGTTCAAAACTGAAAACTCCATGCTTAGGCTAAACTCAGTGAAAATATGAGGGAAACAGGAATTTATGATCAGTTGGAAGCCACTGGATATTTCACTGACTGTTTGAAGTTCCATGTGCTATGGGCTGAAAGTTGGGCTAAAGCTAAGAATGTACAAAAGTTCCGTGAAGTTATTGAACTTGCTCGCAATCGGATCAAAAACATTCCTGTGTCTGAAGTTGAGGATTCTTTCAGGTGAAATCGAAAGCTAGTTCGTTGATTACGTTATCATTTTTAGAGATTTCGCACGTGTTTATTTCCCCAAAGAGAGTCATATTTTTATGACAGATCAGCATGATGAAGACACAGCTCTCATTTTCGCCACAAAGCAGAAGCCTAGTGAGTTTCATATTCTACATCCTTTATCATCCTCTATCTTGTAGATCGTCGTCGTTCTTCTGTCGCTTTCATTCAACAAAAAGCTTTCGGTAAAATGGAAGTTAAAGCACCTGAGTCAGTTTCCACTTTCCCATCTGGAGGTTTTTCAATTTTCTTTCTGCATCAATTTACTTTTTGTTTTCAAGGAAAAACCAAGATTCGCATGTGTTTCATCGATAGAGACGATTATGTTGGTGTTTCTCCCGAAGAATTCCGAGAGGCTCTCATGAAAGACCGAGTGGATATGGATGATGATATGGATATCACAGTACTGTTTTTCTTCATATTTGTTTGTATTATTTTACCGTTTATAGCATTGTGTACCTATTGAACCATCTATCTATACCGTCTCCAGTGACAGTGCCACCTCCTCACAAACTAAGCTCAATGAACGCAAAAAAGTCTTCGGAATGAGCTGCGTCTCGGAAGAAAGTGAACCTAGTGTATCTCATGAAGATAAACGACGCAGAATGTACTCTCCTCAGAAAACTAATAGTGCATCAATGATGCAACGCACATCAGGTGACCGGAACTTGTTGTTTATGCTTCATAATTTAAAAGTTTCAGATACCATATCTTCGACCAGATCCAGTGTACCATCATCTGTACATATTGCTACTCCCGCTCTTAAAGAACCTTCTCCTCCAAAGCCAGTTGAAACATACGGAGATAGATCATATGTTGACAACTTCAGCAAAGCTGCTGCTTTGTTCTCTGAAACAGTCAACTTGGATCGCCGTACGTTTGGGCAGTAAAAATTAAGCTAACGTAATTTTTTTAGCTCCTTTGGAAGATCAAACTATGCCACTTGAGAATGATCACGTAGAGAAGTTCGAAGTGTATATTGATGAAACGGTCCATCCCAGTCAATCTCAAAACTCTCCTACATGTGACAAGTGAGTAGTTAGTTTTGAGCGTTTTACATTATCTCTTATCAGTAATCGCGCTCCTCTCCAACCTGTTATTCCTCCTCAGGACATTATGGAACATATCAAAGAAAGAAAGCCAATTCCTGTAAGTGTTTTTTTGTTTTTTTTTTATTTTTTATTTTGCATTCTAGTCCGTCTTCAAAATCACAGAAGAAGATTTGGAAGACTTGGAGAACTTTGAGATCAGAAGACCTCCTGCTCCTGTGTTCGGTAAGTGTTAGTTTGTTATGCTGATTAATCTCGGATTTAGACGATGAGATCACTGTTGCCGGCTTCAGAAGTCATGGGCTGGAATCTGGCCAAGGTATCGTAACATCAACTCCTGCTCATTTCATGAACCGAGCTCCTACACACGAAGGTAATTCAATTGACATCTCTGATAAGCATACAATTCATTGTAGACTTCTTCTCTGTCAAAACCGATGATGAAATGGAAGATGATGAAGATGAAGATAATGATGCCGGAGCTCTTGGTTTCATGAAAAGAAGAAACTCTCTTGCCCCGAAAGCCGCTCTTAGCACTGTAACTGAAGTTCCAAAAACTAAGATCCCAATAGGAGTTCCATCAAATTCTATGAATATGGCTTTGGAGAACTTGAACTTGAAGGGAGATGAGCTCAACGAAACAGGAGTTGGCAGACCAACGTTTGAAATACATTGCAGTATTGTACAACCTTAGAATTTTACAGAGAGACCATATCTGGTGAAGTCAATCCATGGGACAGCGCAGTTCGCCAAACCATTATGGATAATGGTCACTATATCACTCCAATTGAACAGCACGATTATACTGTTAGTTATGAAAGTGTAAGAGAAAGCAATACTCTGTTTCAGACTTCATGCACGAAAGTTCAAAAAAATAAAGTTATGGTTCTTGGAGGTGAACGGTTCCAAGTTTTGGACATGGTTGGTGAAGGAGGTTTCGCCAAGGTTTTCCGATGTGTTAACGAAGAAAAACAAACATTAGCAATGAAGGTGAAGTTTGCATCGAAAGCCACTGCTTACTTATGCCGTGTAACCTTTTTTTAGTATGAAGTTCCTTCATGTTCATGGGAAGTTTACATTTGTGAGCAGGTGAATAGGCGATTGAGACAAAATGGAGGACCTTTTGCTAGAGATGTTGAGGAATATTCCACAATGAAGGTTAGAAAGAGCTTCTGAATTCGATAAAATCATACATTCTTCAGATCACAGATGCTTACATCTTTTCTAATGCATCCGTCCTACTCAATGAATTCCATTCCTATGGAACGCTGCTGGTTAGATCTCATTTCCGAGAGCAACGATAAATTTTTTTTGCAGGACTTAACTAACAAAATGAAAGATCCTAGTTGGATGATCATTCTACTAATATCTATTAATATTGCTAGAATTCTCCGCGAAGTACACAACGTCGAAATCATTCATGGAGATGCTAAACCCGATAATTTCATGATTCTTGGCCCGTATGTCTTAGTTCTAGCCTTCAAATGGCAAAGTACATTTCTTACAGATTACCAGACATGGACAACGTGGATGATATATTGCAACACAGTATGCTAAAGCTGATCGATTGGGGTCGCGCTATAGATATGAAGTACATGAACGGAACTACTTTCGTTGGTAGAGGAGGTACTGATAAGTTTGATTGTCCTGAAATGCTGGTATGTTTACAACCTTGTTTTGGAGTTTCATAAACTACTGTAGGATGGACGACCCTGGACTTATCAAACAGATTTCTTCAATTTTGTGTCAACTGTTAGTGTTGTCGCTCTCGGAAAGTACGTCGGTGTAAGGAAAGGACGATCAGGTCGTTATGAAATGCAGGAAACTATGAAGAGGTATGGAATGCTAAAATTGGTTCGTTTGCATGATGTTATGTTCAGGAGGTTGATCATTCGAGATTTGATGACCGAGATTTTCGATCGTTTCATCAATATCCGTGCGTGTGACAAGTTACCAAATTGGGATTCAGAAATAGAAGTAAGCTCAGTTTTTTGACATCGTTTCCGAAAACATCGTTTTTTTAGCTAATGACTACCATGTTCCGCAAACAATTCAATATTATTGAATGGAGAAACAGTTGTACTAAATTCAATCAATCTTTACCATCCCCGTAAGCTTTAAGTGTCAAAGCGATGTTGGAACTAACATAACTTCTGTATATTCACCTGTGAAAGGTCCTACGGTAAGGACATCATCGAGTCGTTTCATGGTACTCTCTGCAAAAATTGTTCTCTTATCCAATATTGTAATAACACGAATGAATTTTAATGCTATGTAACAAATTTATTGCTATTGTCAGACAATAGACAAAATTACAGGTGGAGTGATGGATAAAACATATTATCAGATATTTGTAGAAGGGTGTTACAAGTGAGATAATGAGATCAATTATGGACGCTATGTCTCTTTAGAATTGTGTACTGGAAAACTTCGGCCACCTCCTCTCTTAGTTGGCACCTCGTTCTCTTCTGCAAGCAGTTGAATCAGAAATGAAATTTTCTTCGATAATTTTTTTGTTTTGTTTGAATGGTCTAGGCGTGAATTCGGCCAAAGTGCGAAAGATAGTAAGCATGAAAGGAAAGTTGTATGAACTTGATACATTTTAGTTGAATTTGGTTGTGTTTACTAGCCCAGTACTATTAATAGAGGAAAAGTCATGCGAAGCAAAGCAACTCACTGTTTTTGCTCAAAACATACCACCGGTATCAACACGGAAGGCTCTTCCGCCTGCACGTTTGAGCATCTACAACTTGAAGTTAACTTAAGTATGTTTTTGACATGTACCTCGTATGATCGTGGGTCGAAGTCCCAGAGAGATTCAGGGTCATAATCACGTTTGTCGTTCATGAACATGCGAGCTCCACCTCGCTTATCAGTTCTCATGGCTGCACGAGCACCTCCGCGAGTTTCAATGAATGCACGTCCACCACCCTTCTTTTCGTGGAAGTATCTAAGGAACAAAAGTAAATTTCATATTCTGAACTATTTTAGCACCTGGCTCCACCTCTCTTCTGCTCGTAAAATGATCTACCTCCACCTCGCTTGTCTTCTGCCTGGAAAGCACGAGCACCACCTCTTTTCTCTTCCTCATCGTCCCAGATATTGGGAGCAACGAAGCGTTTGAGTCCTAAATTAAATAAATAAATAATTGGTTGAAAACGATAAAAAGTTTTTGCCGCCAGCAGGGGTCGAACCTGCGACCTTGGGCTTATTAGACCCACGCTCTAACCAACTGAGCTATGGCGGCACGTAATCAGTAAGAAAAGAAAAATTTAAATTCATATAAGGCAATACAAATTAAGAGCAAACCTCCGGTGAATGCTCTGGCCCCTCCACGCTTATCTTCGAGCATACCAGCAATGTAGTTTCCATTCATGGCTCGAGCTCCTCCACGTTTCTCTTCTGTCACGAAGAAACGTGCACCTGCTCGTTTTTCGAGGAGAGTTTCATCCTCTTGTGCGTAGCTAACGGCTGCAGCTAAAACGATTTCATGATTAAGTAATGCCTCATTCAATAGTTTTTGGCTTCCTAATAACAAATATGAATTGAAGGGGATATAAAAGATGATTTTTGCTCTAACTGCTTCGTAATCTTTGAAAAAGCTTATAAAAGTGGAAAAAAGGAAATGAAATTGCTGAAACTGGTTGTACTTGAGTTTCGTCTTCATAGCTAATAGAAGCTCAAACAGAATGAAATTATAAGACGACGAAAATGATTGCTGAAGTAGATTGAAGTATAGCATTGGCTTATCTTATTCCCATTATATCATGAGTGAGAGTTAGTCAAGTGAATAAGGATCAGAGTCATCGTGTGTGTAGGGCTTTTCAAAAAAATGCTATAGCTGATGATATCGCTTCACATGTTAATAAGCTGTTTATTTTCGAGAATTTAGTCAACATCTATTCTTGTCATTATGTATGTACCTCATAGCTGCTATATGCAATGTTTGTTAGATTACATCGCATCTGAGACTAAAGCTAAATACTTTTCCTCATATCTATATAGTAAAGACTTTCTGCTCTTCATTCTCCCCCCCCCCCCGCATTCCACAACTACTCATCTCACCATATATAGTAATTGACGCTCAAAAAATAGTCAATAACACTATTGTTATAAAGTGAAATGGTCTTCAAATGCTTCTGAGCTGATAGACTCAAGCAGCAGCTTCAAATGAATGGACCGTCATTTGTCAGCATATCTGAGACAAGCAACATACACCTTCAATGGCAATTCTGAAAGATGAAAGACCTTCTTTTGCAGAAAATCGGCTTATTTTTTTTCTAAGATTGGAAACCTGCTTTTCAAAAATAAAAGCAAATAGCCTTCGTTTTCTCAACATCGCACTATCTTGATTAACTCTGAAGTTTGAACAACCGTTCATGATGTCATGTGAACAAGAAATGATTTGGGTGGTTCACGTCAGCAACGTGCAAACGACGTTTAACATAAATTTGAATATAACGAAACGATTGGTGATTTTGTTATGAAAGGGTGTCTTCATCCTTAGACTAACTCTCTCTCTCTCTCTCTCTTCCTTCACATCTCTCTCTCTATCATTCTTCCCCTCTCTCTCTCTTTTGCCGTAGCAACATTTTGAGCTTATTTTCATTTAGAAAACATAATTCGTTTGCCCTAAATTAGATAACAGAGACAAAGACGAAATTGAATTGAAGAAGTAATAGCGTACAAGCTATTATTATGCTTTTTGCTTCTAATTAGTATAAGAGTTGAAGAAGCAATGTATGGAATAGCCAATTTCATTTTTTCAACATCGCCAACACTGATTTCGAAACATGACGTCGTGCACATCGCCCGAACTCGATCATCTATCTCTTCCGACCTGATTAGAGTATTTTCCATAGAAATTCAATTTCTGATAGTCTTTTCAAGACATTGTGCCTATAGAAAAGATAGCGAAAAAAAAAAGTATTTTTTTTGTTATAAATCATACTACATCCTCTTATTCATTCGCAATCTCCTATACTGGCTGTCTCTGTTCCGGAAACAACTCCTCTCCGAATGACCTATTGATTGATCTCTTTAAGTTCGTAGAAGACATTTGATTATATTTTAATTATGTTTGACTTGTCAAGTAGATGACAAATTAATGAAAAAAAACGAAATTTAATTTTAATGTTTGAATTATTAAGAAAGAAAATGTCATTGTGACCCCTTATCCCTCCTAACCACATAATTATCTGAGTCAAGTGAGCAGAGGGAGGGAGGAATGCGAGGGAAAGCGTAGGGGAGTAGTTGGAAACGGAAAATGGAAGAGAGAGAGAGAGGGAGAGACGACATTCGCATCCTAATCGAACTGTTGTTAACGTTTTGTAGAAATTTTGTTATTTATAGAAGCTAAATGATGATGGAGGAAAAAAAAATAAATATTGGCAAGGCGAAAGATGGACGACTTTCAAGTTCTTGGAAACCAATTGAAGAAATAGTCCCTTGAGATTGTGAAGCTATGAACGCGTTGACGTCACTCAAATGAGCTTACTACTTACTTGAAGCTTTTTTTATTCATTTATCTCCTTACTCTCGAATAAGATGCATATGAGATTATTTGCAATCCGCAGAATTCTCTTTCCTACTTACTCTCAGCCTCAGGTGATCGTTAAGATGAGCTTGAGGGATTTCAACGTCAGGATAGTTAGGCAAGGTTTGCATCAGACTTTTCATGGACTCATATCGTTTATGAAAAACTGTTCCCCTGATAGTTGACTCACAAGCTGAACGACCTTTAACGATCGACTTTTAATGCTCAAAGGACTTCATGTAGAAGACAGCAGCCCAACAAGAATGAATGACGTTCGTTGTCATCAACGATCCTCCAGTTGTTCCTGTTTTGTCTTCTCACAAATCCATAAAAGGAGTATATATAGGTTAAAAGTGGGCAAAATGATAATTTAGTGTTCAGAAGAATGAATAAATTCATTTTTTTTGTGTTCGCTTTGGAGCCATCGAACGACCGCTTCCGATCCAATCAACATCTCCGATTCACGTAGCATAGATGTAGCAAAATGAAAATCGTATACATATGAAGTCGAATTGAATTGGAAGGACAAGAGGATGCATCAGATCAGAGATGTGGGAACAGAGACAAATTGAATTTCTTGTAAAACATAAGTACTTTCAGAAGGGTAGACGATGTTTCATCTGTTATGACAATTGGGCATCTTTTCGTTGTGTCGCCAGCGCAAGATGCAGCAAGATTGACTTTCCAACCAAGAGATCCATAAACAGCTTGTAACTTTTGGAGTGCCACGTGTATCTTGTCTGACGACAAAAAGACAAGACAAACGACAAAAATAAAATGCAAATGTAACGAATCACATCAATCTTCCGAACAAGCCTATCAGCTGATTAATGTTTTTGAGCAAAAGCCTATTGGATGTATCATTCTCATTGAGATTATCTGAGATTGTGCATAGATTACCATGCATGCCTATGATCTTCTAGCTTCAATGTTTCTATCATCAAGTTCATGTTCATGGTGTTGCGGTTGGCATGTATGTATTGAGCGCGCACATGTCTCAAGACAAAAGATTTGTTGGGGAAAAAAAAGCTGGAGAGGATGAAGCTTGATAAAATGGAGCTTGAGAAAAGATAAAGCTTGAGCCATTGAGCTTGTCAGAAATAGACTAAAGTTTGAGATAAGATTTTTATACTTGAAGCATTGATGGTTCGGAATGTTTTCAGTTGCGTCTTTTCGGATGGTCGTATGTGTAGGAGGGAGGAAGTAAACAGGCAGTCAAGGCAATTTATAAAATATTTTTTTTTGTTATGAATTAGAATTATAAAAGCTTTACGCTAAGAACAGATGGGAATGTAAGGATTACTGGTTCGTCTTATATTTTTATACAAACTTTAAAGAATAAAAAAGAAAATTGAAACTGACCTGCAGCTAAAACAAGCACGGCCGTTGGTCGCATGTCTGCCTAATAGAAGTTGAAATAGGCGGAGCACAAGAACTAAGCTAAGCCTCGAGGCTTTTCACGTAGATTGAGCTTCAACTCATTTTGGTCACGCCCACATTTTCTTATTCAAACTCCGCCCCCACACATTACATTCTGTAAAAGGCATATACTGTGTGTATGAAAGAGGGGAAGAGAGTCATAGAGAGAGAGAGAGAGATAGAGAGAGAGAGATATGGAAGGTAGTAGTGTTTAACGCAAAAAATCTCAAGAAAGGACATAGATTTCGTGCATCCAACAAAAAAAAGGAAACCAGGAGAAAATCACATGAAAGAAAAATGACAAATTTCATGGAAAACAGAGGAAGTGATGTGAGCTTTGGGAATATCAGAGTGTATTATGAACATAATAAGCTGACAACTCCTGTGAGCTCGAAAGCTTAGAAGCATCTCTTCTAATTTTGACAAGCTGCATGAGAAGAGATGTAACCGAATTTGGCAATGTTATTGGAGAATGGTTGCATGAAGAGAGAAGTAAAACCTTCTTATCAACAAATTGAGGAAGATATGGCGGAAAAAAGATATTTTTAAATATCAATTGGGACATTGGGATTAGAAGCTGAAGAGTTTAACTCAGAAAAGCATTGAGTGTTGATGTAAGCAACAAGAGAGAGAGAGAGAGAGGGAAGGAAACTGCTACAGAAAAGGCAAGAGAGACACTGAGAGAGTGAGAGAAAGAAACAAACAAACAAGAAGAGAGAGAGAGAGAGGTGTAAGCTTTATGTATTCAGAATTCCAAATGTATTCTTATTTGCTTCTGTGTTTCAGTAAGAAACATGAGGATTCTCCTTTTGTGAAATATTATAATTGGCTGTCGCATACTCACATACACAGCTTTCGGTAGTCTTTCAAATAAACATATTGTTTCCTGTGTTTTTATTGTTCTAATTAAAAATAAACAAACAATCCTGCTTGCGACAAGTCTTTCAGATGCGATAATGGCAGGGAAGACGAAGATGGAGGGATGAGAGTGTAGGATTGAAAGGAAAGGGGGGGGGGGGAGTAGGTTGATATGGCTGCCCCGAACTTCTACCCCGTTTCTCTTTGAACAATTTTACTTTGAAAGCTTGAAAGTTTGCATATGGCCAGAGTTGGCAGTTTTTCAATTAAATCGAAAAAAAAAAGAAAATTAATTTCTCTTTTTGACATGAAGCTTGAAAAGTACTTGATAAACAATTTATTGGAAACTCTCTATACATATCTGTTTCTTGTGACTACCACGATGATGGTTTGGGTTGATTGGATAAGATGATTGAATGAGTAATAGATGATGATTATCAGATGAATGACCACAGCCCATCAACATACATACAGGTTCTCGGAGTTAAAGCTAAAGCTTGTTCGTCCAGTTTATATGTAATTAGCATTGATTTATAGCTAATATATCTTATCAAATCATTTCTTATTGCAAATATTCATTCATTTAAGCTAATTAGCATTTTCATTCACACGTCAGGTTCACGTGAGTAAGAATCCATGAGCGTCTGTCTGTCCAGCTTTCTTTTTCATTTCTGTCATTCAATTTCGTATTGAACGGTTGTATTCTGACATTGCTCATATTAACATTCATGTTGTTATTCATATATTAACGATTATTAACATATAAAAGTCTAAATTATTCTTTTAATTTTAGCTTTTTTTATGTTAATTAGCACCTCAAATCAATCTCCGAACTCTTAGTCTCTGAGATGACGTTCCTCTCGTATATGAGTTATCTCCGTTCGTTGTTAGCATCTATCTGCTACAATCCGTTACTTCTAAGTAAAGAGAGAGAGAAAGAGAGAGAGGGAGAGAGAGAAGAAGAAAAAAAAATAAAGAAAAATGAGTCTAAGGCGAAAAGAGAAGTGAGTGGTCATGTTCTGAAAACAAATTAAATTTGTCAGAAAAAAAACAAAACTGACAGAATTTTTTGTTGGATGACAAATTGGTAAGAAGGCTCTTAGCTCGTCTCAAGTTTTGTTTATTGTATTAAAATAATATGAAATAGGATATTGAAAACGTTTTCCTCATCTTCATCATCTTCCTCTTCGTTTGAGCTATTTTCTTGTGCAATGTTGTTTTTGCGAATTACAACTTGTATAGAAACACTGCCACATAATTACCTGTAGATGTATGTATCTTTCAAAGCTTTTATAACGTTCATCGATCAGAGCAGAAGCTTCTCATTCCCACCCGCTTATTTTACCCTTCGTCTCTTCGGTCGAGTTTTTTTTAGAATGATTATTGCACTAATACTTCCTGTTAGAATATACATCTGAGTGAGAAGAAAAGACGAATTTATAACTGGAAATAGCGTCAGAGGATATGCAAGTGACTAGACACATGTCATTGATGATGCCCATGATCATCAACGTCTTTTACTTTGAAGAGAACTAAAAAAAGCTAAAAGGAAAAATAAGGAACTAGAGAAGGGCCTGACAAGAATAGTCTCAGAAACATGATGATGTTGTCACTTCAAGATCATCTAGAGCATTCAAGAAGAAATCAGAGGGATATGAGAGTGATGAGGAGCAGAACGTTTTGATTTCCAAAAAAGCCAAATTCACTTACATGTTGATACAAACTGCAAAATGAAATTCTCGGAATTAACTGTCATCATTGTATCCTGAAAGGATGAAGGATGAAGTTGTTTTTTTTAATTTCAGATGAACAACCGAATGTTTATCTTATGTTTGACAGCGTCAGTGGTTATAAGTACCTCAGCTCTTCCTATCGATAGCCAACGAAATCCGTTTTTGCCAGGTTCGATTACTCTTCTTCTCATCCATTTCTGCTTCTCCTCGTTTTCATTCGATGACAACCAAGTTGTTTCTTTCTTTCATCCTCAGCTTTTATGTCCAAAACTTGCAAATGTGGTGGAAGAAGCAAAAGAGAGAAAAGATGGGCTATGACAGAATGCGAGTTGAAACGGAAGTGGCAGCAGAGAGCAAAACGATTATGAGGAAACTTGACGACGATTTTGCTTTTTAGTGAAAAACACAAGATTAAATCTGTTTTCATTGCATCGTAGATGATCGAATTCATAAAAACTGATAATGAAACTCTCATGCTGCTCAAGATGTGATTGAGATTCAAAAAATAGTTTTAAAAGATATCTGACGATGACGAAAACAAGAAACATGTTTAAAAACATTTTCTGTCCTAATTATTTTCCTCTTTAAAGCACCGCGAGTTCCATGTGACTGCCTTGATTGGTATGGTGATTGTCGAAATAGAGGCGATCGGTGGACTGATGATGACACTTGGACATATGAATGCCAAGCCGACAATGAGTTGAACTTTACATACAACTATCTAAGCATGTTATCCATATTCAGATCGGAAGCCATAGTTACAGGATGCCATTTAGAAAATAATTCCCAGCTCGCACTCGGAGAGAATCGTACTATCGATGGTTTGTGGTTTTCTTGTAGAAGGGATGAAAAATCTTTGCAAGTAGAATCTGGTAGAACATCGGTGCGTACCACAGAGACTTGGAAATTCGTTTTACAGAACCTTATTGTTTGGTAGACGGACGAGTTCGTAGAGTTGAGGAACGATATAAGAAAGACAGATTCCAATGGAAATGTTTGCCCACAGGACAATGGGTCACAGGTTCGAAACTAGAGTGAACCTTCATACACTCCATTCAGGATGTTATTACTCAAACGAAACAGTACAGGATATCTTTATGGAAATTGACGAAGTGGTAGAGGATGGAATCCTTCAGCACCACTGTGAAAAGTATGCCGACAACCCGGGAGTTGTTCAATATTTCGTTGAGGTAGTAGAATCACTTTCGCATCCGCTCATTTTCTTCCAGATTGATGAAGAGAAAGCAAGCGTTCAAGGAAATCCTCCGCACAAGCAGAATCACAATTTACCTGAAGATGGAGACAATCGCATCAAAGAGAATGTATTGGTTGTTGTCATTACAATAAGTCATTTCCTTTTCAGATAATCGAATGGTCTCATGAACAAGTTGACCACTTCCTAGCAAACGAGAACGGCTTCCGGAAAAAAATCCGTTACCTCGTTCGTTCTCGAGGATAGGTGAGGAGATTTGATAGGGCCAGAGTAACTACTTTATGGAGATATTAATAATTGAATCATTTATTGAAAAATTGTATAAATAAAGTTCTTTACGGCTATATCCCCGAAAACAGATAAACAATTTGAAAGTAACTAGATAATGGTAACAGACTTGAACCCGAGAAGAGAGAGAGTAGGCGATGAACTTCCTAGTCGTCGACGTCGTCGTCAGTCAGTGGTTCACTAAAACCATCGTTATAAGTGTGAAAAATTGAAAACTTTTTCATACTCTGCCAGAACTCTTTCGAAATGAATGTTTCGTTCAGGAGACACAACAGACACGACAGATGATCTCCAAGTTTCTTCCCAACACGGCAATTTATCTCCATACACATTAATTTTGAGTTGATTCAACTTCTTAAAAAGATGGAATGAGAGATCAACTCAAGTTCAACGAACATATGAATGATTCGGGAAACCAGTGGCCATAGATAATATGATGCGGAACAGTTCAGTTGAGTTGTCGAAGAGATGGCCGTTATGCCCATCCTCTATCAATTCTCCTATACAATCGAATCGTTTTGCTAAAACAGGGATGCCTGAGCCCAACATGTCTACAGCCTTCATTGGCAAATCGAGTCCTTGAGAAAAAAGAAGCTGAGATTGTGCAGTTGCAGTCAAACCTGAAGTTGAAGTGTGAAGCGAAACTCCCAAATCTGATGATGCAAGCATCTTTGGATAATCTTCCGCTTCCAGCCAGGGTGTCAGAAACTGCAGCAAAATAATGTCAAAGCGAACGAGAGGAGGAAAAGTTCACCTCGACTTTCTCCAGATTTAATCGCTTTATCCTATCCAAATAATACTCCTTTTCTTCTCCACGGCCAGTAATTACCATCAGCAGACTTGGTAAATAATTCTCTTCAGAACTTAAAGTTTGAGTTTGAGCTTCTTACAAACACAACATTAACAAACTCATTCCGACACAGTCGAGCTACGTCATTATACTTGATGGCTGCATCCAATAAAATTGAAAAATCTTCATCTGGAGTCCAACTAGTGGAAGATATCAAAATCATTGGCCGTTTTGTATTCCAAAAGATATCTCCATTTTCATATTTCGTGAAATGATTGCCTTCAAATAGAAGCTGAGACATCGAAGATTATAACGTCTATCTTACACTCGTTATCGAAGTCTGCTCTGAAGACTTTCCCCTCAGGTGTACTACCGAGACGCATGAAAAGGTCATGTTTCAAATCGTCTGGTATCTGTCCGAATGACCAACTAGGAGGTCTATCATAAAGAACAGCTGCTCTTACTCCCCATGTTGAGAGCAGATTCTCTCTCATAGCTCTAGTAACACACAAACTGCCATCGGCTAGACGACCAAAATATCCTTCCCATTTATGAACAAGTTCAACAATTCTAAACAAGAAGCCTTATGCTATTATCTCGCCCCCATATTCCTCTTTCTCGCTCTCGCTCTCTCTCTCGAGACAAGCTACCTTCTCTTTGTTGATTTCTTTTCCTTCTTCTCATTAGGCTTCTTTTTGCGTGAGTGGGGCATTGGTACCTGTTTACAAAATATACTAAAAAAACACTATTGAGACGAAAATTTACATCTTTTCCAAATTTTTTCTTTATTGCTGCCATTTCCTTAGTCGTTTCGTTCTCTTGTGAAGGCTCGGGACTAATGTCGAACTTTCCCATTTCTAAAAGCAGAGCATGTATTTTGCAAGTGGATCCACTTCGTACTCCATTTATCGAGCATCACCGTGTACATGTAATTATGCCAATCAATTACAAACTTCGCTCCTTTCAATCTCGCCATCTGAAAAGCACCACGTCATATATCTGTGAAGACTTTGTGAGCAAACCATCCAACAAACAAGCATTGTAGGGATAGCGGGGGGATTCTGCAACAAAATCAAGTCGAGTGACAAGCTTGTCCTAAAAGTATGATTAACTAAACCACTATTTTCATAAACAAACCCAACAAGAAATACCCAAAACAATTGGAAAAATGTCCAAATAAATTTTATTCCGAGCTGCATCGTCCCTGGGAGTTTGTTTAAGAAGTCAGGAGGGGCAGATAAGCCTTTACATCTAAGAAAACAAGACATTCAGATACGTTTGATGATTAGTTACTGAATTTTAGGATGAGTATCAATACTGAGATGCGGGCGTGTGTCCAAGTAGCCAATAATAGTCACATCATACTTTAACTCTTCAGCTAGCGAATAAGAATGATAGCACATACGTGGACTTCGACCAATATCTCCAAGAACCACAACAACAGCTTTTTTAGATGCAGACATGATGCTACTACTTCTCACTATGTTGTTTCTTCAGCTGCGCTAACTTTTTTCTATAAAGATGAGCCTCAAGTGATTTCACCGCCACTGATTGCGTGGAAAACAGAGTGACGGACGCATTCATTCACGCAACAATAGTCGCACTGAGCGGTCGCATTCGCATTAAACTAAAAAACAGTACGCACCTCGAATCTCGGCTTCTATTTAACTATTTCCCTCATACGCTAACTATATGTCTGAAACAAAACAGCGACGTTTTGCGATTTGTTAATGAATTGTGATAGAACTGGTTAGTACCGGACTGTTCATGAATATATAACTTAATTTATTAGAAATATATTATTCTTCATATAATACAGAATATCAGTTAAATAGATAAGTCGAGTTTTCAAAAATTATTGAAACGAGATCACGCTACTCGCAAAACAATGAACATATAATCTTTAAAAAATAAAACTTATGTGAAGTTGAAAAGCAATAACAATATATAACAAACGTAAAAACTTTCAGACCGCTTATTTCCATTGATTATTTAAAGATTCGAGTTGTCGTACAACTTCTCCTAATTTCGTAATTGCTATTGCGGCGGGTATCAGCTTTTTAGTTTCGACAGGTCTGAGAGTAAAGATTAATAACATCGAATATACGGTTCAAACTCACTTCCGAGGATCAGACGGACGAGTATCAATAGGTTTCACAGGTTCTGGTATACGAGGGTCTATTGGACGATGATGAATCACGGGTGAATGTTGACTAGGTTTTTCAGAGACTACTGGGCTTTTCCAAACAGATTCTTCCACCTATAATAGTAACAGATACTAAATCTCGAATCACTGTACAAACCTTTGGCTTATTAGGAGTATATGAGGCATGAAGACTAGTTTTCTCTACGGGTTTCTTTATACTTTGCTCGGAGTTCCGTTCAGTATAACTATCGCTACTTAATTTCTTTACAGGAGGAGGCTCGGCAGTTTCACGAGAGAAATAATTAGATTTCATGAAGTCTTTGACTGGAGCTGAAAAACAATCATAGTTGGTAAAGTTAAAAACTACATACCTGGTAGTTCGGGAGAGTTTAGAGGAGATTCGTTTCTTTCTTCTTCATGAATTTTATGCTCTAGTTTATAGATCTTCTTCTCTTTTGGAGGTTCTATGTTCTGAAATCGTCAAAATGCATGTGTTCAGCAAGAAAGGCTCTCTCACCGTCTTCGATTTTCGATAAGCACTCTTAAGTTGTCCTGTGCCTAACTTCATTATTTCTGCCTTAGGATCATAGTTGTAAGGGTTTGGAACTACGGGCTCATCCTTAACCAAGCATTATATAGTAAAATACAGAGTTGTGATCTAACTTCAAGTAGAGGAAGCAAAGGAATCCCTCCAGCAAACAACGGTTTCTCTTTCTTAGAATCCGACCTTCTCTTCGGTTTGACATCTTAATAACAGAGTAGTGCATGAGTAAGCTATACGAATCCTTACTGGCCATTAATGCTTCCTCGAAACTTCTATCGGTGCCGTGATCTGATTTTCGGGAAGATTTTCTTTCTGGTTTCGCTCTACTTTTTTTCGAGTCTTTTGTTGTTTCAGATTTCTCGTGCTGCAGAATTAGTTTTTATAGAAAGATAGATAACTCTGAACTAACTGTCGGAGCTTCGCTTTCAGGCACTTCTTCAGCCACAGCTTCGGTCGTCTCGTTCTTCTCATGATCAGATTTATCATCAGATTCTTTGACTTCAGTGGATGCTCCCTCTGAGTCTTTCCTCTTACTAGAAACTTTAGCCGCAGTTTCTTCTTTAGCTGAAGCTACTTCGACAGTTTTCTCCGAAGCAGAAGTATCTTTGTTATCTTTCTCTTCAGTGTGAGGTTCTTCTGATTTTTTGTCTTCGAGTTCATCATCCTTTGATTTTTCGATTGCACACTCCTCCAACTCTTCTTCTTTCTTCAAGTCCAGTATCTCCTCAGGTTTCTCTTCTAGTTTTGAAACTTCAGAAGCTACGTCCTCTTTTTTGGATGCACCTTCAGATATTGGATCTAGAACCGTCTTGGCTTCGATCTCCATTTCCTATGTTTCATTATTAGAGTATCAACTGTGAAATAACTAACTTCGTCAACTTTCTGTGAATCATCTTCAGTTTCAGTTTCAGTTTCTTCTTTTTTCGGAGTGTTTTTGATAGAAGTCGCATCTGATTCTTCCTCTTTTAAGTCTCCCTGAAAAACATATATTCGATTCCCTCATAAGCCGGATATTCGTACCTCTGACGTAGTTGGATGATTTGCAACCTTAGCTTCAAAACTCTCATCAACTTGCATAGCCTGAACGAGGAAGTTATAGATCAGAAAATCTGAGAAAATTTCGAAAAAAAAACCTTCAAATTTCTTTCATTTTCTATTTGTTTTGTTTTATTCAAAAAATGATTACTCTTTTTAATGGGAGAAATTAAGGACTGAAGTGAAAATCTATTTGTCGAGCAAAAAAGCGTAAATTAATGAGATTACCTCATGATTTGATGTTCGTTTGTAAGCTCTTTTCCTTTTCGAAGCCCATGGAGCTGATTCCATAACTACTCCTTCTTCGTCCTCAAAAATCTTCGATTAACGGCTTTTAATACTACAACGCTACCAAGTGTGTTCGCCTCCTAGTCAACACAAGTTGGAAAACTTGTAACAAACTTGCTGGTTTGGTAATCCCCTCAGCAACTTCAACAAGACGTTTCTTTCTCATGTAATCACACAGTTTTTCGTACTCTACCAATCTCTTAACGGACATATGGTTCAACACATCTGGAAGTGTTGCTTTGAAATTGCGTCACTCTATGTACCAAACTACCATCGTTAAAAACAATTTCAGGTTCATCACCAACAGGGTTTTTATGGGCTGCAGTTGACTTCCCGTGGAGATCGAACAGAGGCTACAAAATTTAAATTTTGAACGGAAATCCAAAATTGTCTATACCGATTGCTCATGATAAAAGATTCCTTTACTCATAATTTCCATTTCAGAAGGCCTTTCTTTATCTTCCTATACCAACAGATTATCAGAAGCTTAAGATAGATAACAAACCGGTACATCAGAAACCACTACATCACTTTCAGACACTTTAGCATCATATATGGTGTTCTCGGCATGCATGGCAATGACATTCTTTGAGCCTAAAATAGAAACAGATACACGAACATTTCAAGCTTCCCATAGATTATAGTCTTAGAGTTCGACTAAGTAGGGTGAAGAAAACTATATGGCAAGCATCAGAGGCCGTCGCTGTTCACCGTTTCCCCGATTATCTTCTTTCTTTCACACACAACCCGTTGTTATGAGTAATTCCAGAATTCTCTGAGAAACTCGCAGAGCAAGGATGAAAGTCTCATCATTCACCGCCAAGATTCGAACCCTCATCCGTTTTATGTCGCATACTCTAGAACCAATGCGCTATGGAGGTCTACACCTTACCTGGCTCATGATTTGCTTCCTCCTCGAGGATGTCAGAAGTGTTGACATCTGTTTGGAAGTTCTCTGATTTTATCTAAACAGCAAATAGTTGAAATATTGCTAGTATTAATAAACTGACTAATTTATGATGTCCATTCTGTTTGATCCATAACTTTCCAACGTAGTCAAGTCTACAGAAGGGTTTAACTCAGTCATAACAGTATGAACTTACTTGGCATCCCTAATATGAAGAGGACGTGCGTATTTACGTCCAGTAACTTCCTCAACAACTTGTGAGATCACGTAAAAGATCAACTGGTCTAAGTATGGGAAACGGAACTTCTTGGTGACCTTAAACGTTTCCTAACATTAAATAAGACTCCAATTCCTCCTACACTGATCCTGTTTTCACTCTGGAAAACTCTAATTTGCATCGAAGCTCTCAAGGAGTGTAAGAAGTTGCCACCAAACACCAAACTATCTACTGGTGTGAATACTGCATGAATCCACCCTTCATATAAACGTTAGATAATGAATATTTCTCTTTCAGTTACCGGAAGGAATTATCATTGTATCTCCTGGTTTGAGAACTACCCGAACACATCTATCTACTACGTCACCGAAAAACCCAGTTTGTTCCGGGTTCTTGATGAACTCTTCGTATACCCGAATGTTTGCTTCTGTTGGCTCGACCATCCAAAAAATCTATAGAAAAACATGTTCTAACTGATACTATTGAATAGAAAGAAACCTTTTGTCCTTTCAGGACATGGTACCAAACAGAAGTTCCGCCAAAGTCAATGTGAAAATCTGTATAACAGCGCTCAACACTCATTAAACAATAACTGGAAAAGAAGAGAAAGTAATTAAACCTTGTAAATGACTAACTTTTGAACTTTGGGAAATGTGTGATGAAGTTGATAACCTTTTTTCGTGAAGGAAATAAAACGTTGATGCAAAGCATCCGGCCAACAGTTTTCCACCCAATCAACATCTCTAACCAAAGATGGGCCTTGCACAACATCCTGAACCCCCAAAAATTATAATCAATTATATGTGCTGCTCAAACCCTCAATTTGTCCAAAGTGAACTCCAGTGATAGCACATTATAAAGAGTATTCCGTTTTTCTTTTGGAGTGCTTGAACATATTTTAATGAAGCTGCGAGTGAAAACTACAACTCACTTGTAATAATCCACGAATTCCTTCAAGTTCATCTTCACGCTTGTTTGACCACTAACTTCTACAACTTCTATTACCCTATCACCGCCAACCAGTTCCAAAACTGTATTGACTGTGAACGACTCTGAATCCGGCACTCTTAAGTAAGTTTAAATCAAAATCGCATTAATTTTCTCAATTCTCACTTCATTCCGAGCTTCTTTGGGTCGCATTGAAAGAACAATGGAGTTTCAAGGCCCGTTTCCTCATAATAATCAATATTAAAACCTTTAATCAATGAATTTTAATAATAAATTTCCGAATAAAAATTACTTTCCGGATCGATTTTTCCAATCAAATTTTTATGCTCGAAACTTTTAGCTGAATATAACGAGTTAGTTTATTATTTTTTGTTTATAATACTCACTTGAGATTAGCCGATCGAAATCATATCTCAATACACTTAGAAATTTATCTTTAGAAAAGCCTTTTTCATCATCAGATGATGACGCTTCAACTTCTGAATCTGTTTCAGCTTTTTTAACCTTAAAACATGCTTTTGTGCTAGAAAACTAAGAAACAGTACCTTTTTAGGTCTACCCGGACCTCTTCCTCCTCCACGTCCTCTTCTTTTGGGGGGCATGTCTACAATGTTAGTAAATGTGACGCTCGAAGAAGAAGAATAATCAAGGATCGATAAGAGAGGAGGAAGAAATGTTAAAAGTGTGAAGTGTTCATGTTTTAATATTGCTTATAGCATTATACACAACAACGTAATCAAACAAACAAAAAAACCCCACGGGTCATTTCGGTGTATGTGAGTGTAGCAAAAAAAAAAGTTTTTACGACGCAATCTGTCTCTCAGTTGTGATACTCTCTCCCTCTGTTTAGATAGATTATCTTTAGCGTCTCAAGCCATATTTTCGGAGGTTGACAATCTTGAATTTATGAGAAGGCAAAATGATGTTGCGTGCATGTTAAAAAATAAATTTGAAATAATCAATAGTTGTTTATATATATAAGAATGGCGCACATCCTGGGTATGAATACAGCAGTACTATGCGCTCCAATGCTAAATGAAATTTTAACGCGGCAAAACGAAGCATTTGCGAATAGACAAAAAAAGTTCACTGATTTTAGTGTTGACGCGAAGTCGGACGTTTCTCCTATACATTCGGGCCTCGAAGAAGTTTATTATATCGAAGTATTACAGATTTCAACATTCCGTCCAAAAGTAAAATGTCGAAGAGAAAAAATGTTAGGCAAAAAAATCAGGAAACTGCCACGGTACCAGGAATTTACGGTCCATCACTAACATACCGTGTTCAGGAAGAATATGCTGTTGAAAAAGTTTTAAACAAACGTTTTGTTGCTGGAAAAGTAGAATATTTACTAAAATGGAAGGTATGTTCGTAATCTCGACCTTGAAAATATTTTTTTAAGGGATATCCGCTGAGTGATTGCACTTGGGAACCCTTTGAACACATAAATGCAAAAGAACTCATTGATGACTTTGAAAAACATAATGATGCTAAAGGCGTTCTTCCTAACTACGTTATAACAACTGAACGTGATGTTCGAAAAAATATTTTAATCACTGAAAATGCTTGAAATTATAGGTAGCTGTCATTCTTGGTATCACTCGTATGTATGGAGAACTTGAGTTCCTCGTTAAATATCGGGACGGTAACGCTTTGCTTGTACCCGCCAAATTCGCTAATGTTAGGTTCGTTTGTTTTACGATAGGCGATGCTAACTTGAAATTTATCATTTTTTAGATACCCAATGCGTGTTATAGAGTTCTACGAGAGCAATCTTAAAATTATTCCAACTGCAGACGATGAGAGTACTGGCAAAGTCTAAAGATATCATATCTTTCGTGTTATTAATGAGGAAAAAAACGTGTTTCAAAAACGTCTTGTAAATTTTTAGTTAGTTTTCTATTTTTTACCAATTGTTTACGAACTTTTCTGTTCATATCATGGCAGTTGTAGACTACAGGTAGTAATAATGCAATTTTCCTCTTAGTTGTTCCGTAATTCTGTATTTATTGTTTCTCTTTCATTCCATGAAAATCTCGTGTTGTTTGTTGCTACCTGTCAAACAAGCTTTAATAAACGACTGCAATACAGATATCTAACATGTCCTTGATCGTCGGTTGCTTTGGGATCTTCTTATCCCTCACTTCCTTAACTTTTTTCATCATCCAGTTGATATTCATCACAGTAGGCTGGAGTTTTTCTTTTATTTTTAGCTCTCCGACTCTCTTTAAGGTGATAAGGTCAAGCTGCGGTTACGATTCAAGCTTCGCTTTCACTTTGATGTTCTGCATAGGCATCACAGATATGGTACAGTTAACTATTCACTGCATATGTGGAGTTCTATTGTTCCTCGAACGCGATAGCCATTCCTTTGATGTAAGACGAAACGGTCAAGGAACTAATCATCTCTCTCCCAGTTCACATTACAGACTCTGAAAAACGATGATGCCATTCTTAACAACTATCGTTATCAACCTAATTTCAATCCGAAATATGTAAGTTCTTTAGATTTTACTCTCTGCATTCGTTCAAAGGTAATTGGTGCTCTAATGACATCTTCTTGGATTTCCATGGTTTTCTTGACTCTCTTCTTGACCGTCCATCGTTTTGTTTGGACAGTCTTCCCATTCAAAGCATCATCGCTGTTACCACCAACAGTGTTGAAAGTAGGATTTTCCTTAAACTGCCCTGTATATGTTTTGACAACAGTTTGCTCTCCGTTGCCTCTTCGTTGTCTATATATTGTATTTCCTGCTGAACGTTTCGGGCTTATCAGCTATGGCGTTCTCAGTCAAATGGTTTGTTTCCATAGAAAATCAAGTTCCTCTTGATCATTGTTTTCATGTTTATCTCCAGGTTGTCCTGGCATTACGTGACAGAACATCCATGGAGTAAATATTGTGCGTTGTTGGATATTGTAACCAATTATCTTGCAGCTTTTGTTAATACAATCGCTTATCTCATTATGTTCATTTTCCTGTTTTGTAAAGTTTGATTTCTTCATCAGAGTTTCATTATTATCATGAACTTCTATTTCAGAGAACTTCCAATGTCCTTAAGAACTACGAAGTTCGTATTACGTTGCAGGTAAAGATGTTTTTTCTTCGTTCCTACTCGAACTATGCATGTTGCAGGTTTTTTCCTTTTGTTGTTACGAAGTGATATGCTTGTTTGTTTGGGAGGTGGTTGAAGTTTATTTTATTCCTTACAATCACCAAGTTGCTTTGGTAAACTTGTTTATGTGGGTTCTTTGGAACGGATGTTCAGCTTTACCATATCTCTGTTTCAACAGGTTCTTTTCAATTGACGTAATTCTTACCTCGTTTCTTGCCTTTTCAGTACTGTTCGCGAGCTGGTGGCAAAACGATGGAGGCTGTTGTGTTCACGGTGTTTCTTCTCAATTTCGGAGCTCTCTCCTAAAACTACGGAAGTTCCGTTCATGACCAACAAACGGGTGTCCATCCCACAATGAGTGTGATTAGAGCACTCAATGTGGTTTCGTTTCCTAGTTGCTCTTCAGGAGTTCCCTGAGTGTTAGTATCAAATCTCTGATATGTACTGTCATTGCTTTTATAAACACGAAGTTATGACACATTTATAGCCTACTGAATATCATTCATCTTTCTTTCTCCTTCTATTCATGTTGTACTATTCTTAGAAGAGTTGAGGAATAGGATCAAGAATGGTGTTTGTCCGGCTGATTCATAGGAGCTTTCATTTCTACAGGTCTCCTACAATAGCTCTTGCTAGCGTAACAGCAGCTCATAGTTCACCATATTCCTTTTCAAGGCATTAACTAAAAGACTGTTTGATTATTTTATTGGCTAGAATCACCAACAGATGCTGTTCCTCTCTATAACAACCTTTATATATTGTCAATTGCTGGATGTTTTAGCGTGTCCTCCTCAGGGTCCCGGAAATTGTTATGCAGGTTTGTGAATGCAGACGTTTGAGAAAGGCAGTCAAAATACAACACTTCAGGACAGTATGCCGGTGGACCTCCTAACTTTTACAATCAGAAATGTGCACAAGACGGTTTAAGCGATTGGTGTGCTGTCACGTAAGTAATTCCCTCTTGGTGCTAGCCTTCTGTGTTAGTTCTGGGATTCAGCTGGTTGAAGTAACTCATTTAAGATGCATGAAGTTGTTTTGACCAACATTTGTAGGCAAATAGATCAAATATGATTACATTACATTATTCATTGAGCGCTGTTCTAGATACCAGCCCGCCGCTAACTTGGCAAATTTTGGTTGTGCTTCATCATTCCGTCAACAAGTCGGAATGCCAACCTGTGGTGACAGCGCCCTCTCCATTAATCAACAGGGATGTAATATGGTATATATTACATTAGATTGCATTCTGAAAATTTGAAGCAATGCCCTTCTAGGTAAACACTGCGAGCGGGCCATGCTATTTGTGCTGTTGTAAAGGAGGGAGTTGCAACCATCCCCAGGTAACATTTATTTCGTAGCTTTCATACGAGAGAAACATGAAAATATAATAAATTTGCTTGTTTCCTTTTAATATTCAATTATATTCAGGTGTTTGCCCAGCAAGCTCAGTACGCTTTCAATGACGCATTTCCTAATCAGCATATGTTCGGCTTGACAGGCGCAACGTCGAGCAGCATGACTTTAGTCACCTCCATACTTATTCTATTAGCCTATGCAGCCTGATGACTAGATTTCAACTATTCGCTCAACAAAATTTAAGATTTATACTCAAGTTTCACGTTGACAATAAACAACAAAAGAACATAACAAAGAGTTTTAAAAAGATCGTTGTGGAAAGAGCTGCAATGAATAATTACATGATAGAGGAAGATTTCTAAAGTGAATAACTATAATTTTTTTTTATTAAGAGTTAACACGTATTTTTTTTGAGATTTTTGGGGAACACCACATTTTTACAATAAATATTACTAGTAGAAGGATGCTCTATTGACCATATCTTACATTACCCGAAGCCATAAAAAATTGAAAAGATACAGTTGTATCTGTAATATTTCTATACTCAAACAAATATTATTAATACAAAAGTTATTCATCCACTTCTCCATCTTCTAACTCGTTACGAGTAGGGAGAGTAGGGAACTGCGGGAGAGAGGGTGCGGGTGGCGGGGGCGATAAAGCTACCGTTGGCTCGAAAGCTAAAGATATCCGTGGAATCATTGGGTGTTGAGCACTTGATGATAATGGTTTGTCACTCGATATCCGAGTAAGATTTGACTGCGATCCCTATATATGCCAAAAAAATGAATGGGTCTCTACTCTACACACACCTTATGGTAACCATTGGTGTTTACAGAATGGTGTGTTGAAGAGGGCATTACATCAGTCCTCGGTTTTTTGTAACTGCAAACTCAGAGTTAGATAGTATCTGCGAATTCGAAACAGACCTTCCATAGCCATCCTTGCCATGTCCAGCACTTCTTTCATGTTCACGTTTTCTCTTTTCCTCTTCTCGCCGTCTATCTTTATCTTCAGGCTTTTCATCACGCCGTCTCTCTTTTTCTTCTCTACGTTTCTCTTTATCTTTTTCTCGTTCCTTTCGTCTTTCCTCGTCTCTACGTTCATCTCTTTTGGAGTCTGAAAACATTTATCAGCTTCAGAGGGTGGATGAAAAATTACCTTTTGGTAAAGGCTCCATTCCTGGTAGAGATATCGTAGGTAACTCACGCATTTTGCCAACTTGTGAGGTGTCCGGAATAAAACTCTTCCGAGGCTTCTCAGTCGAGCCAGCCTTTTCACTCTCTTTCGGTGTTAGCTTAACACGCTCCTACACGAGAGCAAGAATTAGGAACAGGTCATTAACAGTTCCAGTACCTTGTACTCGCTAAGGTCCACTTTTCTTGGAATAGAAGGTGGTGGAGGTGGGGGAGGTAGTGGCTCCAACAGAGGTGTAGGGGAGATCGGGACTGCATTCGAAGTTGATCCGGGTCCAGGTACTGGGGTAGGCTGGAGAGTGATGGATGACTTTTGTTTTCCTAATGTCTCACAAACCTCAAAAGCTCCTGCTTGTAAGTACTTGCTGGTTTGGAAGGCCAGCTTTCCTTTACAACTATGATAGATCTGGACAAACTCATCAGCCATTTCTAGAGGTACATGTTAAGTACGAAAGATCTTCAATCTGCTACCTTTGAGGACAGCCTCAGTCATGGTCGGATCGGCCCGAGAAAACCAGTGACTGCCATCCTGCGTTTTGGGAATCTGGAAGAAATAAATATAAAGAACAAAACTATAATTCTATTTTGTTTGCGGTAATGCATAAATAACCATTACATATTTTCGCGCCAACCCCATATTTTAAAGGTATATAACAAATATCTCATTAACTATCCACCCAACTATGACATAATGACCATTTTGCATACACTAATGTATTCATCAAACGTTGATCGTACCCCAAGTTCACCAGAAACCATGGGACAACATAAATTTTTAGCTAAGTCTAATTGAAATATGCAGCACCTCATGTCGACACCAAGCACAAACTATGTGCACACAACAGATAGCAATCGCAGCGGCTGAATATCGAATGGCCCAATTGGTAACACACAGGCTAAAACAGTTACAATCAGAAACAGAATATCTGCTTGAACACATACACATCTGTGGCAAAGAAATATGCGCATTTTGTGAGTTTTTTGTTGCCATGATCTAGAAGGTTCCATGAGAAAATTCCTGACATTATTCACTAACCATTCACGGCCTGACCAACGCTCTGGTGCATTACATTCAATACAACAGGATGAGGTAAATCCACTTGCAGATCGAAAGCTACAAAGAAAGCATTTGATATTCGTTTTGCGGTGAAAAAACCAACCTATTGTATGTAAAATGATATTCTCAAGCTGCACTATGTAAGCTCTTGCATCAGGAATATGCTGAATGTTTAAATATCATGCTATCTAATACCGATGAGTCTTACCGTAGGTGGAATGACAGGATGCTTTGTATATTTTTTCTCCCACCAAACTCGTACAATATCCTCGAGTTTTCTGGGGCTTTCCTCACTCTTGCCGGATAAGAAGAGCGCTGCGGCAGCAATATCCTGAATAGTTTAGTCATGCAAGGAAATTTATAATTAAAACATACTTTATAATCAAAAACATTGAAACTGTGAAAATAATAAAACCTATGCATGTGAATGGTGGCGGCACACATACAATACTGTGATCTATAGAATTTTGAGAAATATACAATTTTTTTTGAAATTGCACTTACATAGGTCCCATTCTGTCTTTGTAAGCTTCATTCAGTCTGTCTACCATTACTTGTATGAACCTTGTAGCTAATTGTCTATAGTACAGTTCCTTGCCCTCGGTAAAACCTTCGGAAATGCTTTTCGCGTTCTTCATCTTTAAATAATTTTTTTAAACGTTGTTCCATGATTTTTATCTACCTCTTCGGACGAAAAAAGCCATTTATGAGCCACATAAGGTTCTGGTTGAGATGCGCCTGTTCCAGGAGCAGAAGACATCCTTTTGTGACAAGTGATGAGTAATAGCAATTACGCGATTCACATAATACGACAAAACGACATTGCACAAGTTAAAATAAAATTAAAAACCTATCACGTGCTATCCATGCGCATCATCTCAATACAAAATAAGCATAATTTAATAATAATAAAGCAAAATTTATAATATTTAAGTTAAATAAGCCGCTCGCGTCATTTAGAGTACGCAACGCGCCCGCTTGCCACTGGCATAGTGCCAGGCTACGTTTGCGCCCTAGCGCACAATCATTAGCGTGGGACCGGGTTGCCGCGCAGTTCCGTGGAGCATAGCCGCGCCGCGGCCTCCGTTTGCTTAGCACGCGTCGCAGCTGTGCGGGAAATTCGAACGCCCATTTTAAGGTCGAGACAGAAAAGTTTGCGCGCAGAAGCCTTGTAATAAGCTGAAGAGGCAGAGAGGGGCGGGGAAAGGAAGTGAGGGTGCGGACTAGTAACGGGCGCACGCCTTTTAATGTCGCCTCTAACAGACGTATGTTCGTATGTAAGACTGAGGGCCCCACGACTTGATGCTGAATGCTACAGTTGATCCGATTGATGGAGCGACGACGGCAGGTGAAGAGATGTACGATGTCGGTGTCATCGCCTGGGCCCTCTTCATGGGTATCCTGTCCGTCGTCACTGTCATCGGCAATTTAGCTGTTCTGTTATCATATTATCTTGACAAGAACATTCGCCAGCCGTCTAATTACTTCATATTCTCGCTCGCAGTTTCTGATCTTGTGAGTTTTGATTTGATTTCTCTTTATTATTTGTTCATGTTATGTGCAAATGAGCGATATTATATGTATAACATGTTGTATATGTAAGAGCGAAAACGAGTAAACTCAATCGAGAAATCAAAGTTTGTGCGAGGTTCTGAAAATAATCACCTCCAATTGCTGAGGATGCGCTGAGAAATTTGTTGATGTACAAGTGACCCTAATAAGTATAGCTGCTTTGACGATAAGGCTCAATTCAGTTCCCATATCAAGTAGCTCCATATAAGTACTCTTCTGCATGTTTTCATCAACTTGCCTCCTTTCCTATTCTTTTTTCATTTTATTTCTCGTGAGATGAGTGAGATAGGCAAAGAGCTTCTGCTATTTTTGATCTAATCCTGATTTTACTTCTTATTATTTATTAGAAATGTCCCATGTAACTTTACCCTTTGCTCAGCTATCTGTCAGCACTTCATATCCATAGGAGAATGCTTAGAGATTTAGTGAAATAAGATTTTCATCCGGAAAGCTGCGGTTTGGCCGGAGGGATTAACCGTCGGATATGCTGGATGCTGTCCCCTGAGGGTACGGCTGTAATAGATGTGGTTATCTGCCTGTTGACGCGTCTTCCCCCCCCCCCCTTCATACTAACTTGGCTAATTTCGTAGAGCTTCTTCTTCTTTTTCTGATGCTGCAGTTTGAAGGCTCTCGTTTTCTTTTTCGGACATGAATTTCATACTTCCGAAAGCCAATGAAACAAATTCTGAAATAGAAAAGAAAGAGTGTAATGATGGAAGATGGGAAAAAGTACGACTAAAGAGCTCGCTAATGGTTAGCCTGGAGGGTCAACGAAGAATTCGGTATGACGTAAAGAAAAAGGAAAGGCATCCAATTATGAAAGGCTGAATTTCCGCCAACTGTTTATAGGATGTGTATGTGTGTGTGTATGTATGTATGTGTGTATGTGCGTGATTTGGAATGCCAAACACGACTGTTTATGGAATTGGATAAGTAATCAGATTGTCTTAAGTTGACTTCTAGTGTCTCATGAGTTTACGGCTCTTTCAAGAATGAAAATAGCCATCTTTAGCTTTCATTACTTATTCAGCAGACCCACTGCGCCTGATATAGCCACCGGAAAACATACGAGAAGGAAAAGCGAGAGAACAGAACAAGAGTTCTTCATAATAGAAACTTCGTTTTCTCTGGCTTTTGCGCCTTTTCTAAGCTTGGGTGTTATTATGTGCAGTTCTGGAATAGAAACTGACTTGTGCCTCTTGGTATCTTACTTCGCCTTTTATCTATCCCGTATATGGCGAATAGAAGCTTTCTTCATTTTCCCCTTATTTTCCCTTCATTGCTTTCTCTCTGTATATTTTGCTTTCTGGCAGATTGAGTTAAAGAGAGAGTAAAGAGGTTTATAAAAGGGAAAGGCAAAGATATTGCATCTCATACTTTGATTATTCTCACTTAGAGTGAATGAATGGTTAACGATCCTTTCCACTTTCATTTCCACAGATTATGTTTTTGTGTTCTCAGATCAACAATGATTTTCGTCGTCCAAATAAATACATTATCTTCTTTTTTGGCAACTTCCGATATGTCACAAATATCAAATCCACCGTACCTAATCCATTTACGTTCTTCGCCAAGTCATTCTCCACATATATCCTCAGGCAAAAAGCCATTTAAGATGAAAGCGATATGACATCAAGCATCTTATAATAAAAAGTTTCCCTTTCGCGACGTGTGCGAGTCATTCCAGATTCTAGTTCTTGTGTGAAAAGTTTTGTTTGTTGAAAACGTTTGTATCATATCACACGTGAGTTGTTTTAGTCTCTTGTCACCTTTCTCTTCTACACTTTCCCTTTCGGATTTTGGGGCCAAAAAAAACAAGATAGTGGAACGGAAGATATTGCTAAACGATGACTTACATCATTCTTCTTTCATAACAAGAAAAAAAAAGTAAAAATGAGAGAGAAACATAAGTTTAATGCGATTACAGAACTTTTGACTTTGTAATATCGTTCTGTGAAGGTCATATTAGGGTTGACAACCTTCCAGTTAGAACAAGAATAATATTCTTTGACCAAATATGGTCCAATTCCTGCTCATTATCGAGCTGTTCGTATTCGTTGCCTCTTTTGCCTCGACTACTTCAACCAAATAGTTTTTTGTCCTTGCAATGCACCAAATAGATGACCTGAGCCAGTTTAAACAACCTTATAAGGTTGTTGGGAAATCGGTTGGTTTATCTCTCGTTTTTCTCATTCTCTCATCGTTTATTTCATTCGGTTCTGCAGTAGTTGCTCGCAATAGTTCAGAGAGCTGACACATAGCATTTAAACCTGATTGAGAATGAGTTTGAAGTTGGAGGAAGACGATGAAAAAGAAGAAGAAACATCTCTGAATAAAGAATTTTGTGGAAGTTATGAATAAGAAGAAGTAAAGGCATATACAGACAGCATGATCGATCCGTGAAGTACTTACATATGAGGCCGGAGCCGACAAATTGAATCAACCTCGTTCGGAAGATTTCATTTCCGACTAGACGTTGCACATTGGAGCAACTTGATATAATACGCAGACCAGAAAAACTATGTATCTCCTTCTATTCGATGGAATGACTTGAAGAACGAGAAACTGAATTCAGTTTTCGTTGGTTGAACAAGCAAACGACTTATTGATGACCATGTTTGCATTATCGCCTTCCGCCTCAAAGTAACCACAGAATAATGATAATAACGATGTTACTGAGATTGTCAGTACTTCTCAGCTATCCGGAGACATCGGGGCTGTTTGCGAAATGGAAAAATGAGGTTTTATACTTTGCCTCCTTTACTCAATATTCACCGTAATTTGTGCCTTTTTTTTCTCTCTCTCATAATTGTTTTGATGATGTTTGCGATATCTGCACATGTCATCCTTTCGTTCGACTGCAGTCTCCAGGGCTCACAACTGGCCATTTTTGGTAATAGCTATCATAATTCAAACTTTATTTTCTGTGTGAGTACTGAAATGCGGACAGATTTCGTAGAAAATGCTCACCAAATATAAGAAAATAGAGATGGCACATGTAAAAGGGAAAAAAAGGGAAAATGGAGAGGGAGAAGCCAGGCAACATTTCCACGTTGACCATTATGGGACGTAAGAAGCTCGAATGTTTTCAAGATAGAATAAACATCCGGCTACCATTATATTAAACGCCTTCCATGTTTCGAATCCGCTTTCTTTCACAAAGAGAATGAGAAGAACAGAGGCGATTCTTCTCAGAAGAAGCATTGCAGAACGCCGGGGAGCAATTAACTTCCCGTTGGATTAAAAGACCTAACGTGATGCTTTCATGGATCAAAGTGAAGACGTTCAAAGGCTTCATTTTTGACAAGTAATTCTTCTTCTCTTGCCATTTTTGGAATGACGATGAAAATGGCCAACACATTGATCCGCACGGTCTTCGTGAGGTCTCGTTCGCAATCTTTCTTTGTGAGTCAAAAATCGTTCTTTGAGTTTTCCATTTCATCAGACTCTTTTGTCTTTGTCTTATGTCTTTTAGGCATTTCGTTCTATTTCGTCTTCAATCTTCTGATTCTTCTGGTCCTTGCCTCATACATCTCCCGCAGTCGACCAGACAGCAGAAAGAACAGAATAGCCTGAAAAGGGAGAAAGAGTGCGACTGAGAGAAAGCTCTACCATTGACTCGTACCCTCCTCTCCTCCCATTCCATTTTTATCACCCATCTTCACTGGGGGAGAGTAAAAAAAGTTAAGAAATGAAGGAATATTAGATAGTTTGAGAAAAATGGAGTAGCTGAAGGGCTCAACTTTTTTGTCAGAAAGTTGTCACAGTTCTTCAGAATTTTTATCCGATTGGAGGGGTCATCGGGGACCATAAGTTGACTCTGTTGCTGCTGGTTGAGGGAAGGAAAAAAGTCAATTTTAACTTGTAGAATATGTGCATCAGCAACGTTTCTCAACAACATCTCTATAATCCTTAATTGGAAGTTGAATTCCATATATGCGAATTGAAGAAGAAGAAGAAGAAGAAGAAGAAGAAGGAGACGACGAAGAGAAAGCAAAGCTAAAATGAAATGACAAAAAATAAAGTAGTCGACAATAATTCGGAGAGTCAGATGAGAAAGCCATGAAGATCATTTCATTCTTCTTGCTTCCATCTTTTCTGCTCATAAAATCCACGGAAGACATGCACGAAACGATCTTATTTGTCATGTAGACACCCTTTATAGCCTGATTTTCTATATATCTCTTTTTTGCATTTCTGTGACCTCTTCCTATGCTTTTTCCGTCTCTTGATATACTCAACATCAGGAGGTGCCCCAATTATACATGACAAGAGAGAGAATGGGAATGAGGTTCATAGAGAGCATATAAGGGACTGAAAGATAACAAGGGAGCTTGTACTGGAGCTGTCGAATATAAAGGTTTCTTTGTTCTTTCTTGCTCTAAGCACTTGAATTCGATCATAGTGCTCCTTTCCTAAATTTTCTCTCTTCCTTCCTGCCGTCTCCCCGTTATTTCGTACTTTTACCAAATCTCTTTACATCCATAAGGTTTTGGATGTTATGTTGACCCATAGCTTCCTTATTTGCATTCCGAATTTTCCGTTTGAATCTGCTGATACAAGCCTGAGCCGGTGGGTGGTCAATTCTCAATCGAACAAGAGAGAGAGAACAGGAACAAATTCACGATGTATAAGCCGCTTATAAAAATATAGAATCAGCAATAAGCCTTAAAACTTCCAAAAGTTGTCCATCTGCAGTTAATTTTATCCGAACTCAGCTTTTACTTTTCCTCGTTTCTCTCTTCATCTCCATATGATAATGAGGAGAAAGTCCGTTTGATTTTTCAAGCATTTCAAAAGCATTCGACAAGTTATTCTTTTCTTTTTCACTTTCAGCTTCATTCTTTCATCTCTTGCCTTTCCTATCTCCTTCCATTTTCAGCTTCCTTCAACCTTCCAATTATGTTCTAAAAGGCAAGGAAAGGGAGAAGGAGAGAAGTATGAACGGAGCTCATCGAATGAAGATCCTCAGACGATGAACTAATGAAGAAATATTTCTTATTATTCTCTTGACATTAGCAAGAAAAGTGAAGGAATTATATTCTGCTTAAAAGTGCGTTTTTTTTTCTGGAAGTCGTCCAGCTCTAACGGAATGATGGGTGGGGGAGAGAAGGTTATGAGGGGGGTGGCCCACACAAAGAGGGATCCTAACTGTAGGAGGGAGACAAGAAAAAGTTTTCTTTAAAACGAATAAAGAAGGTTTTCTCTAAAGTAATCTCTATTAGCTTATGTACATCAGCAGCCTTAGCACTCAAAATTGGCAAACACATAACAAGAAAAGTATTGCCAAGTTGCTTTCCCGGTTTTATAAGCTTCCGATAAATCTCTCTAGTTCCTAGTTCAAAAAATTAATAAAAAATAAATCAACATGCACCGCTTGTTTTTCTTTTCTACTTTTGCGTCTTATTTCCGACTAACTTCCCTGCTTTTACATGAAATTATACGGAAATTCGAAAGATAAAAAAAAAGAAGAAGAAGAAGAAGAGAAGGAGATGAACATGAAGAAGACGAAGCAGAAGTAGACGACAAAATGTGAAAGAGCTATTCGACGATGGAGAAGTGACTAGGGCAGGATGTGTTACATTTCCTTCATATGATTTATGTTCAATCATTATGAAAACCAATTCAAACAACACATTTCCATACACACATACATAGATGCATACACACGCGCGCACACGCACACGCTCACACAATCACAGACAACATCATCCAGCTGCTAACTGATAGATTGTATGATAGTCCAAATTAAGAAACAAGAGCGTTTCGAGATGAAGACGAAACAAAAACTTCAAAACACTGGATTTTAATACTTTAAAAGTTTGAAAAACAATGCACTATTTTGGAGAAGAAAGAAAAATATTTATGTATGAAGCGTTTGAAAGATTTTTGAGATGCTGAATAAGGCAAATTTTCAAAATATATTTCAAAAAAAAAAGAAAAAAAGAAGATGAAGAAGTAGAAGATGTAGTGAAATAATGAAAAATACTCAACGCCTTATACATGAGACGTGTGCGTTTGAAATTGGCGCGCTTTCGGTGTGTCTGTTGGATATTTAATTCATTTTTGAGACGAGCTGGCGTGTGGAGCGGTTGCATTCTTTTTTGAGCTTCTGACAGTAATGTTGTAATGAACATGTCCTACTATTGTTTATGGTTATTGTTGTACTCAATAAGGCATATATATTGTGTGATTGCTGATTTTCAAACATCCAAAAGCTATATAACGACGAAATGACTATAATTTTCGTCGAATAGGGAATTATACGAGAGTAGAGTTGATAAAGACATCATCAAAAATTCCAAGAACACACAGCTATGTTAATTATGTATGAGTAATATAAGAGCTAAAGCGATTCTCATGATCTCGTAGCTTCTTTAAGCTGCATTTCAAGGATGCAGAATAAAGATGATTTGAAACTCTGAACGGGAGATATTGCGAAATTAGTGATGATATTGAACTTTGAGAAATTTAATATATTTTCCAAGGGGGGAACAGATTGTGGTTTTAATGAAATGTTGAACGTTCTTTTTCCAGCTAATCGGTCTCGAGGGTATTCCTGTCTATACACATTTCTTTCTGAACGGCAACAAGTGGGCCTTCGGGGAATTTGCATGCGACCTATGGCTTTCAATCGACTATATTGTGTGTTTGGCATCGATTTATACCGTATTAGGTATTACTGTAGACAGGTTATTCGAAATGACATGAGAACTGTACTAATGAATGTTAATGCAGATACTGTAGTGTAAAACATGCAGCTTTATATCGTAATTGGCGTACACCAGAAAGGGTTATGATGATTATTGCTGTAACATGGGCTGTACGTAAATCTAATTATGTTCTTTTCAAAATTTCTTTCTTCAGGTTCCTAGTGTACTTTTTTCCATATCCATATTTGGTTATGGAACGTTCACAGGTAACAAAAGGATATCTTGTTGAGTTGAAGCAAATGTAATTTCAGGAACAGGACGAATATTAGCCAAAGATGAATGTTATGTCCAGTTTATGACCAATGCTTATTTGAATATGGGCATGTACATCTCATACTATTGGAGTACTTTGTTCGTTATGTTATATCTATATTGGGGAATCTACAGAGCTGCAAAGCAGCTGGCATTGAAAAGTGATCAGGTCAGATATGTCTTAGTTTGAATACTACGAAGCTATTCTGTATGCAAGAACGCCAGCAGGAAAAAAGTTCTTCCGTAGCATTCTTCGGATTACTTTCGAGTCATTTGAAGAATGATTGATATTGGAGAATACTCCCGCTTCTTCTAAATCTTTTCTTCTCCCAAAATATCTTTCGAGTCTGTTTTTCTCTTCTCATTTAAATGAAATACTTTCTGTTTAAAAAAGTGAATCCATTAGTGAGAGCTTAGTTGAGGAGCCCTGGTCTATATAACTTAGAAAATGCCCAAAATGGCAGACGAGTTAAGTACATTATAAATAATGAGACTCGTTTAAGTTCAGGCTTTAACCCATCTAGGTCTCATCGTTCTCTTACGTTATTTTCCGCTTAAGGAAGGAAAACTTTTGGTTATCTTGTGAGAAAGGGGTCATCATGCCAACTATTTTTGAACAGAAAAATTGAAAAGCTTCATCACGAGAAGGGTTGATGTTCTATCTTGGTGATAAGATCGTCATTCATAGCTTGGGTGATGTGTGATGATCGGTTGAGCGTGAAGGCAAGATGTCTGTTATTTCGAGATTGAAAGTAACTGATCTGAAATGTGTTCCAAATATGCTTTTCAGAAAACCAAAAGATTAGCACTGTTAACGGAGATGCGTAGACCTGAGATATCTGTAAGGACAAGTGGTAGAAGCAGCTCAGATTCACCCGGAGACACATCTGATAGTAGCAAGTAAGAATTTGTATCACTCTTTGATCTCAAATGAGGAGCAATGATTGTTAGCATATGGCTTGAAGGACAGTGTGCTTTGGAAAAGCGTAGAGAAATGAGCTTTGCGCTTTCCAATGTATTTCCATGTTGAGCAAAGTAAGAATTGAAAGAGCACAGATCATAATTTTTAAGATTACAAGAACTGAATTGTTTGAAAAGCGGAATGCTATTCGACCTCTCTGATTTCTCAGTATTTCTTCTATGCAACCGCTTCTCAGCATCTTCCATTGAAAAATGAAAAGCGGTGCGCAAGACGTGTTTTTTAGCACGTGTATCTGCAAGATGTCATCTCTTGCACGCTTATAATTGTAAAAGGAGGAAGTCAAGTTATGTATGGAGTTGTTGTTGTTTGAAACGGTGGTTTCATGTTGGTATATTCTGTTTGAAACAAAATCTACGTCACTTTTTTCGACTGATGCAGCCCTTCCCTCCTCATACTGGCAACTAAGGTCTGATCTCAGGGGAATAGAACATGAAATAGATTTCTTTTCCATTCCTTCACCAGTAAAAAATACGCAGACAGCCAGCAGTCATGCCCTCGAGACACTAGTTGAGCGAAGGCTCCAGGGTTCATCTTGTTCTATCCATATTTGGATTCATATCCAAATCAAAGAAAATGGAGAGAGGGATTTGCAATTTATTCGAGAAAAAAAGCCGAGTGTATTAGAGAATCCAGTATCGAATTGTTGAAACACCAATCTCTCTATATATAGACATGAAGTGCCATCTGAGGTAATGAAAAGTCATTAGCTCGGACATCCTGTTGTAATAGCTTTTCCTAGACGTCTGTGATATCTTCATCCCAGTATGGTTTTTCATTGAGAGCGATGAACTGTTAATTGTTCTTTTACGTCATCTAAGATTTCTTCTGCTTCGACACTCGCCATGGTATTGATTATTTAAATTGGAATTCCTTTATGATGAAGTCAGTCGGAGATGCTTCATTGACGTTGTGAGCGTGCTCATCCCATTTCATTGCTTTTCTTCATCTCAGAAATTGATCAAGTGGAAAAAAGAGTCAGAAGTATCGTTCATATTATGAATTGTTCATGACTGATGATCATATAAGGAAATCAAGCATAAGACTTTCACGCTCTGATCGACAGCCTATTCCTTTGGCTGCTCAGAAATCAGGGAACAGTTCATATTTTCTAGACTGATATAGTTATAGTTAATTTTGCATTTAAAATCCTACATCTAAGGAAATAGATAAACTGCGTTTAATGTCTTTCCCCCATGCTTTCTCAAGCTCTCATAATTGGATGACGTCACTGGCTGAATATACGAGGGACAGCGGGAAAATGCAATCAAATATAAGCCATAAAGCACTACTACTTCTCTCTTCAAGTTTTCTACGTAAAAATAGGAAGCGCAAGCACATGCTATATTCTGAAAAGAAAGTCGACGGAGAAAACTTGAAGAGGGAGATGGGTAATTCAAAATAATTCAGCTCTAAACGTGAAAGAGATATGAATAAGTTCTCTTTGTTCCTTTGTCAGCTAATGACTTCGTTTGAGCAGACAAATGTATTCGTTTGAGAGAAGAACCAGAAGTAGCACATAAGGAACTTCAACTATGAAAGTTATCGATGAGAATTGAACAAAAACATTATAGACAGCTTGAAAAACATCTCAGGTTATTGTTTTCAGATGTTTCAAATCTTCGCCATCAGTTCCTCCTCCGTCATCCGTATCTACTTTGACAAGAACAACCATGACATTACATAATAATGCGTTTGGGAATGCGAATCGAAGTAGTAGTAATCCAGGAATTGCACAAACAGCCAGCATCTCGAACAATAATAATTCTCCTAATTCCAAACCGACAACTTATAGGTAACATGTTTCACATTCATAGTGTTGTGTTCCGACAATCGCGCTCTATTGTTAATTCAAAGTCAAAATCCGATTTTCAAAAGCCATTTGCATACGGCTAAAGCTCGTAATCGGCGTCTGTCTTCAAACACATCTTTCAGTAATCCAAATTTTGCCTTATCCGAAACTGTTGTGGTATATCGACAAGAACCTTCTTCGGTGATTGAACGCGAAAGCACTGCACCTTGTGTTAGTCCTGAAGATTCTAATGATGAAGAAGAAGTTACGGAAAGTGAACGCCCACGTACTGTCTTTCAGTGAGTTTTTGTGTGATTTTCAAATGGCTGTACGATTAGCTGTGTCGGATTGTTAGACCGCCTCTACCCTTTACGGCTGTAACTTCTTATTATAATGTAGAGAAATGCATATGCATGTAGTACCTCAATCGAACGTTAAGATTTTACCACGCGCACTCACTGTCTTCTAAATTTTTCTTCTCGGGATGCATCCATGGATAGCAGTCAATTTACAAACTCTTAGAACACTGAAAACTTAGAAATGTCTTAAAAACGTATTTCGTCTATCCTCACCTTATCGCAGCTCAAAAAGCTTTTGTAGTCATTTTCAGTTTGTTCTTTTCTTTCAGACCAGATATCTCGTTTCCATTCATCGATGCGGATAGTGTCTCTTCACTTGTGGGCAATGACGACCTTAGAAGGTTTGCTGACCTCTTGCTTTACAATTTTTCAGTTGCTCACATCCCCGTTGTGATTCTTTTGAGCTTGCTTCTGCTAAATCACCCCTTTGCTTATACTGCTATTTTGAACACGATTTGAATATTTTGAAACATTTCTGTTTCGTGCGCATGTTCTATAGTATACGGTTCGCATTCAGATTAAGATCAGTCAAGACACATGATCCCAGAGAGTATCTGAATCTGGACGATGTTGCTAAAGAAAACGTAAGACTTGGTAGTATTCATAATTGACTAAATTACAATATTGCAGTGCGCTGGTCCTAGCAACTGTAAACCTGCTGAAGAAGTGAAGGCAAGCTTTGAAATAAATAATAAAGAGTTTTCTTTTTGCAGGTTCCATTGATAGCGGTATCACGGGTCGAGAGCGAAAAATCCGCTATAACTAGAGTTCGTCAATTACTGTTAACATTGAGAAATCATAGTATGAGGAGGAGACGAAAAACGAACAAGAAGGTACGATTCCATTACGGTGGACGGTTTACTAAGTTATCTAAACTGAAACAAGCAAAGCTGTCATTTTTATTTCTCTGTTTCATTAACATACAAAACAATTTACAGAGCGTTTTGAACTATTTAAACCCGTTTAGGAAAAAGGTAAACTTCTGGGTGCAAATTCTGCCTTTTCTTTTTGATTTTTTGATCTTTAAGCTTCTGCCATGTTCTTGTTTTGCTCTAACAAGTTTAGCTTTTTATGATTTCTTTTGTGTGTGATGGTGTGTTTGGCTCTTTTCCACAATAGTCAAAACATTTACAAGAGCAAGATATTTTCTTTCCAAGTTTGCTAATGCTCGGTGTAATGGTTGCTATTCTCATAAGTTTCTGTTAACTTTTAGTTACTTCTGATTTCTCCATTCTTTGTGCTGCCTAAAACTTGAGTGTATTCTGTTCGCAGGTTTTGAAACGATTTGTTCGAAATGTGTAATCAGCTTTTAACACCCTGGGTTTGGTTTTCCTCTTGCACCTTGATTGCGAGAACATATCAATGAAGAATACGTTACGTTCGAAAAACTGAACTGATTATACTAACACTAATAGCAATAACATGAGAATGGGAACGTTTTTCCATAGCTATCTTTAGGTCTGCTAAGATTCTTTCTGATGAGACTAAGTAGTTTAGTAGCGTACAGTCCTTTGCACTCCTATCATATCATTCTATCTCTACTTTTAAAAGTAAAAAGCTTGTTTATTCGAGTTTGTGGTTGAGGTTTTTATTTCTTTTCACATATATTTTCGCTTTAATTCTTAACGGGTAACATTCAGGAACCTTACAAGTCACGGTCAGAAAATCGGGCGAGAAAAGCATTACGAACTATAACGTTTATTCTCGGAAGCTTCATTGTGTTATGGACGCCTTTTTATGTTCTAGCTACAGTTTATGGATTCTGTGATTCATGCAAGGTTTGTGTTTCCAGATTGTTTTTTTTTTGAACTCTGATTTGCAAATCGTTATCGCCCGCCGCACAGGCCGGTTGCCTTCCGCTGAAATCTGTGAAACTAATTCAAAGTTCACATATGAATTGAGTTTTGACATGCAATTTAAATAAGAATTTACACAAAAACTTAGTGGCACAAATGCAAATCAGATTTTCAAAAGGAAGTGGAATTTGAAATATGGTAGAGGTGTATATATGCAATTTCTTTGCAGGAATCTAAAGTCTTCAACCTAATGTATTCTATTAGCTATTACTTGTGCTACATGAATTCACCCATTAATCCATTCTGTTATGCTATGGCCAATCAGCAGTTTAAAAAGACATTAACGCGCATATTCAAAGGAGATTTCCATCGAGTATAACCTGTGATAAATCCTTGTCAATCCTCACTTACTGATCTCATATACGCAGAGTTCCTTATTGTATGATTAACAATTTTTTTTGTATAAGCTATTTAGTTTCTAGGGATTGGAGGTACATTTCTCATGCTAGCCCGGCGTTTTTCTGTGATAATTGAGTTTTCTTCTCTGCAAACTGTCTTTGCCTTATATAATTTTTTTAATTAATTATATATATATCTAATAATGTTGATAGAAACCCGATTTTATATTTGCTAGTCATAATCCTTACTTGCAATTAGAATTTTAGGATTAGTCTTATGAACAGCATTGTTTCAAAACTCGGTCTTTAATTATGAAACTGCCAATTTTAATTGCTCAGGATGATTTTGAAATTTTGGAGCTCGCAAATATTTTTTTTTTATATTCGCATATAAACGTTGCCTTATCTTCTTCTACTATGATATCATTCTTAATAATTAGTTTATTTGGGAAGTGTTTCCGTGGATAGACTTATACAGTCTCCTTTTACATCGTTTGTATAATTTGAGCAGCCAACTGTTTATATTGAACAATTTGTATGTAAAAATAATATGGCAGGGAGATCATATCGAGTGCTCAATCAAGTATGATTTGGTACTTTGTATTTTGTATTTCTGTAGTGCTCTCTTTGAATCCATGCAAAATAGATTCAACTGCTTGTGTTCCTATTGAAGATTTTGAGGTAACTAGATCGTTTCTTGCATTCGTTGATATGTTCAGACAAACTGTACCTGTATACTCATATCAGGCAAACCCATCAATGCATCTGAAGACGTCTTTCTATACTTCATGGGCTATGAGTTTCCCTTGAATTTGTTCTCACAAGTTTGTTATTACTACCATCAACAACAAAGTCAAGGTTTTTGTGAGTGTTGAGCACTAATCGAGTTATAAAACTTGGTGATTGGATGTGAGAAGCCTTAGGATTGTGTTTACTAGTGTTTGTGAGGTAAAGTTTCTCAACTCTCCCCTCCACCTCCTCCTCCTCCTCCACAATGTGCATACACACAACACACGCTACTAGAGAGAGAGGGAATTGCATTAACGAAATTAAGAAATAGTGGAAGCTTATCTGTTGGAACGAGTTGAAAACTTTTCAAACAGCTATGGCAAACGAAGCAAAATCCTTTTATTGCATGATGGCAAAAATTGTGTGTTGAAATGATGATGAGTCATTGCAGTTGTGTGCTTATGAATATACAAGGAAATTTACATCATTCATTGTAAATATAATGTAGATGATGACCAATTTTGATGTCTTGACAAATATGGTCATAAAATGTGTTATTTTCATGGAATGCCTCAAAATACTTTGCCAAGTATTTTATGGTCATTTCTCAGTTATCTAGGGTTTCTCGTTTCGTCACTAAGAATCATATAATTTGAGCATACAATACGACATCATTGGCTGTTGACGAAGAATCCCTTCAACGTCATCTTTTCAATATAATGCCAAAGCAAAATATGTGCCTTGTTAGGAAGCGGCTCTTTCTTCATCTATTCCGCTCGTTTTCTCTTGGCACATTGACTGACTTTTCGAAAATTAAGAGTTTTGAAGAAGGAAATAGAAGTGAAGAATGCCTGCGAAACAGAGAGCAGAAGCTGAATGCCTTCTGAAACGTTTGATATAGTATCTCTGTCAATCGTTCACGCATTTGTTGTTTGCGAAAAGAAGAAAAAAAAAGGAAATTAATTCATATCGGCGCAGATCTCTTATGTCTCAATGGAGCTGTAACAAGAGAAGATGCAGAATCTTCATTCTCTTTGAACTTATGATTCCTCGCGTTTGGACTTGTTCGAATGATTGAGTGAAAGACTTCATTCTATGTCATAGTTCTGTTTCCTTCTAATAATTGATAGTTCGCTAAAGCCGTTTGAAAGGAAATTAAAAGCTTTGATTTTTTGTCTCAGAGGAAATTAGTTTAGAAAACAGAGATGTAGATCGCGCTTGGGCGCAAGTTGGGCAGCAACTTTTCAAACACTTTTGGTATTTCCATGGCTATGCTTGCTTATCTTATCAGCATACCTGAATATAATTTAAACATTAAGGTTCATATTGAAAGCGACTAGCGTTGGCATTATAGTTATACGACTTGCTTTATCCTATAAAGTGTTTTGTCAGATGCGAAAAAACATGATTTTATCTTCACAAAGTGGATATGAAAAGAAGAATTCGTATTAGATAATGCTACTAGTTGTTGTCAGTCAACCAAACAAAGAGAAAAAAAAAGAATGGAAAATCTAAAAAGTGATGTCATGAAATAGTATTGTGATCCTTTAGAATATATTGATGCCGTGTCTGAGATTGGTTTATCACATTCTCGTCGTGAAATCTACTTTTCAATTGCGAATAGATGAAGATAAAACGTAGATAAGTATGAATGCAGAGAGAGAGAGTGGAAAAGAAAGAAAAAGAAGTAGTTTTCCAAATAATATTCAGTTACGAACCTCATTTACGAACATTACATGCACATGACAGGTCCCGATCTCCAAATTGTTTCGTGACAAATTGAACAGTCGCTTACCGAAAAAGACGGACTATGAATCATCATTGGATTTACCGCAAACAATATTCAGGTATTGATATTAAAATAATTGATAAATGAGAAGAAAAAAAGTGAGAGAAGAGAGGAACAGAGAGAGAGAGAGGATGGATCACGAGATGAAAAAGGAATCAACCGCTTCTTGTCGTCAGGCAAATGTAAATGAAAACACTGAAATGACGTAACTAGCGGTTCACGTGAATGACGTCATTCGTGCCGATCGAATAAAATACAAACGAAAAACAGCTTCTTATACTAAACTGTTGTTCGGCAATCATACTTCTTGCTCTCAGAAATCTTCAAACTGACGAAAATATGGCATTGTTTATCGTCAATTCCACCCGATCTACAGAAATAATAGCGAGGCTAATCAACGAGTCGGTAAACAGCTGATATAAGAAATCAAATCTAGTTTGGTTTTTGAAAGTTTATCCAAACTGATGATCTGCGGAACAACTCGGATAAATGGTGTTCGGAAGGCGAATGCAGTGCTTTCGTCCATTCAACCATAACGCTAAATCGAACTATCGGTATATCAACAAATAATTGTTGAATGCATCAATAACTTCAGGCATTTATTCGCATGCGGCAGATATACTCGAGGTATTAGAATATAGAGGTCGATCCATGTTCGCAGTATCTTCAGTTAAATCTCAATTTGACATACCAAAAGTTATCTCTCGGTCAATACCATCATCAATGTGAATATTTACAGGTTCATAATCTGCATTGCGAACAGAAATGCCGCCGATTCTACTTCAACGAGAATATTTTATGTAGGCAAAAATGTGTACAAGGGTAAGCGACACATCAAATAACCGAACCTGTATATGTACTAAATAGATTACGCTTTGATCAAGTGGCCATAACAGGAGATATAAAACGTAAATTTGAGAATTTTGTGAAGGCATCAGCTGTGAAAAATTTGCGTGAGAAATATTACAAGTATTTTCGAAGACAATATCAATGAATATTCACTTTCTTTATTGTTGCACACAAGGAGTTATCAGAACGAGAGCATGGTATATCTCTGGAGCTAGGGTAAGTTAAAAAGTAATAGCATCATACTACGTCATAAGATGAAATAGGCTCTGTCAAAGAGAACAAGTTAGAAACACATTGAGATTGATCGAATTGCAGCAGCCAGAAACAATCATACCAAAAAAAAAGAATTAATTTTCAAAACATGTATTTGTTAAATAACAACCACATAACCTTCGTAATACTTGTTTACTATGTACACAAACTACTTTTTACCGCCTTTTTTTTGAGCAGCAACAGGTGCTCCACCCCGAGGAGGTGTTATGGGTCGGTTAGCCCCTCCTGATCCGTAAGCGAACTTTTTCTTATCAGCTGGCTTAAGAATCTACAACAGATATAATGATCAAAAAGCAAAAAAGCGAAAGAGTAACCTGGAAAGAGCACATTAAAGTTTCATCGACTGTCATCATGGAGCCAGCGTTGTCAAACTCTCCACAATAATTTGGGGCAGAAAAGAGCGTGACAAGTTGTCTTTTGGCAAAGAACTCATATCCGTCTTCAACAACCTACAAAGATAAATGATAATTCAGATATTCAAGAAAATTCTATACTTGATGTGCACGGCAAATAAGATCGAGATCATGTTTATGAAGGAACTTAGCAACAACTTCAGGTCCAAATGTAAAGGAAACACCTCGGTCATTTTCGCCCCAGCCAGTTACGTCCTGAAGGTAAATAATGAAGTTCTCAAATATCAAAGCTGCCAAACCTTATCTGGATCTGACCAGAGAAGATCGCATAAAAGTCCTTGGTCCGGAACATCAGTTGGTCTCATAATCCGACGAATCTAAAATTATAATTTGAATTTCGAGAACTGCACTCCGCCAACGCACCTGCTCCATGGATTGCAAATCAGGAGAAAGACCTCCGTGGCAACAGAAAATTTTTTCATCAATAATAGCAGCAACGGGAAGACAATTAAAACAATCAGTGAAAGTTTTCCACAACTTAATGTTGTAACGACGTTTACCTAAAGAGAATCATTAGAAAAACTATAAAGGCGCAAAACGTACATTCATCATAAAAACCATAAATACGATTAATGGATGCGCATTCATGGTTACCACGAAGCAAAAAGAAGTTTTCAGGATATTTTATTTTATAAGCCAACAATAAACAGATTGTTTCAAGAGACTGTTTTCCTAAAATAGACTCTGAAGAAACGGAACGAAAAGCTGCGAATACCTCTGTCGACATAATCTCCAAGGAATAAGTAGTTAGACTCGGGAGGGAAACCTCCATATTCAAACAGTCGCAGCAGATCATAGTACTGTCCGTGTACATCACCTTGCAAAAAGCGTTTAGAACGGTTTAAACTGATCAATAGTTACCACAAATTTTTAATGGTGCTTCGAGCTCTAATAGTATAGGTTGGCTCAGAAAAATTTCGCGAGATTTCATGCAGAGACCTTTGATCTCGTTTTCTGTGAGTTGAACATTCTTGCCTGGTTTGGACCCTCGCACTAAAAAAATACAGCCATTTGTAAATATTTAAGGATCCTATTACCTTCCAATAACCTCGCAATAATATTGTCTAGGTTAAGCTTCTCTGAATCAGCCATAACAATTTAGCGTTGATGTTAACACGCTTCTAATGGTTACCGCAAGTCTAAAAAATAGGCCTAAAGAAATGTTTCGGATTTATCAAAAAAATCTTGCTGAATCCTAGTTGAACAGCTTCCCAAAAATTGTATGAATGAAATAAAAATTTAAAAATATTCAAACATTTTAGTTAAACTATAGGAAGTCGAGGAAAAGCCTCATGTGGGCTGCAGGATGCTAGCGCACCGACCGCTCGCGCCTAAAATCTTTTCTCTCCCGGTCCCGCAACGATTCTCTCAATTTCCCCGATACGGTCTCCTCGTTAAATCAGCTGATCCAAAAGAGTGAAGAATGTTCAATAATTATATTTCTTTTAAAATAATATTTCCTAATTTTATGAAAAGTATATGTAATGAAATTTGATTAAAGGACTGTCCTCGTTTTTTTACTCATTTCCTCTAAGCTTACATAATCAATAATGGTTGTCTCATGACTGTGTGCTATTGATTCTTCTTTTTACGCTTTTCGTCATACTTTCATTCTACTCTCTTGTTCTCTTAGAAATAAGTTCAGCTTTTAGTTTTTACATTTGATGTCGGATGTGGCCATGCCGCCAAACGAGTCAATAGGTGCCAGCAAAAATAAAAAGAAGAAGGAGAAAAATCAGGTACTATCTGTCTAGTTGACAGACGCACTTTAAATGTAACATTACTTTAGGTTCAGCCTCAACCTCAGAAACTCCCTTCTACAGATTTACTAACAGATGATATAGAGAATAGTCCTGCCCCAGTAACTGAAGTTGTCTTAGAACCAGAAGGTATTGTTGTTCAATTGTACGAATTCCAATAAAAGACTTTCTTACAGGGTGGTCAAAAGAATGCGAGAAGAACATAAGCTCCGAGAATGATATAAACTCGAATACAAACATAACAGAAGTGATCACAAGTAAGATTTGTAATATGTACGTTATAGAATCTTTGCTTTGCAGCTCAGTCTCTTCCCATTCTCCCACCAATACGCTCACCCTGCGGTAGGACTAACTCCGTAAATGTAGAAACAATTACGAAGCCTATGACTCCACAAGTATGCTCACCTGGAAATAAAGCACGAGAAAGAACTCCTAATATACACAGAGGCCAAATCGTAAAGCCAAGACATGTTCCGTAAGCTATCTTTACTTTTAATGGATCTGTTTGCTTGTTTCTAGAGAATTATCTCTGGCCAATTCGATGGCTGAACTAGTTCAAGAATCGATACCTTCCCAGCAATCTACTGCTGCTTTGCCAGAAAAAATAGAATGGGTGCAATTCTTCACCATAGAAAAAGGTATTTCATAATTATTTCTTCATCATTATTTGTTTTTCTCAATCAGCTGGAAAGTTGGGTAAGAAAATGGATGTTTTACTACTAGGATTAGCACGTGGTTTCCAACTGTGGTGTATGACGGTAAGAAACACATGCCTGTATCGGTCACATGCTCTGTTTCTAAATTTAGGACAGCGGGGAGTATGAAGAGGTCATGTCAGAACGACAAGGCCCTATTCGAGCATTCGTTCCTATACCAAACAACATCAAAAGTTTCGCGAGCGAGAAAGACTTGTAAGATTGTTCGATATGACGCAGTTGAACTTCCTCATATTTTCAGATTCTCGACTCTGAGACCTCAAGTAGCTCTAGTTGACGCTTTCAGTCCTGCCCAAGATAAAGAGTATTGTACAGTTGCTATTATTTCACTAGTCAATAAGCATGTAAGTTGGCAGTTTGTGTTTTTAAAATTGAAAATGATTTGTCGCGACAGTTGCTTTTTGAGTTACAGCACAAATAAATAATTGTTTTCTAATTGCAGGTACATCGACTCCCTTCAGCCGCAACACCGTATGAGGAGCAAGTATGCGGACTTCAATGTTCTGAAAGGTAATTATCGTTTCTTTGAAATTTCTAAAAAGTTTATTTTCTAGTTTTCTTGTGGTGTCTTTCTCTTCAAGTGTTGTTGTTTACGAAACACTTTCCTATGGCCAAGTTCATGAGATCAATATTTTCAATAATTTAGAAAGGAATATTCCTCCAGTTGCCATTTATTCCCATCTCTTAGCTTTCGCTGTAGATAAGGTTTGTTTGTTCACGTTGTCTCCAATTATTTGCATTTTTAGATTGATAACGAAATCCAAAGCTGTGGTGGATTAGATTTAGATGGTGTTGAGACTCCCGATGACTATACAAGTCAAGTGTTGGGAGGAGCAAAGGTAAATCTTACCTGGAGCTTTTTTCATACGTAGTATCTTCTTAAGGCATTCAAAAGGACATTAGATTCCTTCGTAGAAACGGTAAAAGGATCTGGTGTTTCAAAGACCAGAACTACACCAAAAGGAATCATTAAGATTGTAGACTTGACTAAGGATGAAGACAATGTAACTACTGCAAGGCTTTTGATTTATTGATATATTACTTCCAGAGTTGGGTTTATGCTCATTTTGTAGCCCATATGGAGACAATATCTTATTGCTCATGGTCACCAGATGGAAGACTTCTTTTTACTGCCGATGTGCATGGATCTTGTTTCAACATGTTCAATATTCTCTCTCATCCTATAAGCCCTTGTTTGGGAACAGTTCATCATATGTACAGACTATACCGAGGAAACACATCAGCTAAAGTAGGAATATCAATATGTTATTGAATCGTTCATTGTTTGGTTTTAGGTTGCCAGCACTGCTTTCTCATTTGATGGCCGCTGGCTTGCTGTAGCCACTAATCATGGTACTACCCATGTTTTCGCTGTATGTCCATTTGGCGGAAAACCCTCTCTTAGAACACATGGAAGTCATTTCACTAACAGGTAGCTTTTTTTGTGTGGTCCACTTATCACTGAACTATTTTAAGAGAATCCCGCTTCTTGCGTTCAGCTGGACTGACTGATTCTTCTGATTCTTACAATAATGGGCGATCTAGAAGAAATAGCGGAAGTCTTGGCTTATCTCGGTAATCCAATTTTCACTTTTCGATGCTTATGAATTTTTTTCAGCGAACATCCGTTTAGTAATAAGTTATTGGCAAAATGCTCTCAAAATCCACGTATTGGACCATTAGAACCTCCAGTTTTACTGAAGGCTGTTGCGAAAATACCTGTAAGTTTCCATATTTGTCGACAGTACGATATTTTCTTTCTTCAGGACCCTAGAATCTCTACTGATAATCTGATTGCTTGGGCAAACGATCTGGCTCCTCTTGGAATTTCTAGTGCCACCAAGAAAGTCACTGAACTACCTCGAATGTCTCTCGTTATTAACTCAAGAGATAAAGATGGGCGATCGGAGCATTGTCTTTCTGTTTGCCGTGCTGAAACTGGTGTTGTTTTCCAATACAAGTTGATACCTTGCCGTTCAACTGAACAGCCTGAAAGAGATCCAGTGCTTGACATTGAACCTGCGTATATGTGGGTACTCCATAGGTTAGATTAAAACGTCACATGATCACCATTAAAGAGCATCTCGTTCTAGGACTAAAAATGATTCTGCCATACCTCCTCCGTTAGAAGCTGGCAACTCTTTAAGATCATTTTCGTGTGCACCTGAGTCTAGACAACGTCATGATTCTGCTCAGTCATGGATTCCGCAGGCGGAAATTAAGACTTACTCTGGACCAACACGCCGTGTCTGGCAGGGGCCACAATTTTCTTTCTTTGAATACAAAGACGATAACAGTCCGGAACTAGTAATACATTTGAATGCCAGCAAAGTACAAAGAAAAAATCTTTCAGTTACCACCTTCCGACTCTAAACAATCTCTCTCTTCGATGAAATCGATTCCTGTTGTAATAGGAGATAGGACTGAACGGCATGATGACTGTAGAGGTACTTTGTGTTTTATAGCTTGATTACATCGAAAAGTTCAGCTGGAAATTCGATTAGAATCGAATGTAGTTCATCATATGACAGCGAGCCTGTTCTCACCACCATGAGCTCTGGCGATCACATTAAGCTCAAAATAAGCGAAGCAATGCGGGAAGACCGAGGCAGCGATCGTGTAAGTCAAAGAAATTAGTATAAGTGTATACTGTCGAGTTCTTCAGAGTGATGACGGAGGGAAGCAGGCCTTCGATGATCCGTTCGATTTAGAAGGGTAGTGTCTAGTCTCAGGACAAATGTACATAATTGTAATTCTTTCACTGAACTGCCTTGAATTTTGCATTAAAACGAGGATTTACTAATTTGGCTATACTGCGCTAGGTATTATGCATATATTCTTTTAATATTAACCGAGTGTATTATTGTATGATAAAGGGTAGTGGCACCTTACCACGAGTTATTGCCAGTTTTACTTTTTTTTCAACTAGTTTTCCGGTTCTTGTCTAGTGATGATTTTATGTTTAACCATTTTATCAGTTGTCTGCAGGCAGTCTTAGTGATATTGTCACCTATTCACCTTAAAAACCAAAAAAATCGTGTAACGGCGTAGAGCGCCAAATAAATACATTGTATATCCTCTAATCTATTTCTTTTCTTTGACTTGTAAGTAGTTACAACACTACAATACTATTAAGCTTAAGGACAAATGCTCGTTATGTTTATACTAATCGCTAGGGCAGAGGATGTGATGAGCTTATTGAATTCTGTTAAGCAAAGCTTGAGCCATAGTAGTTCCAAGTTTAGCTGGAGAATCGGTGACGTGGACTCCGGCTGACTTCAAAGCCTCAATCTTGTCATCAGCAGTACCTAGAAATAGCAATAGAAATAAGGAGTTTTGATAAGAAACATACCTTTTCCTCCTGAAATAATGGCTCCAGCATGTCCCATTCTTCTTCCTGGTGGGGCTGTTACTCCGGCGATGAAGGAAACAACGGGCTTTCCGCTTAATAAAACATTCATAAACATTGTTTGAAAGAACAGCTTACGTGTTGGATCTCTTGATCAATTCAGCGGCTTGCTCTTCAGCATTACCTCCGATTTCACCAATAAGGATAATACCTCAAAGTAATCACATAGTTGAATTTACGAGATAAAAAATAAAACCTTTGGTTTCTGGGTCAGCGAAGAAAACTTCGAGACAATCGATGAAGTCAGTTCCATTGAATGGATCTCCTCCGATACCAATACATCTTTAACGACACAAATTAAATTAAAGTCCTTAAGGCAGTAAAAACCTGGTTTGTCCAAGTCCTACAGCGGTAGTTTGATGTACAGCTTCATAAGTGAGAGTTCCGGAACGAGAAACAACTCCTTAAAGAAGAAAATGCAAAAGATGAAATTGTTAAAAATAACATACCTACGATTCCCTTCTTGTGGATATGTCCGGGCATAATTCCGATTTTGCATTCTTCTGAAGCAATGATTCCTGGACAGTTAGGACCAAGAAGGCGAGATTTGCCTGAAATTTACTTTCAATCAATATTTCAAAAAAAAAAAACTCACTTTGCTTGAGGAGTTTGCTCTTAACGCGAACCATGTCTTGTTGAGGAACTCCCTCAGTGATAGCAACAATGAGTCCGATCTGAAAGATGATAGTCTTTACAGAAGTCATATTAAGGAAAAAAAACCTCAGCATCAATGGCTTCTTCAATAGCCTTGGCGGCTCCAGAAGCAGGTACATAGATTACAGTAGCATCAGCGCCAGTTCTGTCTTTAGCTTCAGCAACGGAGCCAAATACTGGGAGCCCAAGATGAGTTTGTCCCGCCTAACATTGAAACTAAGAATGTTTTTTATTATTAATCCTTACCTTGTTAGGTGAAACTCCTCCTACGAGGTTTGTATTGTATTCAATCATCTGCTTTCCATGGAAGGTACCTTGCTTTCCAGTGAATCCCTATTAATACTATTATAAAGCTGGAGATACTTTTTTAATCTACCTGGATGATAACCTTAGTGTGCTTACCAATAAGCAAGTTGTTTCTAGTGTCGCTATAAACAGTACGAGCCAAAGGCCGAGCAAACTTTTGCAAAGAAGAGGCACAGAATGACATCCTTAATGAAGCGTTATTTATTTGGAGGGTTCTTGCGACGTTTCGTGGGATTTATATTGAAAAATTGAATATTCTATGTCATATCCTTTTACTTCAAAATTAAAAAAAATGTTAGCATCAGGCTTAACTTTACTATATACATATAATATTACAACAACCAATATAATCTTTGTACATGCAAGAGCTCAAGTATTTTTTAAAGGGCGGAAATGATGGATAACCCGTTACAAGACCATTTTGAAAAGCAATCGACTGAGTCGAGCTTCTAAAATTAAGAGTACGGAATGCTCTAGTGATAATGAAGGAAAACTGCTCGACCTAATGGAATTGAAGCATCGTATGATTCTATTCCTCGTACCATTGTCGTATACATATCAAAAACACAGTCATTCCATATTTTGTTACACCTGTTCGATTGGATTTTTCGATAGGATTTTTTACTACTTTTTCGCGTCCCGACCGACTTTCAGAGAAGTCGGAGAATTCCTAGACATCACATCATTGGAAAATGTAGAGAATAGACGAAGTTCTCTGAACCGAACTTAGTACAGGAAGAGCAGTTTCACATTCAAAAAACGGGTTTGTGCTTTTGAATGCTAGCTGATTGTTCCATGGGCATATCATATTTAATGTATCTTCAGTATAAAGTATATAACAATCAACGAAAACAATATCCTATCTATTCTTATCAACAAATTATTTGAGTTGGGAGATTTTAGAAGATGTATAAACGTTCCGTTCAAAAACATCTTTGAAGCCGTAATACTTAGCATCCAATTGTTGAGAAATTTCTTTCGCTGACCACTGAAAAAGGTGTTGTCTCCTGATGAGGAGAAAAATATCAAACCTGCTTGGTTTCATCAAATAGTCTCAATTGATCTTCTGGTACTGGTTCGACCCCCTGGGCAACATTACAAACTCCGTCGGGATTGAGCTGAAACCCGATTTGTCTTAAAGCTGTTCAGCTCAAGTTAGATGATACCCTAATTCCATGAAGATCGTTAATTGTTGGTTCTCCATTTGGGAATCGAATAGGTTTCAATTCTATTAAGTGCTTAATATGCCAAAGTTCTTGATTAACCGCCTCTGTGTTCATGAAGACTTCCGGTTTTCCTATCTGTATATAAATGGTTAACAATTTGAACAAAGAATCGAAATGAATACCTCCCAATCTTTACCGAAAAGTTTTTCTATTCTTTCTTTCGTCCATTTTGGTTGTGTCGCTAAATCACGATATACCCAAGCCATCCAAAGTTTGGATGGAGGATCCATCTGATTGATAAGATTTATAGAAAGCATTGCTTTAAACGATACCGAAGTATTCTGTTCTTCACATCTGAAATCGTCTAAAGATCCTCCTCCAGATTCGAAATCATATTCCTTCACTGCATCGTTACGACGCGGAAGATAACGATACCACTTTCCTCCAGTTCTGAAGACCCAGCGATCTAAGAGAAATTGAAATATGTAGCAGTATGAAACAAAGCATGCTTACTTCTGATAACCTTTGCCATTTATCTATCTCGAGTAGGATATCTGAAGTGAATGATAATAATGAAAGTTAGGTTGAGCTATTGAGATAACTACTGCGTTGAACATGTTACTCGGCAGAGAAACGTATAAGAGAGAAAGAAAATAAATAATTTAATCGAGGATATCATCAATCTATTCTTTTATGACTAGTGGCGACTCTATTTCTCCTAGTGTTTCCCAATTGATACTTTGGAAAAACGTATGATCTCTTAGAGCTGATGGACCTTCATTTTCAGAAGCTCCTAATCGTTGTTGAGGCTGGAAGCAAATCCATACTATTCGAATGATGATAAACAACTCACATCTTCAATTAAGATTTTATTAACCATGTCTTTGGCATCTTCTGGGAAATCATCGGGGAATGTGTGATCGATTCTTTGTATTCGTTTGTATATGAGATACTCCGTTTCTTCATGAAAACAGTGATTACCTAAAAAGGAATCTTTGGAATAACAACGAAGCATCAAATACCTGTTAGAAGCTGATAAGCTACAACTGCGAAAGACCAAATATCTAAAGAGGGGCCAATAGCTTCACCTTTAAGCATCTAAAAGTAGCTACTATATATTCGAGACACTCAAGTAACAAACCTCTGGTGCCATATATTGAGCAGTTCCTACAAAGGATGTTGTTCGCCTCTTTCGTAATCTGGGAGGTTCTACTGTTTTATCCTTGAATCATTTTTTGTTTAAACAAAAACACTTGAAAACTAACTTCGAGATCTTTGACGCAACCGAAGTCGGATATTAAAACATATTTTTTGTCAGTTATTAGAATATTCTCGGGTTTTAAATCCCTGTGTAAGATAGAGAACGAGTGAAGATATTCTGAATGAGGAAATGAATGAAACGAAACGAAGTAAATGATTGCACGTACGAACTCCACTTAAAATCTGAGCTAGTAGAAACTTCGCAACATCATAGGAGAATTTCTGTCCTTCCTCTTTCAACATGATTTGTAACAAGTCTCCATCTGAAGCTTCATATTACCAATTGGTCCATTTATTCTTCTTACGTTGTGCGTAGGAGAATACAAAGTATAAATGTTCAGAATCTTGTAACGTTTGATATAACGTAATTATGAAAGGGTTTGCTGGCTTGTTGCACGCAAGGCGAGCCAACGTTCTTTTCTCTCGATGAACTTGAGTTACGAAATCTTCTTTAATTAATTGTCTCTTGAAACACATCTTCATTGCAACAGTTCTGTTGTTTCCAAATAACTCCTTGGCTGAATAAACTACGCTGAACGAGCCTTCCCCGATTTCTTTAACGATCTGAAAGCAGGGTTATTCCGGTCTTAAGCTCACAAAAGTTACTTTATAGTCTGCCAATGTTTTCGGTCCATTTCCTACAGATCGTGAGCTTTCAGGTGGTCTGAGATTAGCAGGAATCAAATGGTTTTCTTCATCCATCGAAGAGAAACACCAGCAAGAGCTTTAAAAACCAACCTTTATTCATACAAGCTGTTTAACAGCTTCTTGTAAACAGCATACACGAGTACTAGTTCTTTCATGGATGTATAAGAATACATTTAGTGGAAGTTTATGTCCTTTGGTATCTTAATATGTACTATTCTGATCAACTATATTTTTGTGAATTTATCTCGTTGAGTAACTACTTTGAGTGTATATCCGTTCGTGTAGCAGAATATTACTGCGAAGAAAACTCCCATAGCTCACCAAATGAGTACACAAGGTTCACATGATTAGCTGTTCAGATTTTCTCACTTCAAACAACTGGACTTCGTGGCAGTAGGTTTCGTTAGGACTTCTAGATTATATTCGTACGGAAGCGTCTAGCGAGCACCACCAGTCTTTCATCACATAGAGCGTAAATGAAAACTTCTCAGTTTTCATCCGAGAGACCGTAGTTGTCGATTGTATTTTCATTTTTTCTTCTTTTGGGAATTAATGCCCGGCTGTTTTTTATACTCACTTACACATAGCGGAGCGTGAGCTGCATCATTGGCGTAATGATGTTTAAAAGATTCTTTGGGATTTACTCAAAAACGGTTAGTCAACGTAGAGTGCTCCAGATACATTCGAATTTGAAGATTCATTGAACATTATAACTCAAAAAATTGAAAAATAAATAGCACAGTAACATTCAAAACGAGCATTAGGAAAAGAAATACAACGGAAAGAAATGGAATACGAAACATCCGGCACATGACTAAGGTAGTACGGAGACCCATACAGAGCAATATGAATGATGAAATATCCAATTATTTTATGAAATCAAATAACCTATTAAAGCCGGTCATAAGCAAGCTAGTCTTGCCTACGAGCCTTTCTTTTACTCACAGCAGGCGATACCTTCTCAACACGTTTTTCGCCATCACTTTCACTATCATCAGCTTCAATAAGTTCCATAGCCTTTGGTACATGCTCAGCCTTAGGGGAAGATTTGGCGGCTGTTTTAGCTTCAACTTTCTATAAAGGAACTTGATTAAAAAATCATCATGTTAAAGCGAACCTCTTCTTCCACAACTTCTTCGACATCGTCAGACTCATCGGCCTTTTCTTCTTCCTCCTCATCAGCTCTAACCTCATTTCCTTCTTCATCCACCAGATTGGGAATCTAGAAACACGAATAGTATAGAATATTTCTTCTCAATATTCAAAGTTCCAATCACAAAATATATTTGATTGTTGTCCGAACAAGTTAAAAATTTTAAAACTGGCCAACCTTGTCGTCATCCTCCATGAAGACATCATGCTTTTTGTTGTAAGAATAGCTATCATGAGGGGTAGATTTTCTTCCGAAACAGAACACTCCAACGAATACTGTTGGAATCAAAACACCGAATACATAAACAGCCCATAACCATGGTTTCTCCTTTAATGAAGTGAATATATCAGACTGGAAACCTTGTAAAGTGTGATACCTCAGCGGCGTCGATGAAATATTGGAAGAATCCTCCTCCTTCTCCCATAGAAGCAGCGAGACGTGCATCTTCACTCTTTCTTAAGTAATACGTTTGCTTAGCAACATCGTGAGCGGTGTCTTCGGAATCACAAATCAAGATATTATCTGAAACTTATGAAGTGAGAAGAGAGAAAAAACATTTAAAAACCGAAAATAATGTTTTGGCTCATGGTCCATAACTCAATACCGACAGCGGTTATTGTGGACAGTCCTCCAAAAGCTGTTGGTTCAAAATGATTAGGATTTGGGATTTGACGTGGCTTCCAAACTCCCTTATAAGCTGGATTAGCTTTTTTGGGACAAACCCATTTACCCTGAACAACTACTGATGTAACAAATGAAAAATGAACTGAAACACCTTGTATTTGGGATTAGGAACGGATGGTCTTTTCCATGGACCACATCCTGATACTCCCTTGCAAGCAGGATTATCTACTGAAGGTGGCTCCCATTCGCCATCCATATCTGCATCCCAATCATCAGGTTTGCGAGCTTCTGAGTCAGGAATAAGATCAGGCTGGAAAAAAAAGAATCAATTCCTTCTATATGAAGTGCTGACCTCCTCTTCGAGCCAATCATCAGGCTTGACAGCGGTTTCATCAACAATTTGCATTGGCTGGCTCTCATCCCAATCATCTGGCTTAGTAGCTTCTACATCATCAATTTCGGCTCTGAAAATCAAACTGAATACAACTTTTCAACAATGCACTTGCCTATCATCCCATTCTTGTGGCTTCTTGTCAGTGGGGTCATCAATAATAACTGGAGGAACAAGAGAAGGAGTGAGATCCTAAAGGCAAGGTGAAAACTTTGACTTATGAATACAAGAACCTTGAGCATGTTGCCATAAATAACATTCTTCTCATCAATGTTTACAGAGAAATCGCCATTAGGATTGATCACAGCAGTGTACAAATGAGGCTTGTGGTCATCCCAGTAAGTAGTGCCGAGATTGGAGGGTTGTTTAACATGATGTTCCTTAAAATATTATTTTACAAAGCTCATAAATATGAAAAATTACATGAATAGTGTTATTCTTAGGGTTTTTATATCTGAAAATCAGATGAATTTTTCCAGTGGCTCCACATTTATCAGGCCCGAACATGATAGTGTAAGGTGTTGTATCCTGAGAAATGAACATTCAAAAATTATCGGTCTCTTCCACTTACAGTAAAAGCTCCAAGATCTTTCTCAGCTCCTTCACTAAGAAGTTTCACGTAACCTCCACCGCATTCTTGACCTTCCTCAAACTGCACTTGGTATCTGAAGTATAAATTAGGAATCCATAAAAACTGATAAATTTACTGAATAACAAGAGGGCGCTCTCCGAAGATGAAAGGCTTAACAAGTCGGCCAGAAATAGCATGATGACGGGCTTTTGTCTTTACAATAAGTCCGTAATCCCCTTCGATGGATACGAGAGATGGTTCATCAACAGCCCACTCTCCTAAAGACCGAATATTTATGATTTTAAGGTTCAACTTACCGTTATACTTAGCGATTTCTTTGTCAACTCCATCTTTTTTAGCTACGCTCTTGATCCACCTACGTCCAATGGCATCCTTACTTCCGAAAGACTCGAGTAAGTTTACAGCTGAGGCTGTCTTCGGAGCAACGAATTTTAAAGGAACAAAAACATCCTAGAATAATATTGAATGAAATTATAATGACTAGGAAGGGTAACTCTACCTTGTCTTCATCGTTTGCAAATACTGTAAGTCTTATAAACAACGTCAGAAACAGTAAGCCAATTCCCCTCATTTCTGCAAATGGTGAATAAGTTTACAAAATAAACAGAACATAACAGGGCAATTATGACGATTTGTTAGATATTAAGAGATATCAAAAAAATTTGAAAATATTTACAAGTAAATGATCGATGCGTTTTATCGATTTTTCTCTTACACACAGCTCCAGCAACAACGCGTCGTGGTTACCACGCCGCGTTTGCCTACTCCATTCTTCCAATATGCTTCGGCTGCTTATGCGAGTGACCTACGCTTGAAACATATGAATACTGCTTGATATTCGATATTACTATGCTAATTAAAATCGAATTTTACATTCGTAAAGGTTGATTAAAGCTTTACACTATTTGAATTTACTTATGTACAATATTGATTTGCATGTCACAAATTGTCATAGGAACGGGTAATAGGTTTGGTGGCACCGTTAGAAATGCCATATCCCTTTATAAGTAAGGTTTTAGGAGGAATTTAAGAAACGAAATAAAATTTATATAGACCCATGAAAGAGAAACAGTTTACTGAACCGGAAATAAAAATGGAGAACAATTATCATCATGAATTACTTACGCGCCTACTATTAACGCCAGTCGAAAAATGCTTACGTGCAGTGATGATGAAATTGAACATGAACTGAGCATTCATTCATTTACAAACTTTATAATAATAAAAAACATGTATGATACGGATTCGTATTGCAAAAAACAAAAATGACTAAAGGACCAAGAGAGGAACAACCGTTCTATCGCTGCCAAGAATGAAAAATGAGAAATTGGCGGCTGTGCAAGCTCACAGCCAAGAAGATTGCAGTGTTCTTCGGCCTATTCTCTCAAGGCTATGATCAAGGTTATCACATTGTCGCATTAATGGAGCAGCATTTTGCTAATTCAAGTAGTTATAAAAAAAAGAAGTGTAAGGGAATGTTAGATTTGGAACTAAACTCCAAACTTCCTTTGTTCGCATTATGTACGAACGTATGAAGAGTACATCTCCAGTGTGATTGATATGCATTCGCCATCGTTTGAGAATATAAGTCGCATAAATTAGGGTTTGTAAAGTTGCGAGTACTAGTAACTTGTTCAATAATCGATTCAAGGTCAATATCAAGCGCCTATTATCATGTGTTAGGCATACAATTTGAGTCACGATAATTTATGATTGACAAAAGCATGGCCAGGGAAAAGTCGTCTACATTACCCTTCTAGAGACTAACCATATGCTATGAGCACCCGAATCATAGTTATACCTACTTACTTTTTCATATGCAAATTAGTAATTCTAAATAAGATATGGATTGAACAGGATCAGATTTCATGAAAATTTAAAACAAAAGAAACGATTATGTGCATACATGTTGCCGGTGTCTAACAGGAACTATGCAAATACAAATAACCATATGCAGACATACATATCTTCAGATACTCATTAAGTCTAATTCAAATTTTATTAGTACAGATGATCTAATACAGGAAACAATAGCTACACGAACTTCTCTCCTGGTATATAAGCAACGAGCAGCAATTCAGAAGCATCCAAGTTTGCAACTCAGCAATGTTTTCAAAGATTGTTCTTTTCGCTTTATTCGGCTTATCTTCTGCCATCATCGACTTAAACTGTACCGATGGAACAAACGTGAGCTATACCTTTATGAATATTCTATAATGTTCCAATTTAGTGGGCTAATAGAGCGTTTAATTGCGAAAACGTTTATTCGGACAACGTTTGCGAAGTTCTTTACGCTGCAGCTGCCGCATTAGAAGTTGGAACAGCAACCACTGACAGAAATGACAACTGCTACGTGAGTCGCGGATTCAATAACTCTTCCAGCGCATCCAACACTGTTACAGAGTACCGTTACTCCTGCCACTGCCACTACAGTCAATGCCGAATTGAAAGAAATTTCTGTAGCCAACTGCCCTAAGACTTGTGGATATTGTTGCCTCACAAATGAATTCCAGTGTGAAAACGCTAGACGTAAGATTTGCGAGCAAGGGAACTTGATAATTACAGTCAATTTTCAGTTCCTCGAATCAACTGTAACACAGTTACCAGCCGAATGTGCAAAGATCCCCTCTGGAGAGAAGTCATTGCTGCTGACTGTCCAAATGTGTGCGGATTCTGTCTGCTCGGTAATCAAAGCAAATGTAGAAGCTGGTTCACTAATTATTTTCAGGAGGATGTATCGATGCTGCTCCAGATTGTGCTCTCAATCCAACAATTTGTTACACACGTGGTCTTGAGTCGTTCTCCAGCGTGAGATTAAAGCAAATGCCTTCCTGTCTAAAATATAAGTTATAGACCAACTGTAAACGCACCTGTGGACTCTGCGATTCTACTTCAACAACTGCTGCTTCTGTCACCAGTTCTACTTGCGCTGACACCAACAGAAAGTATGCTAGCTTTTAAAGTTAAGAGTCCAGAACACTACCTTTACAGCTGCGCCGGATGGGTTAGAAATGGCTTCTGCACGAACACCTTCTACACAGCCGCCCAAAGAAGACAGTTCTGTGGTAGATCTTGCAACTTGTGCTAAACAGAACAGAACCAAGGATTTCATATCAATGAGGGCTTTCAAACACTTTTCTCTAATACTTTCAATCATGTGGTTTGACCGCACATGAATAAACACTTTGCTTTCAAATGTCTTTGATTAAATACGGAGAGAAACACATGGACAAAAAATATGAAACAGCCATGCAACAACAAAATAAGATTCTCTTTCACGGCTCATACTGAGGAAAGCAAACTACGTCATAGTTCCGATCTCTTGAATGGGATCAACACTTATCAAAAATCAAATCTTCGATAAGGAGAGTGATTATGACTAAACAGTAATATCATGGTTTTAGAGTCAATGAGGATGAGACCACCGGTTACTAATACTGTTCTCATGAACCCTAAAGGTATCAAGAATCATTGCCAAAAATCTCAAACACACGAACTTTAACTATTCTTCGATGTGGAGATCATGAGAGAGATCATTGAAAGATTAGTCAACATTGTGTTGATTCAATGAAAATTAAAAGATGTTTAGATTTGAAATCGGAGATTTGTACTTATCACATTGAGGTGTTTGTCATATTTTTCACGAGAAACTGTATTCATGAGACGGAAGACAATACCTCGGTATTTACACAGATGTGAAAATGAAGGTATAAGGTGAGAAACAGTTAGTACGAAGATTTTCTATAAAAGGAACTCTAGTGTCAACGGAATCATATCATCTCAATGAAAATGATTACTGCCTTTGTTGCTCTGACTTTAGTCACTTTGGCACAATGCACTATAGTCGATCTCAACTGCACGTCTGGAACTGCTGTGAGTCACGAAGATTCGAATTTTCCTATTTATGAGTGTTCAGTACACCTCAGCTGCGAACAACTGTGAGGATGTCTACGATACCGCTGCCTGTGCCGTTCTTTACAAAGACTCGAAAGTTGCAGTCGACGGAACCGACGAAAGACCCACAGCGTGTTTCGTGAGTCCTTTAACGTTTTTTTAGTAATATGCAACTTCATAAAGTCTATTGACTCGAGCACACTTGCTGTTGATACTGAGTTAAGAGATATCGCCATCACAAACTGTCCTAAGACTTGTGGATACTGCTGTCTTTCGAAAGAGTGGAATTGCCAGAATGCACCTAGTAGGGTCGTACACTTCTTCCCCTCTTAACTTATATTTATTACTAGTTCCAAGAATCACCTGCAACTTGGTAACCAAAGCTATGTGCAAAGACAAGGAATGGAGAGAGATCATCGCTCAGGATTGTCCTGCAGCTTGCGGCTTTTGTACACTTGGTAAGGAAAATACATTTGTTCTTGAAGCCTAAGAACCATAACTTACCAGGAGGATGCATTGATTCTGCTGTGGACTGTGCTACTCATCCCACAATTTGTCACGTTGATTCATTGAAAAACTTTACAACACATAATTGTCAACGTACCTGTGGACTATGCAGTAAGAAAGTACATTTCATATGATCCCATATTGAACTCTTCAGCTGGAACAACAAGCGGTAGCTGCTCCCCTTCAATGATCGAAAACCCTAAGTAAAATATTTCTGATTGATTTGAATTGATCAAAAATTAATATATTCAGTTGTGCAAGTTGGAAGAGAAATGGTTTTTGCACCAGCACGTACTACACTGATGAGCATAAGAAGAAGTATTGCGGTAAAACCTGCAACCTGTGTTAAGAGAATCTTTATACAAATTGGGAAAAGCTGAAAAATGCATATATGCATGAATGAGTAACATTTACTTTGTAAGAAATAATAAAGATTTGATGACCAAGAATAATGAACCAACTTATGAGATAACTAGCAACCGTTCCTACCGCTCCGTAAACTTGAAATAACGTGCTTACTGTTTGTTGGCGGCAAAACCGCACACGCTTTTTACGCTGATTGGCATAAACTGTTTTTACATGTACTACAGTGGGGAGCATACATCCTTCTGGTTAGCCAGCTTCATATAGTAGTCGAATAGATTTGTGATTTTGAAAAGTTGACACATCCAAATGTACTTTTAGTTGAATCTTTACATAAGGAAATATGTTAGAACACATGATTAGTTTACACAAGAGAACTGTACGAATTATGTTTTCTTCCTTTAATCACTGAAATGACCAATTGGTAGAGCAACGATGTTATTACAAACATACTGAAACAAAACCGCACTAAATTTCCTTTCAAACGAATTCGAACACTCAACTGGAAGATCTCATCTAAGGCGACGTGAGGTTTGATCAACAATCTTTATAAAATGAAGCTATAGTTCTCAACTAGCCATTTGCAAACTTAGAACAGATAAAAAAAGAAACAAAGAGGACACTATTAGTTCAGTCGTCTGTGAATTACGTTTATTGTGAAATGAATAGAGTGACCGCAGTATAAAAGGGCACCCAACTAAGACTAAATCATCAGCTCAAAATCAACCATGATTTCTTTCTTTGTCCTGTCTAGTCTTCTCATCTCGGCTCAAGCCATCATCGATACCAACTGTACCGATGGAACCAACGTGAGTTGCTTGATCGTAACAACTTCTAATAATTGTCAGCTTTCTAGCCAACTAATGCTGCTATCAACTGTAACGATATCTATTCCACAACTGCTTGCGAGAAGCTCTACACTACCCCTGTTGCCCTCGATACCACAGAGAGAGAATTCGCTTGCTTCG